TGGCTCCTAGCAGATAAAGTCATCAGGAGCTGAATACAAAGCTAAGCTGTTAGTTGGTAGAAACAATAAGGGAGGAATCCGACAGGTATATCATCCCTTATTATTCTTCCCTAGTGCCACCATACATGTGGAAGAACTCACAAGTAACATCTTTACTTTAAATGAGAGGAAATCGAAGTTAGAAAATAGGATCCTTTATAAAGAGAGTTTTGTGATGATATAAGCTATTAGTATTTAAGGGTTAATGCTATGACAAAGTTTTGAATTTTGTATCACTACTTAATAATCTCTCTGCCAATGCATTGCCTGTGTTACTCTTACAGAGTTATTCACTATAGTAAGATTTGCTGGCAATACATTGTGATTTTCAAATTTAAGTCCAAAATAGCCAAATTGAAAACGTTTTTTTAATAATTTTTTTTTTGGACTAAATTTAGAATTTCCACCAATTCTTACTTTAATGTTAAGATTTGTAAGTCTGCAAATTTGTCTATGTTTACAATAAGTTAGAAATCTTCAGGTTGCTGAACCTTTTACTGGGCAAATATAAAATGTTTAAAAAAGTTTTACATGGTAACGTATAACATTATTTTATATGCATTGTATTTATTTCTTGTACAGTGAGAATTCTATAAATGTAGAGGAAATTAAAACATTTAGCATCGTAAATGGGAAAATTACATATTTTAGGTACAAAAAAAATATAAAGATTTCATTTATGGTGCATTTAGACTTTGGTTTGTAAAGTGATTTATTTTTTACTACACTGATTATTTTAGTGTTTTCATTTAAAAACATTTTTTTAATGTTTCAAGAATCTACTTTTTTTCTTTTAATATCTAATGGAGTTGTTTTTATTTTGGACACAACTTTCTTTAGCGCTAAAGTTCAATAACTTGTATATATTCATTTTGAGATGGCATTGTATAGTAATAATGAACTCGGAGTGTTAGAGGTGTGCACAATGCATTGTTTTTACTGTGGCAATGCAAAGGTGAATTTAGAACCACTGTAATTTAATATATTCATGTGAATGAAAGCCTTTACAATAAATGTTAACATTGGAACTGATAAAAGCGGTAGTCATAGAGCAATCTTGCTTTGCAAATTGATAAATTCCCGGTACAGATAGTCTGCAATCATTCGGTCCTTTAGTATGTATAGGAATTTGAAGAAATTCTAGCAGGGGGAAAAAAAAAAATATATATGAAGAACAGGTGGCTGGCTAGTAATTGCTGGCTCTTAAGTAGCGAAGAGAAGAAAAATAACAAAATAGCCCAACGGGAAATATAGCTGCTTTGGAACATTTGTACGTTAATTTGCAGATTCCCCCCTTCCCTCCCATTAACTGCATCGTTAAAAGACCATCTAGCTTCTGAAACTGTGAATTTAACACTTTACATACTTTGACTACGAGTTTTCTTATCAAAGTATCGAATAGCCTTTTCTTTTAAAAGTGCTGATGCACTTACTGTGTTGATAACTAAATCTAATAACACGATCCTATGTAAATTTGAATTTTGATCCTTGCTTTGAATTCTGTTTTGTAGATAAAGATTTGAAAATGAACAGGATTTTTTTTCCTTTTTTGTCTGTCTTAATTTCAATACGTATGCATGGCGTCCCCTGGCACTATCCTACCATTCAGCATTACACTTTTTTAATACTAAACGAGGGTCTCCAGCAGCTCATTGCCTCCGCTGCGTGTGCTAATAAGTAAGCATTATGAGCTGCTGTGATTTGCTGAAAGGTCATTGCAGGTATGAATCGGAGTGGCTATAAGGAAGTGTGTAATTTCTGCCTTTGTCACACTTCCATTAGGGGCAGAGCTGGGGGTGGGTAGCGACTTATTTAAAATGAACTGCTTGAAAATGCTTTATCATTTAATGGAGTGACAGTGCCAGGGGACTCCAGGCACTGTTACCAATCCAATGAGATGAAATGATAATGCCTATATTGTCCCTTTAAAAGTTACTTCCACTGTAAAACTGGAGAGTGCATATCGCACTTATCATGGGGGAAATTCCAGTAACACCTGTTCATTTACCAAGGCTAGTGGAATTTTTAAAGGATTACTCCAACCCTATGAATTTAATTTTAAATAATATCATATTAGGCATTATTCTGTTAGTCCATTCCCCCTACTTATCACTTGAAAGGTTTTATTTAAAAATAAATAAGTTTAATCTTTCAACCCCTCCATCTGAAATCCTGGCAACTGCGAGGGGTCCAATCAAAGGCTTCTCATAGAGAAATATATGAATGAACGGTTTAGCCGGCTTAGTGCATACATGCGCTCTGAGCTTGCAAGAGGAGGGGAGAGTAAAAATGTGGCAGAGGATTGAGCTGTAGGGAAGAAAAGGGAGGTCTCGTCACATACAGGCAGAGCCTGCAAGGGGAGTTGTGTAAGAGGATAATCACATTTATTTCTCTGTCAGAGTGCATTGATGACACAAAATATGCACAGAATTGCCATTGTCAACACAGAACAGTTCAGTCATGTGTGCTGGGGTACATCTTGCCCACGGCCAAAATGTGCCAATTGCTCTGGATATACAGTGTTTCAAGCTAAAACACTGCACATCCAGACTCCTACCACTATGACCACTTTAAAAAGCACAAATAGTCATGGTAGTTGGGGTAACCCTTTAAGCTTGGGCTCCAGTTGAGCCATTATACCAGGTTGAATATTTTTGCATTAAACTTGAGATTCTATTAATTCAGTGATTCCCAGTTTTAATTTAGTATTATCTTTCTGAATCTTTTCAAAGATACAGTAGATAATTTATAGGTACTTGACTGCTGATATTTATGAACCATGTTTTCTCAAAAATGCTCAACCAAATAGGTTTGATCAACCTGGGAAATCAAACTCGCAAGACTGTATGTTAGCCATTCCTTCAATAGTGAGTTCTGTATTTCACCTCACTGCCTATTCCTCTGAATATATACAGCCTATAAACATGTAGAACTTTTTTCCAGTAGTGATACAGTACAAGTTGTAAACTGACTTATTTACACAACGTTTTTTCCTTTAGTATAAAGTATGGTATTTGTCGATGTGATGTCTTCCTTTTTAATACTGCATACAAATAAAGTCTTATCTTAAATATAGGTGTTTGGTTTTATTTCCATTTCTGATGCAGCCAACGCTGAATTTGTATGTCATATTTAGATGAGTAGAAAAATTAGGTGGAGTGTGGCTGGTTTTCAAGTATTTTGTCACTGTAAGAGACAAACATGGGGATTACCTGCACTAATTGTTGAAAGCCTGGGTGAAGGTTGTAGCTGTGAAGGAGCGGATTTGTACTTGCCTGCCAGCTCCTTTACCCTGCAATACATCAAAGCTACTGAAGGAGCGGGAAATTACATTTTAAGTCCCTCCCCTCAATAAGGCTTTATCACACCGCGTGCGAGCTGCCATCTTTTTCTAAAGGGAAGGAGAAGGTAAAGTACTGGAATACCAGAGTACGGGGCACAATTTATTGTCCTGGGGACAGAAGAAAAGAGATTTGAAGGGAGAGGGAGATGGGACAGGAGAGAAGTTGATGAACCGGGGATGAAAGTGAGGGAGATGGCACCATGGGATAAACATAAGATGGAGCTAAGGTGGATGGAGGGGAGAGGGAAGTGCAGGGCTACTATCAGGTGGTTATAGCTAAAAATCTTTTAAGCAGACCAGCCATGCTTTGGGGTCTGCAATGGGCCCTGTTGGGCACCAGACCACATTGCATAATCTGTTGAGGACACGGACCCCTTACAAGGAGTAGCCTCCCGACATACATGGCAGTAAGTGATGTCCAGGAGGCGGGAAGATAAAAACTGCCCACAACAGGTCCAAGTCCTGTTGTGGGCAGTTTTTATCTTGAAGCCCTCTGAACATTGGGAGGAGTAGACTGGACATCGCTTACTCCCAGTACTAGACACCGTGAAGCCAGGCCAATTAATTGTGAAGCATTAGGTGAAACTTTAACATGAGGCCCCCCCCCCCTCTAGGTCTAGAATCACTTCTGCTGCTACTCATCCTGAAGGATAGAAAAAGAGACCTTTCTCCATAATCTGTTAATTTATAGCTATCTTAAGTACTCTAGTCCAGTGGTTCCCAACCCAGTCCTCAAGTACACCCTAACAGTCCAGGATTTAGAGATTACCCAGTTGTGTCCAAGGTGTTTTAAGAAAAAGGAAAAAAAAAAAACACAACTTTAGACAAAACAGGGTAATCCAGAAATCCTGGACGGTTTGGTAACCCCTGCTCTAGTCCATAATTTTAATGAGTAGTGATTTACACCAAGGAAGCATGGCACCTATTTTTTTTTTTTTAATAAATAGAAATAATATTTAATATAATAGAAAATCTTTATTAGCCTTACAAGTGTATAACAATGGCTGCTCACTATAGGCTGGTAAAAACATATCCGCCCCTTTCTTGCACCAGATACTACCAAGGAGCTTGTCCATGCTCTAGTAATTTCCTGCCTGGATTATTGTAACCCTCTCCTGATTGGTCTTCCCAAAACCCGTACAGCACCGGTACAGTCCATAATGAACGCTGCTGCCAGACTGATATTCCTCGCTAGTCGTTTCTCTCAGATCTCACCCCTCTGCCAGTCCTTATATTAGCTGCCTATATGCTATAGGAGTCAATTTAAGGTACTAATTCACACCTATAAAGCACTGAACAACTCTAGCCCCTCATATCTCCTCACAGATCCATAGGTATGTCCCTTCTCGGTCTCTCCGCTCTGCCCGTGACCACCTCCTGTCTGTTGTCTGCACCCGTACAGCCAACTCACGCTTGCAGGACTTCTCGCGGGCGGCTCCCTTCCTATGGAATAGCCTGCCTACCGCCAGACTCACCCCTAGTCTTGCATCCTTTAAGAAGTGCCTTAAAACCCATCTCTTTAGGAAAGCTTATGGCCTCCAAGACTAACCTCTACCTCACATACCTGTCTCTTGCTCTCTCCTAAAGGGCAGCCCACCTTATTTAACTGCAAATTCCTGTCCTAATGTGTTTTACACCCCACCTCCTATAGAATGTAAGCTCGATTGAGCAGGGTCCTCTTCAACCTATTGTTCCCGTAAGTTTATTTAGAATTGTCCTATTTATAGTTAAATCCCCTCTCATAATATTGTAAAGCGCTACGGAATCTGTTGGCGCTATATAAATGGCAATAATAATATAATAATAATAAAAGTCACATATGCACTGTGATTAAGTGTATAGCACCATCTAGTGGGCCAAACTGGTACTTTAAAAACACAGGACTGTCTATATAGAGTTAAGTGAAAGATTTACATTTCCAAAATAAATACATTTTTTATGAGTTTAATACATTATGTTCTAACTTTCTATTTGAGATCCAGTAATATAGTTGTACTATACATAGGAGTTACAGAAAAGACTGGGCTAAATTGTGTGGATGTTAAAGAATTTCCTTAAGTTTTTATTTTGCATATGCAAGGTTTCGTTTGTTCTTACCCCAGGTACCCCACCTGTCCCATCCAGTAACTCACATGCAGAATAAAAAAAAAAAAAAAACACATGCACCAAACTACAGTACATTTGTGGGTAAGGTCTATAAATTACATGCATGGAAGTATAATGCTCTGGTAGGTTTTGTCTGTAAAATGGCTCTCACTGCAATGTAACAAACCTTGTGTAATGTGCTCTGTATTATAAAAAATTTTAAAAAAGCAAAAAAACTAAAATTTTGAAGCCTCCTGTAGAAATGCATACATTAATTTCAGGTTTATCGTGTCTTTATAAAAGATTGTGCAAGTAGTGATTGTGGATGAATATGACAGACTCTGGTCAAAAATACAAAACATTCAGATTTACTTTATTGTACAATTATAGCAAAGAAAAATGTGCTGTACAAAAAGCTATTTACTTCATGAATATTTATAAAACATTGTTCTTTGTATTAGTAGATCAGGTACATAAAATTTGCTTATATGTGTGGACTCCCTTACTTCGGTACACTGAGCGTGTCCATTACCATCCTGATTGCTTTCAAAGGATCCACAATTTCTCGCATGTTATCTTTTCTCAACACCCAGTCAGGCCTAATTCTACAAAGGAGGGACAATAAATAAATACATGTCAGTTAGCATTCATTATAAATAAAAAGTGTCCAGGCACCAAGTTAGCTAGAAACATACCATATGTTTGAGTTTCTGAAAATTCATTGACTGTTGTAATGAACATAGGGACTGTGCAAGTTATTGTATGGCTTCAAACACAGGCGACTTACCGTGACACAACCTTTGTTCTGGCTGGGGTAGCCAGAACGGGCATATTATAGCTGTAAGCCAAAGTGCTCATACGCCGCTTGCCGAGATTGCGTTCTGTGTCCATCATGTGTTTGCGGCATGTCAGCTTGTATATGCTACGAATACGGTCCAAAGCTTTGGGGATGGAACAGATTTCCTAGTGTTGGAGAAAAATTAATTTAAATCATTAAAAACACAAAACAAAAAAATGCAGCAAACTGCAATGTTTGTGGGATATCTTTTTTTTCCCTATATAGATAGATAATCTTGTTTAGTGTAGATTTGATAAAGGAAATACAGAAACAAATATTTTAAAAATTAAAAACAAAAAACAAAGCACATTACAGTGCATACATTACAGGGAGTGCAGAATTATTAGGCAAATTAGTATTTTGACCACATCATCCTCTTTATGCATGTTGTCTTACTCCAAGCTGTATAGGCTCGAAAGCCTACTACCAATTAAGCATATTAGGTGATGTGCATCTCTGTAATGAGAAGGGGTGTGGTCTAATGACATCAACACCCTATATCAGGTGTGCATAATTATTAGGCAACTTCCTTTCCTTTGGCAAAATGGGTCAAAAGAAGGACTTGACAGGCTCAGAAAAGTCAAAAATAGTGAGATATCTTGCAGAGGGATGCAGCACTCTTAAAATTGCAAAGCTTCTGAAGCGTGATCATCGAACAATCAAGCGTTTCATTCAAAATAGTCAACAGGGTCGCAAGAAGCGTGTGGAAAAACCAAGGCGCAAAATAACTGCCCATGAACTGAGAAAAGTCAAGCGTGCAGCTGCCACGATGCCACTTGCCACCAGTTTGGCCATATTTCAGAGCTGCAACATCACTGGAGTGCCCAAAAGCACAAGGTGTGCAATACTCAGAGACATGGCCAAGGTAAGAAAGGCTGAAAGACGACCACCACTGAACAAGACACACAAGCTGAAACGTCAAGACTGGGCCAAGAAATATCTCAAGACTGATTTTTCTAAGGTTTTATGGACTGATGAAATGAGAGTGAGTCTTGATGGGCCAGATGGATGGGCCCGTGGCTGGATTGGTAAAGGGCAGAGAGCTCCAGTCCGACTCAGACGCCAGCAAGGTGGAGGTGGAGTACTGGTTTGGGCTGGTATCATCAAAGATGAGCTTGTGGGGCCTTTTCGGGTTGAGGATGGAGTCAAGCTCAACTCCCAGTCCTACTGCCAGTTCCTGGAAGACACCTTCTTCAAGCAGTGGTACAGGAAGAAGTCTGCATCCTTCAAGAAAAACATGATTTTCATGCAGGACAATGCTCCATCACACGCGTCCAAGTACTCCACAGCGTGGCTGGCAAGAAAGGGTATAAAAGAAGAAAATCTAATGACATGGCCTCCTTGTTCACCTGATCTGAACCCCATTGAGAACCTGTGGTCCATCATCAAATGTGAGATTTACAAGGAGGGAAAACAGTACACCTCTCTGAACAGTGTCTGGGAGGCTGTGGTTGCTGCTGCACGCAATGTTGATGGTGAACAGATCAAAACACTGACAGAATCCATGGATGGCAGGCTTTTGAGTGTCCTTGCAAAGAAAGGTGGCTATATTGGTCACTGATTTGTTTTTGTTTTGTTTTTGAATGTCAGAAATGTATATTTGTGAATGTTGAGATGTTATATTGGTTTCACTGGTAATAATAAATAATTGAAATGGGTATATATTTGTTTTTTGTTAAGTTGCCTAATAATTATGCACAGTAATAGTCACCTGCACACACAGATATCCCCCTAACATAGCTATAACTAAAAACAAACTAAAAACTACTTCCAAAAATATTCAGTTTTGATATTAATGAGTTTTTTGGGTTCATTGAGAACATGGTTGTTGTTCAATAATAAAATTAATCCTCAAAAATACAACTTGCCTAATAATTCTGCACTCCCTGTATAGATACGTTTAGTATAATGTACAAAATTGTTCGGTGGGTATCATTCTAAGAGTAACAATTTAGTATACAAATCAGAGTGTACAAATCCATTTTACAGCGCTACGGAATCTGATGGCACTATATAAATAAAATAATGATACAGTTACAGTAATGCATGAATTAATTATATAGATGGTACATGCCGTTTTACTTTCTATAAAGGTACTTTCTATAATGGTCACTACCCACCCCCACATATATGGCCAGGGCCTTAGAATAAAACAAACATCCCCCTCTATTGCGATATGTTAAGATGCTTGGCCCGCCGCCCTAGGTTGGGGTGGTAAGACTCTCGCTATGCCAGACCTCGCCTGATATTTTACAGGCCTCATTGGGCCTTTCTGAGCTGCTAGTTTTTAAAATACAGCGATTAGTCATGGGCTTTTTAGTAGAAATTCTACACAAGAGACATGGCTGGTTGGGGCATAAGGTAGGTATAAACCTCCCTTATGCCAACATGCAGGTCAGATTTCTTTTAATTTCTAACATTTTAATGTGGTGACTAGCCACATTAAAGCTGCCTTATGATTAACTCTTGTGCAGCAATCCCCCACAAAGTGTCACTTACCTGAGCTCTCTGAGAGTTTTGTGCAAAAATGGCAAGGAGACAGCAGGTCTTTGTGAAGATGCTTCCACCTTTGTCTGATACTTTGTCTCCGGCTTTCTCCCTATATATCTGCATCAAATCCAGCAGAACATCCACAGATTTCTCCACCTCATACACCACCTGGACTGTGCCTTCGTACTGTAACCAAAATGGAAAAACATTTTATTATTTCAGTTTACAGTGGATTGAAACAAAAATGAACTTTTGGCAAGAGTTGCCTGGAATCACTTTAAAAAATGCAGTGCGTTAACAGCTAGCTTTCTTGTATTTAAATTAAAGGGAACTAGAGCAGTTCCACTCACTACTAGTCTGCAGAGATTACAAACAGTTTATACATACACTGATATTGCCTGTTGGAGCAAAATTGGTTAATCAAATCCTGTACCACGGTTCTTCTGGACAAGTTTTGGAAACACTGCTTCAAACAGAATAAATAGGTTTCGTCGTCTGTGTATATGCTGTCCTGGTTAACAACAATGCTGCTCAGGCACATTTTTATACAGATTCAATAAATTCACGTTAGGTGCATATACAGTACACTGATCAGCCACAACATTAAAACCACCTGCCTAATATTGTGTTAGTTCCCTTTGTGCAGCCAAAACAGCTCTCGAATCATGGACTCAACAAGACATCTTAATGTGTCCGGTGATATCTGGCACCAAGATATTGGCTGCAAATCCTTTAAGTCCTTCAAGTCGATGGTGGGATCTCCATGGATCAGATTTCTTGTTCTAGCACATCACACAGATACTTACTCAGATTGGTATCCGGGGAAATTGGAGGCCAAGGCAACACCTTGAACTCTGTCATGTTTTTCAAACCATTCCTGAACATTTTTTGCAGTGTGACAGGATGCATTATGCTTCTGGAAGAAGCCACTGCCATCAGGGAACACCACTGGCATAAATGAGTATACGTGGTCTGCAGCAATCTCTAAGTAGGTGATGTGTCAAAGTAACATGACCCAAGTTATCCCAGCAGAACATTGCCCTGAGCATATCACTGCCTCTGCTGGCCTGCCTTCTTCCCATAGTTTATCCTGTTGCCATCTCTTCCCCAGGTAAACAATACATACAGTTTTTACTGTATGTATTGGGGCTGATGTGTACTATGGTCGTTGGTGCCGCACAAGAGTAGTCTGAGTTTGAGCGACAGACTTATTTTTGTGTATTTGTACACTATGCACACGCACACGCACCCGGCCCTCCACTTGATATAAAACAAGACTTGATTCATTAAACCAGGCAATCTTTTTCCATTGCTTCATGGTCCAGTTCGGACACTCTTGTTTCGGCGATGGACAGGGGTCATTATGGGTTCTGACTGGTCTGTGGCTATACAGCAAACTGCAAAACACTGTGTTCTGACACCTTTCTATTAATGCCAGCATCAAGTTTTTCAGCAAATTAAACTACAGTAGATCTTCTGTGCAATTGTACCAGACAGGTTAGCTTTCACTCCTCATATGCCACCTGCATACCGAAAACATCCTACAGGACATGTTGTCTTGGAGATGCTCTGACCCAGTTATCTATCCCTTATTATTTGGCCCTTGTCAAAGCGCCACGTATTAGATCTTTTCGCTTCCCCTTTTTTTTTTCTGCTTCCAACATGAAATTCAAGAGCTGATTGTTCACTTGCTGCCTAATATATCCCACCCCTGGTTAAGTGCCATTGTAACGATTTAAGATCTTATAATCACTTTTGTTTCGGTTTATGCAGTCTTAGCCACACCTCTACTGGCTATGCCTCACATTGCCTGCATGAAAAAAATTGTGTCATTTTCAATCAGATCATGTTAACGTCACATTTTTATTTCTTGCTCTGTAAATTGAATTTTAATCATATAAAAGGAGGCTCCTGCAAGGTCTAGCAAGTCATTAATAGAGTAGAAGATAAGATATTCTAAATTAAATAGAATTGGCAATTAGAGATGTTGCGAACCGTCCGCCGCGAACTCCGGTCAGCTGACACATCCCGGCCAATCTCCAGCAGACCCTCCTACTTCCTGGACAGCATCCATGTTGAAGCTGCCTTCAACATGGATGCTGTCCAGGAAGTAGGAGGGTCTGGGAGGGAGGGTCTGCTGGAGATTGGCTGGGATGTGTCAGCTGACCGGAATTCGCCACGAACAGTTCGCGGCGAGAGGTTCGCGGACGGTTCGCGACATCTCTATTGGCAATACAGGTAGTGTAAACATTAGATGACTTTACAAGAAGTATATAGAAAGGCTGTACAAGTCTCATGCATGGAGGTGTGGCAAGGGCTGCATAAACAAGGTGATTTAACTATTAAATGGCAGAGAATTGAGTATTGAGACTGTATAATCTATACTCTAAATCAGCTTAAACTATTTTTTTCGGGGAGGGGAAGGAGAGGGGACAGGACTATAACATTCTTTTAAGTTGTTTTCAATGCAGACCTACTTGGTGCATTTTTTATTTATTTATTTTTTAAATGGAAGCAAGCATGTAAAATATCTTTGTTTTGAACTGCCCTTCCTCATAGCTTACCTTGGAAAGGTTGAGCAGTACCTGGACGGCTAGTTTGATAACCTCCATACAGGGAATGCTCCGGTTACAACTGCGAATCAGTGTGAAAATAATCCTCACTGCACCGCTTTTCGCCATGTTCTCACAGCAAAGTGCAGACAATCTGGTAGCAACCTCTACAAAGGAAGAGCAAGGCATTTAACAATTGAGAATGTATTTAGTTTAGAAAATGTGAACCTTCAAAAGGAGCAAACTAGCACTTAAACCATATATGTTGAGGGTAGGGACAGCGCTAGTGAAGTTTAAGTACTATAACTACTTCATTAATATAGGGTGGTTAAACAATATACAAAGGCCCCTGCGCAGTTTGGCCCCATCTCCATAAAAATGGTCAACAACAATAAGCCAGTCAGTGCTGCTTGTAGCAGTTTACAGACAGACTTTTATGCACCATCAGTAGTTGATAATGGCATTTGGGACTTTGAAATTCTTTTAGAAAAACACTAGAAAAAAAAGTTATCAAAAGTTGGAACTGACAACTCATAGAATGAAAATATCTACATTCTCAAGATGACAAAAAACTACAATGTGGTACTAAGCAATATTTACCAAGGTGCTGGAGGGCAGCAAGGATATAGGAGAGGTGTTTATATGACAGGAGGTACCCTACTGCTACAGATGTCCTGTTGTAAAGTTTATTCTCTTCTTTTATCTCCTGATTAACATTTTGTAGGCGCTTCCTTAGGGCACATAATGCTTTTGTGTCATTAATCTTCCTCCAGGTATAGCCCCTCCAAAGAGCCTGGAAAAAAAAAATAATTGTTACAGAAAGATTCATAGTGCATGATGCATATAAAAAAAAAAAATATATAAATGAATCATAGGAACCCCCTTGTAACAATCTTTATCTATAAAAGTATTTTCCCATAATGGAAATATTAAGATTAAGTTGTATTCTGGGTATATAGACCATATAACACCAGGTCAATGGTATTTATTGATGAATGGTATTTAAGGATGAAGCGATCCTACTGTAAATTTAAGCTACAACGGAAATGGAAAGCTGCGTCACGTACTAACGTGTACATTCTGGTTGGCTGAATACGATAAAATACATTTTCCGGTCCCCGTGTTCACAACAATCATTGCCTATCCAACCATTTTCAGGATAATGTACAGTGTATAAGCCTCATCCCCCAGGTAGATAGAATTTTGCAGGAGTACTGTTTAACACTAACGATACACAAGGTACAGAAAGCATCCGTTCCACTAATCCAGAATGGTAAGACACCACAGATGAAGGTGAGCGGACAAACTGACGTTCACCAAAAATGATCTAAGTGGATGGGTGCAGTCACAGTTTGGGACTTATAAACCATTAAAAACCTATTTGATACCATCATGTAAGATGACGTCAAGGACATCTTGTGATTGAGATGAAGTCATTATGACCGTGCTGGGACGGAAACAATTACTGGGTTACTGGAGTCTGAATCAGTAGAGATGTACCATATATGCCAATAGATAAGTCAATCCAGCATAAAAGCCGACTTCCAAAAATTCGAGGTGCAATATAGGTTTAGGTCTATATTCAGCAAGTAAGTCACTATTCACTAGCATATAGTTATTTGTAAAATAATTATACAGTACATCATACAATGAGTCAAAGGTATCAAAGAGTTTGGAGTCTAAGGATTTGTGTACCAACACCAAACCCCTGAATTCGGTGCCCTGAGAGATCCTTTAAAGGGGTAGCCTAAGCACCACAATCACAATAGTTTGTGCCTGGTAACCAGGAAAGTGTTAAAACCATCTGGAAACTTCGAACGGGTCAGGGGTTTTACTACAGATATCAAATATCAGTTTTAGAGACCTTGCTGAAGTCGGTTTGCGATTCTTGTAAATTATTTTTAAAAACCATGTTTCACTAGAGGCATACAAGAAAGTAAATTACAATTTAGCCCGGTCATTAGGATCATCATCTCTGGTGTGACTGAGAAAAAAACCCTGCAGTGAGAGATTGAGAACTGTTCCTTGTTTTTGCCTTGTGTTTTAACAAAGTGAAATGTCAGTCACCTGAAATTTGACTATTCCGTTCTTCACTTTTGCCTGTTTCCGGCGGAGTAAGAAATCCTGCACACAGCTCTGGATTTTACGTGCTGCCTCATTCCTGTGGTGTAACCAAGTGCGCACTGCATGTTGCAGAAGGACTACCTTACCACGGGTGATGAGGAAGTTCCTGCGCTGCAGTTTGCTGCGGAACCACCTCTGCAAGAACAAAGGGAAAAGTTTGGCATGTGCTGGCATTTAGAAATTGCAAATATAGAATGGGATAAACAGCAATGTTTTACCTGAATGCAAATCACATGACTAATTTGTTTTTGTGCCCTCTTCAGAGCAAGATAGATGCGGAAACGCCTCTGAATTTTCATAGCGCAGAGGTGGTGGCGAGCTACCGTGCTGAACATCAGGAGATTAGCTTCTCTCTTTAAACGTGTAAGCTGTAAATAATGGCATATTACATAATGGAGAATGATTAAACACACACACAAAACAAAAGACACAAACACTAGTATTTTGTTAATTTTGTAATGACAAGAAGGGAATGTCCAATTGATCCTATTACTTCTAGTAATCTATTAGACAGTCTAACAGGGCAGATCCAATCAATGATCAGGCTAGAAAGAGTTTCACACCCAGATTTAACCTCTGTTACAGTGGGGAAATCCATTAAATGTTTGATAAACACTCTTATGATTTAAAGAGACTTCAAGCATGTAAACTGCAAGAATACATGTGGCAGAGAATTATGCAAACAGCCATCCTGCATTTTTGTGGATGATGCCAAATGAACTTGCATCATAAAAATCACACCTGCAGCCTCCAAGTTCCAAAAAGACAGTCTAAAAAAAGTATTTGAACACCAAGAAACTGATAAAAAGGGAAGATCGTAAAAAAACAAACAAAAAAAAACATTAAATAAAGCAACCCATGGATAAAACTTAACTTTTATTAGAGTCTGTTAAAATGTGAAATATAAATATTAGTATAAAAGGTCCTAGCATGAATAGGCTTAAGAGTGTGTAAGTCAAAAGTAAAGAATTAGAACTTAAGAAACAAGTCTAAGTAAGCATATCCAGAGAATACAGACTAACATTAAAAATCATAGTAAACCTGCCTGTCTCGTCCAAAAAAAAAAAAAAAACCCATATGCGAGAGCCATCTTAATACAATGTAATAGCCTCCTAGAAAGAATTGTAACTTAACTTAATGAAAAAAAGAAAAATAAATAGAAGAGAATCTCAGAGGTTAAGAGGGGGGATAATCAGCTATCCTTGATATACCTGGTGCAATATGTTATTACAGCAAAAAGACTTTAACGGTATATCTAAGAGAGGTAAGGGGAGAGAGCATAAAGAAATAGAGAAACATGTGAAAACTATACACTATCCCTACGGTGCCTTCGAGGGGCACCCATTCAAACAAAGATAGCCCCCAACCTATCAATAATAGCCTATTCATGCTAGGACCTTTTCATACTAATACTTATATTTCACATTTTAAGTTTTATCCATGGGATGCTTTCTTTAATAAGGGGTTTTTGCTACTATCTTCCAGTTTCTTGGTGTTCAAAAAATAATAATAATAATAATAATAATAATAATAATAATAATAATAATAATAATGTGACATGCACATACTTCTCATTAATATCAGGAGGGGATTGGAAAGGAGCAGTTTGTAAGCAAATAGAAATGATGCTATGCTTCTTGGCTGTATTGGTATTTTGTGCTCATTATACAAATATGTGCATACCCATAACAGCAGTGGCTTATGACATAATTGCAGAACTCAATCGGAAGATTATGTGAGACCTCAGCCACTCTCAGCAGACAGTAATAGTAACAATCACCACGATCATTACTTTGGAGTGAATGAGAGACATTCAAAGGTGAATCTATGTTGAGATATAACCCGATTGCTGAACTTCAAATATTGGCCTTAAAGGACCACTATAGTACCAGGAAAACACTAGTTTTCCTGGCACTCTAGTGCCCTGATCGTGCCCCCACCCTCAGGGTCCCCCTCCCGCCCAGCTCTGGAAAGGGGTAAAACTTACCTTTTTTCCAGCGCCGGGCGGGGAGCTCTCCTCCTCCGATCCTCCTCCTCCCCGTTGGCTGAATGCGCGCGCATTCAGCCGGTCGCATAGGAAAGCATTATCAATGCTTTCCTATGGACGCTTGCGTGCTCTCACTGTGATTTTCACAGTGAGAATCACGCAAGCGCCTCTAGAGGCTGTCAATAAGACAGCCACTAGAGGCTTTGGGGGAAGGATTAACCCATTTATAAACAGTTTCTCTGAAACGGTTATGTTTATAAAAAAAATGGGTTAACCCTAGCTGGACCTGGCACCCAGACCACTTCATTAAGCTGAAATGGTCTGGGTGCCTAGAGTGGTCCTTTAATGTAATATTGTTGGATACGCCTTTCAAATAATTTAATATTTTTGGATACAATGTAAAACCCTTTTTCAAAATATTAAAATATCTAAAATTATATCTAAAAAAAATTACCTTAAGATATTTATCTAAAGATTTAATTATTTGAAATGCTTATACAATAAAATTCCACAAATTGAGGCTATTTTCATATCCCAGGTTTGTTTCCATGTAATAGAATGGGGAACCTAATTGCATTAGCTTAATAAAAACGACATTACCTCCTTTCTGACAAGCCATCCTCGTGTAATGGCTTGCAATCTTACAACAGAATTTTTTGCTTGTTTGAAATGAAATCGATCGTGCCTCCCATGTAAAACAGCTCTGAAATAAGTCTGCAAAGTTACAGTCGCTGCCTTTAATCTGATGAAGTTCCTGCGGTCCAGAAAGCCTTTGTAGGATGCTTGTATAATGCAAGCTGCATTCTGTTTCTGTATGTAATCAGAAAGATAAATTAACAAATTTAAAACTACAATATTTTTTCAAAAGATGTATGCAAATTTTTTTATTTTTACTTTTTATAACATAAAATATTTTATCAAACACATGCAAGTAAATCTATAAATTCTGCTATTTTTCAGTTTGGAAGGTTGGGTGCATCCATTTTGAATTCAGAACTGCAAGACAGTTTTTGCTCAAAAAGTGTTTTTTAAATATTTAGTGCTTAATGCTTCAAAAACCCAGAATTTGGGAACCTGGGGCTCATTTATGATATTTATTTAATTTCCTTTAAACGTCACAATTCATTTACAAAGATAAAAAGGTATGACAGTACTTCAGAATCAATAGTTTCCAAAAGCTCAAAATCTATCACACAGTCAAAACTGTATGGATGTAGTAGTTATAGTGTATAGAGTGTCCCATTAAGGAATTACAATTCCAAAAATGATAAATCAAAGGAGAATGTCACACGGACAGCTAAGACACTACAACCAGCATAATACAAAATAATACAAACCTCTAGCATGTCCCTCCTAACAATGTGTCCTCTGAATGCAGACTGAAGTCTCAGAGCTACTGCTCGTTTTCTGAGGAACATCTGACGAACCATTTTACTAGCAATAGTCTCCCTCCATCTCCTCTGGATGCAAACCGTGGCGCTTTTGATTTTCAGAAACCTGAAGCAATAGAAAGGCATAAAAGAATAATTCTCAACAAATCTGGTCTGCAGCTAAAACTGCATTTTATTTCCCAAGCCGCTGAACTCTGAGCTATATCCCTAGTAAGTCCAAAATAACAGACAAGAGGCCATTTGACCCACCGGCACACTAGTAAAAAAATAGATTTTGGCTTGTTCAACTCTGGCTGACTACAGATTTACGTTGATCAATTAATAGCCACAGTACCTAACCAAACAGCCCCTAAAGGAGTGGCGAGGGGGGGATGGGAGACATTGGCCAACACAAACAAAAACACAAAAGCATGAAGTGTCATATAGAAGAATAAATGTACCTGACTCGCTCTTGTTTCGTTCGGATATAGCTCTGAATAGTCCTTACTGTTGTGACCATTGTGATATAATCTCTCCGAACCATGTAGCATTTGTAGAATCTCTGAATAACACAAGCTGCACACTCTCTTCGTACCAGTTTTCTAGCTTGAGAACCCCTGTATATGGCCTACAAACCAGAAACAGATTGAGACTAAATTAGAACACACAATTGAACATAAGGACTCATATTACATAAACAGGCTAGTAGTTCAAGAAAATCAAGGTGAGAGGTTAAATCAGACTAGAGACAGCATTATAAAATCAAATATGCTTTATTAAAAGGTCAATTAACAATATCTTATTTGAATGGAAATATCTAGCACTGCATTAAAAATGTGGTTTTAATCACAAATGTTACTTTTTGTGTGCAATACACTTCTAATGTAATTCTGTTCTTTTGAATTTTTCCTTGTACATTTTATGGTTCTATTGTATGAAAAAAATCCCTATAGCTAGAGATACAAATACTACATTATTTAAAAAAAAAATTACTGACATTTTAAGACTGAATTATGTTCTTTTGGAGTAAATCTGGTGTCTCTAATGGCTAATAACTTTTTTTTGGAAAGGTGTGAACTTGTAGTAGAGGGGTCATTGGAACAGCGTCAAAGCTTGGGGACTGTTCATACAGTTGCTACAAATCATAGAAAATTAAATGTTTCTGCACCTGTAGTTTAATGGCTGCTGCTCTTAGTTTAAGGTAATTATCACGTTGTGCTCTCTGAAGGCACATAGCACGGTATCTCTGTTGTATAATCAGTGTCGAAGCTTTATACTGTAAGAAGAGTCTTCTGTTCATAAAACCACGCCAAAAAACCTGTAAAGACAGACATTAAAAAACGGGTGGGGGAGGCGGAAATAAAATAAACGACACCTATACAAAAAGTAGCATCCATTTCAATAGCATTGGAGACATATACCAATTCAATGATTTAAACAACTTATCTAGATCTACAAGTCGCCCCTTCCCATAAAAAATAAAAATGTTTAAAAAATTTACACACATTGTACTTGGCACTGACCCATTACACTGAAGATACAAAAACTTCAGTTTGGCAAAATCTCAAACCCTTTATGATGAGCATCAAATTTAGAATATTGTATCATAGCATACCAATGTGGTGAGGTGCTTAGAGTGCCAGTTAATTTCTGACAATTTTTTTTATTTGAACGCTTACCAATGAAGCCGTGAGGATACCATCCTTTAGAAAGAAAAAAAAAAAAGCTTGCTAAACATGTATCGATCGTACATATAGTCAAAACATATGCCCATTATGTGCCAAGGCTCACTACTGGTGTAACATACATGTCAACTTAAAGGGAAACTATAGTGCCAGGAAAACAAACTTTTTTTCCCAGGCACTATATCTCCCGTCCTCCCTCGTGGTGCAGAAGGGGTTAAACACCCCCTCTGTCACTTACCTGGGTCCAGCACTGATGTCCCTCAGTGCTTGCTCGGATCTGCCTTCGCTCCTCACCCTCAGATGTTAGCAGGTGGGGGAGATCTAATGCGCATGCTTTCCTATGGGATTTTAGAGGACGCTGAACGTCCCCATGCATAGCGTGAGGACATCCAGCATCAGTCAGGAAACCAAAAGCTAACAGCCCGGAAGTCCCTCTAGTGGCTGTCTGGTAGGATCCTAAAAACTGCAATAATTAGCTTTGCAGGGTTAATGAACCTGGGATTACACACTTAGACCACTTCAATGAGCTAAAGTGGTTTGGGTGCCTATAGTGTCTCTTTAAAATGGTTCACTCCATCCAAAAGAAAGCCACCACTAGTGGATGACTAGTGCCTCAATTCACAAGCCACACATGGCCAGTTTGCTATAATATATGCAGTTCAAGAACACTTTCAGCTACTAAATGACTCCAAAACCAACAGGTTGACTAGGAGGTATTATTATTATTGCCATTTATATAGCGCCAACAGATTCCGTAGCGCTTTATAATAATTGTACAAAAAACATGTTACATCAATGATTTACACTCAATAACTAAGGAGTGCCTGACCTTCAATAAGACTAACATTACAAAGACAGAAGTACAATAAACTGTCCATTTTAAGTTACAAGAGTAAATTTGCTTGCAAGTATATGAAACCTCACTCACCTGAATTATTACTGCACTAGTCACTATTTTTGTAAATGTCTGCCTCTCTCGGTAGCCTCTGACAGCAGCTTGCAAACAGATAACACTCCTTCGCAACTCCAGGTAGGTTTCTCTCTGGTGTTTCATTCTACCACATGATCTATACCATCGCTGTATGAGCAAGGCTGCATCCCTCTTCATCCTATACATACGCCAAGTTCTGTACAGCCGGTAATAGGACTGCAACGTGATAGCTGCTTCTCTGAGTTTTAGAAATCTTTTCCGGCATACAACCACGCGAAACACAGACTGCAATTTTCTTGCGGCACTCTCTCTTTGTGCAAGCTGTCTTGCAACTATTCTTCTGAAAGCTGACTGAATTGCAAGGGCAGCTTGCCTCATGGTCGTATATTTAGCTCTTTGTAAACGAGCCAAACGGTTGCTTCTGTACCACCTCTGTATGTAACAAGCAGCTCTTTTCCTTTCTTTTTGTATTGTTCTAGCCTTATAGCCCCTGAAGGCTGCTTGTATTGTGATGGCGGCAGCCTTTGTATTTACAAATTCTCTTCTAGCCCTGTACATCTTCCATTTTGACTGGATCATGGTGGCTGCAGTGGTCAGTCTAGTCTCTTTTGCTTTCTTTCTTGCACGGAAGGCTGACTGGATGCGCTGAACAATATTGCTAACTGCTCTGTATTTTCGCATTGCATTATACCTTTCACGATTTGCTCTGAACCGTTGCTGAATGGTTCTAGCAGCCCTCCGTAATTCTAAGAAGTATCTTCTGTGAACATGCATTCGATAAGAAGCCTGGATTTTGGCAGCTGCATTAAACATATGTTTTAAGTTCTTCCGGGTTCTGGTGGCTCTGTATGCTGCTTGTATAACAATGGATGCCTTACGAAGTTGCACGTATTGATCTCGCTCGTGCCTGGCAGTAACAGAAAGTCTGTAATAGCTTTGTATGGAAATGGCAGCTAATTTAATGGTTTGATATTTGACATACAGTCTATGCATCCTAAACACAGACTGGATTTTAGTTGCTGCTTTATGCTGCTGCTTAAGTGCCTTACGCTCTTTAAATCCCCTGTACGCAGCCTGAATACACACCGTAGCCTTATGATAAGCAAGGAATTCCCGACGCACAGATCTGCCAAGGAGGATGGATTTGTACTTTCTTTGAATGCAAACTACAGCACATTTAAGCTCCATACAGGACCTTTTCTGTATGTAAGCTCTAAAGCATCTCTGGATGATTATAGAGGACCGATGCATACTTTGAATCCTCTTTCTTGCTTTCATGCCACGGAAAGCAGCTTGCAACAAAATTGTTGCTTTTTTGGTGTTCTGGTACAGTTGCAGTTGTGAATTTCTTATTTTTGTCTCTCTAAATCGTTTTTGTATCATTCTCGTGGCTTCTAACACACGCTTGTAGTAATTGCATTGAATTTGCATTCGGTAGTAGGACTGAATTATAGTTGCTGCCCTGTGCATGGTTTTTATATTAGTGCGGACTTGCAATCCTCTATAAGCAGCTTGTAAACGTATGGTTGACCAACGAAGTTCCAGATATGATGCACGTGTTTGTCTACATATTACAACAGATCTGTACCATGTCTGAACAACAGTGGCTGCAGACTGCGTTTCCTGATACAACTTGCGTGATCTGTACATGCGGAACGTAGACTGTATTTTAGTAGCCATTCTTTGATTTAATAAGAGTTCTTTTCTTACTTTAGCTCCTCGGTAGAAAGTTTGGATGCAGACAGTGGCCCTGAGCATAGTTTTGAATTTTTTCTGATGTTCCCGAGCCAACACAGTAGCTCTGTACCGTCTCTGTAGAACAACTGCAGCTGCTTTTACAGAGATAAATCGTTTGTGTTCTACATATGTTTTCAGAAGTCTCTGGATTACAATGGCCGCCTCATTCATTTTTTTCTCTCGCTTTCTTGCCTTCCAAGATCGATACGCAGCCTGTATGCATAGCGCAGATTCCTTTATGAAAGTGTAACGCATTACTTCAAAGTCTCGCATCTTGTTTGCCCTGTACCTCTGTTGAATTACACATACTGCCCACTGAAGTTCTTGGTACCGATCTCTACACAGAAACATTCTGACATAGGCCTGGATTTTGGAAGCTGCTTTGATCATTCTACGCAGCCTCTGCCTCTCTATTGCCCCTCTGTATGCTGCTTGAATAAGGACGACTGACTGACGCTGCATCAAAAAACGCTTTCTTTCATAGACAGCCAGCCTGCATGTCCTATACCATCTCTGTATAATAATTGATGCATGTTTCATTGCATGATATGCAGCTTTGGTCTTGTGCATGCGAAACGCAGCTTGGATGACTACAGCAGATGCATGCATCTGTCTAATCTTTCTTCTCACATTACGGCCCCTAGACACAGCCTGAACAACAACAGCAGCTTTCCGAAGTTGGATATAAATCAGTCTCTGTTTGTTTGCACTCACCTTCATTCTATATCTTTGCTGAATTATTATAGCGGCTCTTCGAAGAGCAAGGAATCTTCGTTTTTCCAAATAGGCTTTAAAACTGCTTTGAATTACGGTAGCTGCCTTGAGTTTATTCTTGTGCTCCTGTCTGGCTTTCATTTCTCGGAAGGCTGCTTGGATGCGGAGTACGGAGTTCATGATGCGCTTGTACTGATCCACTTGGTTTTTCCTTTCTATAGACGAACGGTAGCGCTGCTGCATTGCAACAGTTGCCACTTTCAGTTTTTGATAGTAACTGTGTTCTTTGTACATCCTACACCATGACTGAATAACGGTTGCAGCTTTGTGCATGTGTTTCATTTGCTCCCTGACTTTTCTACCTCTCCACGCAGCCTGCATAACACAGGTTGCTTTCTTCAGCCGTAGAAAATGTTTCTGTACCTCCTTTCTCTTTTGTACAGCTCTATACCACACTTGAATGTGTACAGCTGCCATCTGTATCTTCTGATATCTGACACATGTTTGATGCATTCTGAACCAAGATTGGATTATAACTGCAGATCTGTTCATCTGGACTATTTTTCGCCTGACTTTCATACCTCGGTAACTAGACTGCAATTTAATAGTGGCTGTTCGCAAACGCATATACTCTGCCTGCTGCAACCTGGCACAAATAGTGGCACGGTAATATCTCTGAATGGAGAGAGCTGCAGCCCTCATGCCAACATACTCCTTTCGGAACTTATAAGATCGGTAGGAAGCCTGGATAATTGAAGCAGATAAATTGAGATTCAGAACTTGCCTTCTTGTATTCCATCCTCTATAAGCAGCCTGAAGAACAACTGCAGCGGCTTTTATTGACAGGTACAATAAGCGTTGAGATTTTCCTACTATATATGCTCTGTACTGCTGCTGAATCAGTGTGCAGGCTTCTTTCTTAGTACTATACATGGCCCGACAGGCATGCATTCTGTAATAGGACTGAATCAAGGTTGCTGCTTTGCATCGTCGCTCATTCACTTGTATTACTCTGCTCCTCCACAGAGCTTGAACTTTTCTAACAGTCAAACAGAGTTTGAGGTAATGCTGCCTCTCCTTCCTGCCGGCAAGCAATGCCTGGTAATACTGCTGTATTTTAACTGCAGCATTCTTCTTAGCTCTTAGTTTTTTCTGACAGACAAATCGTCTAAATTCAGACTGAATACATATCGCAGCCAAGTGATGCTTTCGGATTCGCTTTCTTACAGTCCAACCACGGTAGCCAGCTTGAAGACAAACAATAGCTCTTTTTGTCCTTAAGAACATCTCTTTATCACTCCTTGCTTGTCTTCTGCTGCGGAACCATCTCTGAATAGAAATTGCCGCTGATCGTCTAACCAGGAAGAGCTGTCTCTTTGCCTTTCCTTGCCTGTATGCCCGGTAGTAGATCTGTAGCATTAGGGCGGATTTCTGTTTGTTTAAAAATGCTTTTCTTTGTATCATACCCCTGAACCAAGACTGGATCTTTATTACTTTGTATCGGAGTTGTAGATAGTTTTGCCTTTCTCTGTGCATGCGATACAGTGATTGAATAGTAACAGCAGCAGTATTTTGTGCTCTTAGTTTACGTGCGCTCCACCTTCTGTATGCATTTTGAAGCACTAAGGCTGCTTCTGTTACTCTTCTTAAATGTTTCCTTTTCCATCTTCGGAAAGCAGACTGGATGACCACAGTGGCAGATTTTAGCTGGATATATTTTTCACGGTTCCTTTTTGTCAATAGCCAAGAACGTAGATGGTGTTGGATAGTAACAGTGGCCACCAACACCCTGTTGTAGGAAGCAACAGCAATTCTCGTCCGTACTTTTGCTTGTAGGAGGATAATGTAATGCCTGGCTTTAATGTAACGCTTTCTTGCCAAGTAACCTCTCCAAAACCTCTGCAAAAGTAAAGTACAAAAGTTAGATATGTTTAGTGCTACCAGAATTCAAAAATCATCTCAAAGCATTGCACTGACTTCATCTGTCAAGTATTATGTATAGAAACAGTTTCAATCTTTTAAAGAGTTTAAAGAGAACTCTAAACGGACAATAGGCATTTTAAAAAGTCTGTTGATGTCAGTTAATGATAAAAGCACATTATACAACCTGCATGTATGTTGAGATTCTTACAATCTAAACATTTGACAAGTATAGACAGACTTATTTAAGATGTCCTCTCATTAAATCACTAAGGCAGAGTGGTTTGTTGAAAAGCCAAAATAAATTTAGCAATGACATTTCGGAAAAAAAAAAATTTAAATACGAAAATCCATGTTCTCTATTTTTACTTGGTGATAGATTGTCAGTACTACATCTTGAATAGCAAATGAACTCTGGTGCCTTGGCACTGTACCTAAGCAGAAAAGACACAAAAACACGCACTATACCTGGCTGCAAGTAAAAAAAGAAAATAAAATATATAGATGTCATCCTAACATTTGATTGATAATTTAGACATTTTAAGCATACGTGTATTTAGGTGGCTTAATGGGAGTTTTTTAAGGATGCAATGCAATTCCAAATGAATTATCTACATGAAATGAGGGCTATCACTTTAAAGCACATGTCATGGTATCTGAGACGATTTGAAATCTGTATTCCAACCTGGATGATTACAGCTTGAGATTCCATCCGTAGGTGTTCTTTTAACCTTTCAAGTTGCTTCCGTGCTAGATGTCTTCTCCACCACTTTTGAAAGACAACTGCGGCAAGATTCTTCTTTAATTGGCATCTCTTGATATATCGAACTATTGCAGCTTTGATAATGCAGGCTGCTTTGTGCTTCCTCTGTAAAGCAGAGTTTATTTGAATTGTATTTTTTAAAAGACTTTTTAAATACATTTTAACATATTCAGATTTTGGATACAATATAGCTACTTTGTAGAGGTTTTTTTTTTTTTTTTTAAGAAGACCCTTGAGTGCAGTCAATCAGAAGTCTCTCCTCCTCACATACATACACGCACATTATAAAAATGAAATCAGCCTGTTTACTAATGAAAGGGGTACGCAAAATACAGTCTGTATAATTAGAGTTTTTACAAAGCTTCACTCCCAGCAGACGTAAAAAGAACAGTAACCTGCTGAAGTTGCTCCTCTGCTTTCAGTCTGTACTTCCTCCATGCTGCCTGAATCACTCTTGCTGCTCTTGCTTCCTTGCACAGATCCAAGAGCCGCACACACAGAAATGATAGGTAAATGATCACAACCTGTACCAGAAAGCCCAGACAATAATGTCACATGATTAGCAAGCAGTAGTGGCAGGCACACGATAGTTTTACAATTAATGTTATTGTGTGATATATACCACACAAGTAGTTATGCTGGCCCATTTTTTGCTCCTTATGAGAGAGCATTAGACTAGCATTTTTTTTCAAGTATTCAACTAAAATCCACAAGGAATCATCATTTAAAAGAGGCACTGTAAATTCCAATACATGTATTGTGTTTATGTAAAGTTATAGAAGAACAACATGTATTTAATATGGATGTAGTACAAAACCATTAAACGTAAAGCCAATAGGATTCTCAGTACATCAGTAAGAAATGATGTATTGAGAAGCAATAAACAGCTGTAATATAGTTCAAATACAAACTATAATGGATATTGTGTAGCTATGCATATGGTGGCAATTGCAGATCCAGTCAGAACAAAAATAAATAAAATATTACTAGAGAAATGGTCACTTGGAGTACTAAAAGTTAGTGTTTTGGTTGTATGTTCATTTTTAAAAACACATTTTGGTTTGTCTGCAGATCATAGGAAGATGGCGGCAACAATCACAGTAAGGGTGTTCCTACTAAATGCACTTTAGTTCCAGGATATATGTCAATATCACAAGGGAATACAAATAAATAAAAATGTCCGACACATAAAAGTTGTAATGTGCAATAAGCATTCCTTACCTTCTCATCTGGGATTGTATTGGACATATCTGAATGATGGATCATGGTTGGAATCCCTCCAAGATTGGACACAGCTGTATGTATTAAGCTATAATTCTTCCTCTCATTCTCCAGCAGTTCCTTATAGACAGCTGAAGTGGTAAAGCCTTCAAAGACAAATATTTTTACATGCATAAATAAATATATGTAATAAATATATGTAAAATGTTGAAACAAGAGAAACTTTTTTTATGATTTATGAAAACAAGATACCTTGGTCACCCATCCCAGGCCAAAGATCCAATGAACTGTCAGAGTCAGAGGAGCAATTCAGCCCCACAGTTCCAGTTTCTGTACATTCAATAGTCTGAGTGGTTCGCTGGCATATATCATGTAGTGGCAAGTAACTGGGGTGATAATGATTAATCAAATAACAGATAATGCGCCCGTCTGAAAAGCAGACTGTAAAATTTTCAACCTGGAAAAAATAAAGTGTTAAATATTATTACACATATGGACAGACTAAAAAGTGGCACCAGTACTCATGTGCCAATTGGATATGAAACAGACATTGCTATAAACTTTAGGAGTTCCTTACTTTACTGCTGTAAAAGGCACACACTGCATTAACCCACTCCATGAGAAGCAACATTCGCTCATTGTAATTCTCAGGGACAGAAGTGTCACTGTCCCTTTTCTTTGCTGTTTCAGTGCTTGTGAAAGTCCTCAGAGCAGCGAGCTTCTTCTGAACACTGTATCTTTCTTTCAAAAATCGTATTTCATCCTTTAGCTGCTCAATGCTCAGCAGTACATCCACCTGCAAGGGTGGCAAAAACATTAGATCAATCCCGGAAGAAGACTAACATACACAAATTTTACTTTTTCAGGGTTAGTTACTAAAGTGAGAATTGCTGGGAATTCATAATTTACAGCCAATATAGCTGAACTGTTCAAGTCAGCTATGCTTCCAGTTGGTCTACTGTGGCCTTAAATTTGAAATTCACTTTAATTTCCAGACAATTCTGACTTTTTTGAATACCCCTATTGGTATTTCTAAAAGACTGCAAGAAAGCAACATTAGAAATGTGTCTAAAAGGATGACTTAAAATATACCGTTTGAATGGTTTGATGAAAGTTATGGGTCCACCATGCACATGTGTAAAAATAAATGTAAAAATAAATAAATCAATCTACGGATGATCCTGAGATTGTGATATTTTCCCCAAACACTCCAGTTTTATAGACACACAAGTCCTACAAACACTACACTACCATTCAAGCAGATCAGACATCTTTGCAAAAGCACCTCAGAAGTGACAGTCCCACATAAGTATCTATACATTTGCCTGCCTTGAAAAAAAATTGACAGAAAGAAGTCCAGTAGGTTTGTCATAAACCTTTAGAAAAACAGTGACAAATAACTGAGCAAACAGAAAAAAGTTTTTTTTGTTGTCCCTCCCCCTTTAATTTTTTTTTTTTTTTTTTTAATGGCTATATACCTGAAATGTAAAAACTATTCTCCAAAGCAGTGCTAATGTGCGCTCACGGTGTCGGTCTACAATGTCTTTGGAGGTAATTGAGACTCCTACATAAGAGAATACAGAAAGGTTAAAATTGTAACGAAATCAAAAGATTAATACTTGTGATATAGTCAAAGAACCTATTTCTTGCCTCTTTTTTAAATTCCCTACCAACAGTTTAAGGAAAGAGGCAAAATAAATAAATACATTAAAAAAAAAAAAAAAAATGAGAAACAGTCATGTTAAAAATAGGTTTATATATTTAAAAAAAAAAAAAAAAAAAAAGGGAATATTCATGCATGTCCTTGAGGAACTTTTCCACAGCTCACTTACAGCAAAATATTTCTCCTACTTTGATAGGTTCATACTATTAACTTGAACATTTTCCAAAACTCTAATACATTTCTAGCATGATTTTGTAGGCCCAATAGAGGTGCAAATGTGAGCACTGCAAGAGCATTGAAGAGTCTAAAATCCTTCCTTTCTCAAAGCAATGTTTTTACACTGAAATCTGTAACTTGTTTACAGAATAACCAAAAATATGATACAGAAGTCCCAAATGGTAAGATACCATTTACAAACGGTATCAGAACTACTTTTGGAAGCAGATTCCTTAAAACGGCACTGTGACCACCCCCAAATCAGTATTTTATAAAGATAGAAATCATTAAGAAATAATCATATTGACAGTGTTGGAATTCCACTGAAATGCCTGCCCAGTCAAAATATATATGGAGACAAGGTAGGAACTACTTTGTCTCAGTATTTTTCCTACGCTTGACACAAAAAAAGTTTGTTTTTAAATAATGTGTGGAGCTACTAACGTCTAGAATGGTCAAAACCTCAGCCAGTGATGGCTGCATCTATGGAGAATCTCACTGTCTCGCAGGACTCCTTTCCATAGACCACAAGACTATTAAGCACCAGGAGCAGAAAAGGACCGGCCAGAAGAAGATGGCAACGCCTGCGAGGGACTGATTGTGGGAAGTTAAGTGCACCCTTGTCTGCACCCCCAGCCACCGGATTCCAAGTGGCAATTTCACAGTCAGGGTCTTTACATATTTTAGCAAAGAAACCCAGACGCGACAGTGCCAATTTAAGACGCATGTAGATCAGAACAGGAATTAATTGTGGAGATTTTGTTTCACTGGCATAAAGCGCTGTTCTAAGTAAAATAGTTCCAAACTTAAAAAAATAAATAAATGTCTCTCAAAAACAAGCTGTGATTGAGAAACAAAATAAAAAGTTAGAGATGTACTTGCTAAACCGAGAAATAGGACAGGAGGAAATGAGATACCAATTTTAAAATGTTTTATTTATAACCTTTGTCATCTTTAATTTGGACTTCTCGCTCCATCAAGACTTGTAAGGCCACTTCAACATTATGCATCTTCTGAAGACGACTTATGGCCGGAACTCGCAACTTTTTAGACAAATCCCAGTTCTGGGTTAGCAGTTCCATCATCCTTCTGTATAGATAACAATGTTAATGAACTGTCCCAGATGAAAAGAGAAATAAGGACATCAGAAAAACTACTCACACAAGGCGAACACCACAATGCAGATCCATAGCCAGGTTTGTCACAGCAAAGTCAAACTCATCAAGGTGAGTCTGAGAATGGCTGACTGGCAAACCCAAATAATAGAGGTGACGTGAGAGATCACCTTCTCCACTGAGGAAATCTCGTGAGAATGCCAGCAACAGATCTTTACTTGTCTGAAGGGATAAAAAAAATATATATATAAAAAAATAAAAAATAAAAAGACAGTATATATAAATTTACTTCAGAACTAGAAGATCATTAATAATGGGACATTTAAAGCACACTTTCAATGCTAGACATTGGTGAAACTCAAATCTAATCACAAGCAATCTTTTTAGGTTTAAAGAAAGAAATATCAATGCACCTTAAATTCTGCATCTTTCCAAAACAAGCAAGGATCGTGATCAATAAGCCTGGACTGTTTAGCATGATCAAGGAAGAAAACGAGGAGCAACAATTTCTTCAAAGTAAATTTGGAGAGGGCTTCTTCATGACCTGGGTTGATAAAGGTACATAAGATATAGTTTCCTGTAAACAATTTAAAAGTGTATGTGTATATGTATGTATTGTAAAAATGCAGAGGTATTACATTAGTGAAATATTAGTTTCTGCAGTGTGGATTTCTTGCAATCCACACCAGAACATAGGTCTGAAATCAAGCAATACTTCACTATAGAGGGAGTGCAAATGTACAAAAAGCTTGTATGGTGAACCTCAACACCACAAAAAAAAGGTATAACCAAACACTCATTCAAAGTATAAGAACAAGCTCCAGAATATAAAATCACACAAATAAGATGATACGTTAAAATACCACCTGATATAACATTTGCCAATCTGATATCACAGATCTGAAAAACAAAAAAACTGTATATAGTGTAATACAATAATAAAAAAAATTTAAAAAAATTAAAAAGGGGAGGGGAGAAAGAGTGAGAGCACTCACAAGACGTAGAAGTATGCAGGCTTGTCTCCCCAAAAGGAGTGAAATCCGTATGTGCTGTGCTCCAGTTTGTAGTTGTAGGTCATGAAGAGAAGATCCAATAGCGTGATACCATTAAAAAAAAAAAAAAAAAAACACACTTAATGATTAACAATGCACTTACAAGAAGGCAGTCAATCCAAGAAGTCAGAAGACATGCTTGGATTTTTAATCATTAAAAGAGTTTAATGGTTTCACACTATTGGGTCTTCTCTTCATGACTTAAGCCCAGCCCATACGGATACGGAAGTCTGCATACTTCTACGTCGCGCGTGTGCAAAAACTCTCCCCCAATTTTTACTGTATTGCACTATTTACAGTTTTTGTTTTTCAGATCTGTGATATCAGAACATAGATCTATCTGGGATTTGCCTGTGGAATCCTATTCATTGAATCAGACACCGCAGGTCAATCCCAGATAGACGGACTCGTTTAGGAAGAACCACTGAAATGAATCTTTGCACAAGTTTAAAAAGAGAACAGCAGTTCTAGAATACAATTGATATAAAAGACTGTAGCAATACCAATTAAGATTACAAACAGTTCCTAGGACTGAGACTACTTACCATCACGGTATAAGTTTGGTACTGACGGATGTCTATATTCTGCTGCTATATCTGGATTCCATAGCAAACGGTTCAAGATGAACAGAGCGAGACCTGTGATGTCACTGTTACTTTCCAGAGATATTAATTCTCCGAAAACAGTCTTAAAAAAAAAAAAAAAAAAAAGTTTTATATGGCATAAAATACCAACACCAGTATAACCTAGGTTTAGGACATCACTGATCTGTAAATGCCAACACCTAACCAGACAATTGGGGGCAATAGTAACTAAAGGACTATCTACATCTAAAGGCCAGGAACAGCATCATCTATAGTTCTTTTTAAGCCAGTTCTATGGCACATACTCCAATATTTAGGAATTATTAAGCAAATTTGCCTCAATAGGATAGTAACAAGACATACGTCTTCAAGGACTGTTGACAAGCTGGGGTGTACTAGAATATATATGTAATGCATTCGATATAACTAAAAGAAGAGTAAATAAATCAACCACTACATATTGAAAATCGAAATTCACAACATTGCCTAATGGTTGTAATATGAGCGTTTTGGCTGCATTCATCCTGGACAGCCAGATACATTTTCTTTTTTACCTCTTCAAAATGACCTGTAGTTCTACATGTACTTTTCCTCTCTGGTTCATACTACAGATAGACCGTACTATGAACCAGAGAGGCAAAGAACATATAGAACTACAGGCCATTTTCAAGAGGTAAAAAGAAAAAGAAAAAAAAAAATACTCATTACTCCCATTAGGAGTATTCCTGGCAATACACAACTAAATGATAATTACCTCCAATCCTACACGAAGCCACAATGGATTATAGGACAGAAGCCAATTCAAAATTTTTTGACGTTCACCTACAAAACAAATACACAGTATTTTACTTAATCACATATTATTGGCATTTAAATAGCGCTAACATATTCCGTAACGCTTTACAATATTATGGGAGGGGGAGATTTTACAATAAACAAGATGGTTACAAAAACTTAAAAGGAACAATAGGTTAAAGTCAAACAAATAGATTTTGGTTTTAAAATATATCCCTTATGAAGAAGGAAATCGTGGACACACCATGTCTCACTGCTGTCTGTTTCCCAAATTATATATCTAGAACACGCAGTATATGTTTACCAATATCCTTCCATAAATGTCTGTCTTTTCTCACAAGCAGTCTCCGAGCCTCAATCTCCACCTCTAGTCTTCTTATTGCTTTCACCACAGGCTCAGATGTAAAGAGACGGCACGCCGACCTCCTAAGTCTATTTAACCTGCACCGCGCTGTATAGGCCTTGAGAGAAACCTCATCCTTGGTAGGGGCTTTTGGTACACTTATCTTATGCGAACTTTCTTCTAAGATCAGGGCTGCTGCATTAACTACAGAGAAGAAGAAGAAGAAAAAAAAAAAAAATGTATAATTGAATTATACGTAAATATTAAAAGGGTTCCACTCAATGTATAAAGAAACAAGTTACTTGCCGAGAGAACATTCCATTCCCTGTATTTGTGAGGTTAACATCCATGTATTGGACCACAATGTTTTGTTTTGTTTTCTTAAGATGCTGTTTCAGTTGGGAAATAATTTCCCGCGCCTTTTTTCTTATCGAGTAACAGGGCTACAATGTTTTGCAATCTAGATTATATTGTTCACAGCCCAAAAGTAGAAAAGATTTCTCGGTTACCTTTTGTAGTATCTCTTTTAACGGCAAAGTCATCAGGGGTCAGTATGAAGTTTAGCCACCAAGTAAAACCTCGTTCTTGCTTTGCCATCCAGCGTTCATCATAAAACATGTTTTTGGCAGCAAAAGGCATTGGGTGTCGTGGAATAACTAGAAAATTTAGGAAAAATATATATTTAACGGTCTATAAATCTGAATAAAGAAATAGAAAAAAAAAAAAAAAAAAAAAAAAAAAAAACAAAAAAAAAAAAAACTGTTTGATGGCCAACATATTAGAATGACTATGCTGTTACAGATTACCAGAACTGACAACATACAATAAAACAGAATTTGCATAAATATAGTAGTTTAATTTATTGGCATTTACATGGCGCCAACATACTCCACAGCACTTTACAATATCATGGGAAAAATTTAAAATAAATGTTACGAAAATAGGTTGATGAGGAACTCAATCAAAATATCTTACAATCTGAATCTCAAGAAGAGGTAAGGGAAAAACACAATGGGAAGAGAATATTTTCTTTACCTTACCTGTTTTTGATGGCTTCATGAAGTTTAATCGTGACTGAGCAACAGCTACAACATGCTTGATATTCTTTAGTTTTCCATCTGGCTGCAGTGGAGGTGGTAGCACTACACCTGAAATAAAATTATGTATTAACCTTGATAATTTATATAGTTAATATGTAGCTCACCTCAAAAGGGCAGGTCATGTAAAATGAAAAACAAACAAACAAACAAAACCAGCTCAATTACTGCATCTACTGAAATAAGTTTTTCCCTGTGCTATAAAAACATTTTTCATGGGTAGCCTAACCACCAATGGAGACCGACGCGTGAATCCTGTACTCTCCCTCCTCGGAGATATAATCTGCCAACATCAGCAAGTTTTACCAGGCATCCAGCCCTACCAAGATATCATCCGATACCCACAACACTACCCACCCGGTGTAACCATGGGGGGGGCAACAAGAAAAGGAAGGATTTACCACCTCCAGTGATCACAATGTTCCGGACGCCAAAAGGGCAAGGGCGGCAATCTTTGAGTCAGGGCCCGACAGACTCTGGCTCAGAATCCTACATTAGTGAGGCCTCTGAAAGATTACAACCTAAAAGATCTTAATAATCGCAGGAAAAATATCCGGATAAGAGGCCTGCCGGAAACAGTGGGGGCGGATAACATCTTGCCTACACTCCAGGAGCTGTTCCACTCCCTCCTGCCAGACACCACGACCAGGAGATAGAGAGGGCTCACAGAGCACTTCGCCCTCTGGTGCTCAACCCTGCAAAACCAAAAAGGACATCATCGTTCAAATGCTCCACTTTGCCACTAAAGAAAAGCTTATGGCAGCCACTAGAAATACTCAGCCGAAATTCCAGACTCACACTCAGGCCTTCTTCCTAAATACTGGACGGCGACAGTCGGGACAGGTCACTGTGCAGTCAGCACAAGAGCATAGCCTAAACATCTGTGTTCTCCGGGACCAGCAGAAGATTGCTAGTGCCCCATCAGTAAACGGAGGTCTCGCAGATATAGAAGACGCCCATTGATTAACTATCGCCCTATTTTCCACCCAGGGTAGCCACACCGGGGGCGTGGCCGGACAGAGCACGAAGCTAGACGTGTAGTGCTCTGGCTGCTCGCCCGTGCCGCTAAAACTGCGACAATATAGCTGAACAACGAATTAGCATGGTTCGCAACAAGAAGCTCATTTCCCGGGGCACACCATCAGCAAGTTCCCCACGCAAACCCACGGGCACCATGGACGATTGTGTCCTCGCAGGCCGAACCTCGAGCCGCTAACGCAGCTGACAAGATGGCGCCAGTCTCAATGAGCGCGGGAACCACAGGAGCAATGGCAGAGAGTGGGGGCTGAGAAGAAGCAATTACCTTAATCTGCCAGGAACTGGCTGCAATCTCGGATCGCATGCTCTCGAACACTGACACCGGGGGCTTAATACAGGAATTCCGTGCAGTGGTTGCAGGAGGAACTGGGGCCTTGCGCACCGACCTTAACGCAGTTGAAGTGTGCGTGGAAGCCCTGGAGACTGAAGAGCAGGCCTGCCAAACGCAACAAAGAGCCGCTGAGCTGGCCACCATACGCCAAGGCAATCTCCTCCTCACCCTACGCCGCCAGGTAGAAGACCTGGAGAATCGCAGTCGTCGACATAACATCCACGGCCTACCGGAGCCGGACTCCACGCCTCTACCAGAGATGGTCCGGGCCCTCTTCAGTCAAATCCTGGGCAAAGAGTCCCCCGCAGACATCCAATTTGTCAGAGTGCACCGAGTCTTCTGTCCCCAACGACAAGATGGGAGACCCAGAGATGTCCTCTGCTGCCTGCACGCCTACAGCCTGAAGGAGTCTGATATCCATACCTCTGGTTGCGGACAAGATCAATTTCCAGGGCTCGGATGTGGCGCTCTTCCAGGACCTCTCTAGCCTAACACTAGACGCGCAGAGGGCACTCCGACCCCTGACTGCGGCCCTCCGAGACAGGAATATCGCTTACCGCTGGGGTTTCCCCTTCTGTCTGTAGATCTAGAATGGCAATACCTGGCTCCACATTCGCTGGCCAGACAACGTGACTCCGGTGTTTAGGACCCTGCGCATCCCACCTATCCGCATTTGAAATTGGCTGATGGAGACACTGCTGGCACAGAGGGGCCACCAAGAAGATCAAGACCCACACCCCACAAAACCGCAGAATCAGAGAGTACCTGGGACATACCCCCTTTACTGGTTATCTACACTTGGGCGCAATAGCTCACTCGCGCGGACACAGCGCACAACCACTCCCGGGGGGTCTGTGTGTGTGTGTGTGTGTGTGTGTTTTCACGTATAGAGGTGAAGAGTACTTCCCACATGGTCAAGGTCCTCTATTACCCTATTGGACTAGGACGAATTGCAGACAGACTACCCGGACTGGATCTCCCCCCTCCACCCCCATACCTTCTACAGGTCAGCACCTCCCTCACCCACCCACTACAAGCCCTCTACCTACCCTCTGCCCTTCCCGTCCCTCTTGCCGGGAACCCAATGGCTCGGTCGGGTGGCGCCTCCTCTACGCCTCTGGACCAATAACTTAAGGAGACTAAATTCCCCAGAGCGACGCTCACACCTGCTGCGGACCCTGTGGGCCACTAGGACTTCGGTGGCATTCCTACAAGAGACCCACTTTAAAAGGTCCAGACCCATCTGCTCTACGGGACTCTAGATTCCCGACCGGGTTCTTTCCCAATCATCCAGACTCCAAAAGAGCCAGAGTGGCGATACTCTTCACTCGACATACACCATGCCACTGCACTGAGACGATGGCGGACCCGAATCTCCATCTCCTCCAAACGTGTGATATCCAAATGGTAGTCTGGAGGGACCACTCCCCGGTCCTGGCCACGATCCACTCACCCCTATTCAAACCCAGCGGCAAACAATGGAGGCTCCATGAGCAGAAACTGGGCGACTCACTGGTTGCCGCGTAAACAGAAGCCATGCTACACCAATATTTCGAAATCGACACCACGCCGGACATCTCACCATTGAGGAGATGGGAAGCGCATAAATGCGTAATCCGAGGCCATTTTATCAAACTCTTCACCAAGCGTAAAAAAGAACACCACAGTCGACTGGCGGATCTATACGCACGTACCACACAACTAGATCGAGAGCATAGGTTGGCCCCCTCTGAAGACGCCTACCGGGCACTACTGGAAGCACGCAGGGAGCTGAAGAATCCCCTCACAACAATTGACCCACACGCTACGCAAATCGCGCAGTTACATCTACGAACACTAACAAGTGTGGCCGCATGCTGGCCAAAATGCTACAAAAGAAAGAGACTAGCACAGATTACCACGCTCCAGACGAAGGGAGGTGCCCTCACGAGATTACCAGATCAAATAGTCACAGAATTCCAGGACTTTTATACTAAGCTATATAACCTTCTGACCGAGGAGGGGGTAGGAGCAAACCAGGCACGGTTGACGGAGATCAGGGAATATTTGGAACATGTGCACCGGAAGCTCTCTCAGTCCCAAAAAGACCAAGAATCCCCGATCACGCTAGGTGAGCTCCTGGGAGCCCTTAAGGCCATCAACGTCAATAAGGCACCGGGCCCGGATGGCCTCCCAGCTTGATACCTTAAGATTTTTAGAGAGATTCTTATGCCTGAACTCTTGACGGGGCTAAACTCTATTCTGGAGGGGGTTCCCGAGGGATACCCTCATGGCGACTGTGGCGGTCCTCCCGAAAGACGGGAAAGACCCTACTGCGTGCACTAGCTACAGACCCATCTCACTACTCAACGCGGACCTCAAGCTCTTTACTAAGATCCTGGCTCTTAAGGTGGGCCGTGTTGCCCCGAACCTGGTGCATCCGGACCAGACGGGCTTCGCCCCGGGCCGGGAGGCTAAAGATAATACAGTACGAGCCCTCAACATCATTCACGCCACCAGGAACACCGCCCGCAGTAGCCTCCTCCTCTCGACCGACGCCGAAAAGGCGTTTGACCGAGTGGACTGGCAATACATGAGTGAGACCCTGCGGGCAATGGGCTTTGGCCCACACGTGTTGCTGTGGATACCGCCTCTGTATCCATCTCTGAGGGCTCGCTTGCGGATCAATGGTGCCCTGTCCCCGTCATTCGCAATACGGAACGGTACGAGGCGGGGTGCCCCTGTCCTCCGTTTTATTCGCCCTCACACTGGAACCATTCCTGGAGGCAATCAGGCGGGACAGAAATGTTGAGGGAGTTGAGATAGAGGACAGAACGCACAAGGTCGCAGCTTATGCCGACTACCTACTTTTCTTCGTCGAGAACCCTATGATCACCCTGCCGAACCTCCTCAGTGCCTTTAAGACCTACGGAAAGCTTTCGAATTTGAAACTGAACACAGATAAGTCTGAAGCGCTCCCTTTACGCCTGCCCTCTGGACTACTGCCCCAACTAAAAGCGAACTTCCCCTTCAAGTGGTGCACCCATCGTATTAAATATCTAGGAATTTGGATGACGAGGGACCTGAGTGAGCTCTATCGAGAACTTTTTGCCATTACAAACTATACTACAATCGGATACACTCAGGTGGGGAGCATCATGCGTGTCGTGGTTCGGCAGAATCAATGCCATCAAAATTAACCTTTTACCGCTTTCAAACTATTCCGATTAGAACTCCCCAGCTTTCTTTAAAGCCATGAATACGGACATCCGAAGATTTGTCTGGAAGGCTGGGACGGCCAGACTTAAATGCACACAGCTGACCCAAACACACATTTGGGCGGGGTGGGACTCCCGGACCTGCAATTCTACTACGTGGCTGCTCACCTTCTCCGAATAGTTGACTGGCATGTCCCACAAACAGAAGTACTTGGTCCGCCTGGAGCACACGCAAACCCAAGGACGACTCCCATGGGTGACGTGGTTCCCTCACCCCCTACAGACTAAAGACATCCGTGAACACCGATGGTTGGGGCAACCCTGTGGGTGTGGTCAGGCCTGCGATATAAACTGAACCTCTCCACCAACCCGTCCCCCCTGACACCGGTCGTCTATAACCCGGAGATAGCGGGAGGCCTGGCGCCGAGAGATGTGGAAGGTTTGGGAAACCCGGACGGGTTGCATTTGAGAGACTGGTGTACAAACGGCCAAATCCAGCCCCTTGAGACTTTGCTGACACAAACTCAGGCTACAGGGTTGCTGCAATTCCGGTACCACCAGATTCGACACTCATGCCGCACGCTACCTGGCTTGCAGCTCATACACAGGGACTTGACATACTTCGAGTCCTTGTGCACTGGGAGGACGCACCTGCAACGAGGTATCTCGGTCCTCTACGCCAATCTCATTAGGGCTGCACGGACGCCGCCGGCCCCCTACCAGTCACAGTGGGAGCAAGCCACGGGGACCGTCCTGACGGAAGCTGAATGGGAGAAGATCCACGCTCTGACACACCAGGGAACACCAAATTTTGAGAGCTTAATTACAAGCTCCTGACCTGTTGGTATAGGACGCCCACCAGACTATGCCGCATGGGCCTCATGCCGACAGCCCGGTGCTGGAGATGTGGGACGGCGGATGGCACATCTGGTGGACGTGCCCTCCCATAGCCACCTTCTGGCAACTAATACACGGAAAACTGAGGGAGATCTTGGATTCGGATGTTCTGCTGCAGCCCCCCCAGGTGTTGCTCCACCACACCGAGATGCCACTTGGCATATACAAAAAATCCCTAACGAAACACCTCCTGAATGCTGCTAAGAGCCTGATCCCTGCCAAATGGAAAATCGCAGCTGGTGCCAACGGTGTCGGAATGGACAGAGAAGATAGAAGAAATCTTTCACATGGAAAGCCTCACGGCAGAACTACACGGCACAGGAGAACAATGCATGCGACTATGGGGCCCCTGGATTGACTACATGGCACACAGGTCCCCAGGAGCAGACTCGAACCATGCACACCCCGAGTTACACGCCACGGGGCGGAGGGCGGCGACGGGCCCCCTGCTCCTGACAGAGCCCTTCCACCCGTAGGCCAATGGGTGTGCTTCTTAAGCACATTGGTTAGACTGTCATGAGCGGCCAACACATCTATTAAGTTATACTGCCAGACTTTCAGAGTTCTTACACTCCAGTTGCTACGCATTAAAGGTTTCCTGATAACTCTCGGTCCATGGAATTGAAGTGAGGCCATAATTATTTCCTTGCTAACACACAGCGGAAGAGTTGATAGCTACCCATAGAAAGGCCGAGGTATAAAAACTAGTCACTAGAAAGCCAACGTGACACCAGGCAGCCCTGTCGGTAATTAAGTAGGTTTCCACGTGAGACTAGCTACACTTCTGCACCACTCCCCATCGCACTGTAGGATTCCCATTTATAGAAGCTGATAACTTTGTTTGAACTCGCACTCGTAGTGCCTAATTGTATCTTCCCAAGGTTTGACTGAGAACACTTGTGTACTGCCATTAGTGTTGTTATATTGCAATAACTTTCTTCAATATCATTATTTTGAATCTTTGCTCTCTATCATTTATGTACCACGTAAATTGAAAAATAAAGATTGTCAAACAGGGTAGCCACACCAATTTTAACCCAGGCTACGGAAGATACCGATGCTATAAGGTTTTGAAGATATAAGCAATGATGCCAGGGACTTATCAGGTAGCATAACCCTACACACCCATGTGGCCCACCTAGCCCATTATGCTGGGGGTTACAGACTCATGGGGAGGGAGAAAATTACTCTCTAATCCTTAGACGTGGAAATACCCACCAGTCTTCACCCAAAACGCCCGACAACCTGTACCCCAACCCTGTATATCCCCCCCAATAGAGATGCCAAGGGAAGTCCGCACCGAATTGCATGACAGGCAAAGGCCCCCCCCCACCACCCCCTTCACTACCAGCTACCCTTGGGGTGTGTTGACGCACAGCTGACACTAAAGGGACGGCTTTAAACCAAGAGCATCCTAGTCCTACAAAAAAAAAGTCATCAGCGCTTTAGCGGCCAACTGAGACCCCATTGATCTCCTCCAACCCCCCCCACGTTTTGTGTAACACCTACACACGCTGCTCCTAAGGCCCCTCCCAACTGCTCCATGTCTGAGAGAGCACTCAAACTTAAAAGCCCCACCACAACTCCTGGGCAGATATGTATCTACAACACAAAGGGGTGGACCCCAAATCCTGACACCTTTAGATAACACCTGCATGCCCAGTGGGCCTAAGCTCGGAGTGCTGCTCTTTGTTTCATTTAATGTACCTTCTCTTAATTTATTTTACTCCACTCTTCAATATGGTACGATGTTTCTTATGCATGCTTACCGCTGCCATTCTTGAGCCTCAGGAACAAATCAACGTATATGCCTACCATGTACTGCTGTTAAATTATTTTTATTAATACAGGGTTGCAACACCCTCTCCCCCACATACCATTTGGGGTGGTCACGTAACATTCCCATCAAGTCACAACCAGTTAGCATGGGTGCGGAGATTACATGCGTGTCCATTAATTGTAAGAGGCATCAGCTTATGAGATGGGCTAACCGAAATAGGGCTGACTTGGTGCTCCTACAAGAAACCCACTTTACTCAATCCAAACCATTCCCTCTCCTAAACCGAGACTACCATGAATGCCATACAGCAAACTCTCCCACAAGCAAACAAAACGGGGTAGCCATATTGATACACAAAACCTGCCCTCTGCACATAAAACAGATTACTAAGGACCCCCAGAGTAGGTTTATTACATTTTCCAGTCAGACAGGAACCAACAATTATGCTATCACCTCGATATACGCCCCAAACACCCCAGAAAACACGTTCTGGGACCTACTACATGCGCATTTGGCTTTATTCCCGGGCCCACTTTAAAATTATCGGAGGAGATTATAACGCCACAATGTCACCATTGGTGGGCAGCCTCCACCACCAATGCTCAGCATCTACGACCAAATCTGACAAACTGCTCCAGGCCTTCACCTCGCGCCTACATTTGGTGGACGCATGGCGGATGCTACAACAGTCTGCACGGGGCTATAAGTTTTATTCGCACCCACACAATTCGTACTCCCGGATAGAACTCTTTTTAGTTACCCTCTCTCCTGTCTATGGTCAAGGCAGCCTCTATTGGAACCATCTCATGGTCGGACTACACCTAAGTCACCCTGACCATATCAATTCCAAATATCGTTCACCCATGGTCATGTGAGACTGAACCCAACCCTGCTCCATAACCCCATCTTAAAAGATTCCATCCACAAAGACAGACTATTTCACTCTCAATACACCCTTGGTATCCTCACAGAATACTGTGGGCAGCTCACAAGGCTGTAATGACAGGGAAACTGATCAGTCTCGCATCTACACAAAAATAAACTCAGCTGGCAGAACTCGCAGAATCTCTCACAAACCAGCTCTTGAAACCAGCCATAAACAAAACCCATCCCCAGACGTGCCAACACGACTGACGCAACAAAATAAAGGACTTTATGGCCAGGGACTCGGCGAGAGCTCTCCAGTGGTCAAAGCAGAAATATTAGGAAAAGTCCAACAAGGCTGACACACTACTGGCAAGGAAACAAGTGCAGGACCGACCAGAAACACATTGACAAAATACAGGCCATGAACGGACAAACCCACACTATTCCCACGAAAATCTGTGACATTTTCCAGACTTACTTCGTCACCTTATATGATCATAGTCCCACCTCTAGACAACAACCAGTAACGACACTACAATCCATAGAGAAATATTTTCATACCATCCCCCAACCAGCCCTAAAGCTGAAGGCAATCACTAAGCTGAGCGAACGCACCTCTATGGAAGAAATAGCTAAAACCATCAAAACTACGAAACCCAACAAGAGCCTGGGACTGGACGGATTCACAGGGCTCTATTACAAAACCTTTCCCGCACTATTACTCCCCCTCCTTTGCCATCTTTTTATTCCATGCTTCAGGGGAACCCTATGCCACCAGACATGCTTCGAGCAAACATCTGACTCCTCCCAAAACCTAATAAACCCCACACAGAGCCGAGCCATTACCAACCAATTTCCCTATTGAACGTTGACATTAAAAACTGCTCGCGGACAGATTAAACCCCTACTTACCCAAACTCATTCACCCGGACCAAGTAGGTTTCATCCCATCCAGACAGGCATACGACACATACCTTTGACCTACTCTAGGTAGAGAAACACAGACAGATACCCACACTTTTCCTGCCCCTGGAAACCGAGAAGGAGTTTGATCGCCTTTTATGGCCCTTCCTGTTTGCAACCCTCCGCAAATTTTGAAATCCTAACGCCTTCCTCAACGCGCTTCAGACTTTGTACTCCACTCCGGAGGCTAACCTAATCTCGATTGCACACCCACCCTCATTCTGCATTTTTTACGGTGTACCCTCCTGTTCTCACTATAATTTGAACTCCTCCTGCAGACCCCAATACTAGACCCTCACAGTGCGGGAGGGCAAATCCAGAGGGAGGAATACAAGATAGCAGGCTACGCCAAAGACCTTTCTCCTAACTCTCAAGCTCACTCCCACCACTATTACGCGTCCTACTACGACTACTCTAAAGTCTCAGGCTACCGCCTAAACCGGGCAAAACCTAAGCACTACCGATCCAAATCCCTGAGGGCACGATGTCTGCACTTCAAGCCACCTATCCATTCCATTACAACCCAACACACACCCCCACTATCTTGGCATTAGCCTCCCTGCAGAGGTCTCTAAATTACACCCTGCTCTTAAAACAGGCAACGACCAACCTTAAGACCTGGGAGGACCACTCTATATCATGGCAAGGGAGAGTGACATCAAAAATGAATCTCTTACCAAGATTCCTATGTTTATTTCAGACACTGCCGGTACAGGTCTCCGTCAAAGACTTCAAACAGTTACAGACCCAGATAGATCAGTTTATTTGAGCCAACAAAAGGGCCAGAATAAGAAGGGCTATCCTATACCTTCCAACCAGAGTGGGAGGACTTAGCCTGCCACACTTTTTACAATATTTTCATACAGCTGGTTCAGATTCAAACCCTACATGCCCCCACAGGGCTGAAAAGATGGGTGGACCTGGAGCACGACTTCTTCGCCAGGGACTTCCCCCCTCCCTATACATTTGGCTCCCAAAACAGGCACGACCCCAGATCTCACAGACCACCCCAGCACTAACTACCTCCATCGAAATATGGAACAAACTATCCCTAAAAACACGTACTCGTGACGAATCCATCACCCCTCCCACCAATCCTGAAGAACGAACAGTTCATTCCGGGCATGAGTCCGCAAGACTTTGCCCACTACGAGGACAATAATCTCCATCGAGTACACTGTTTTTTCTGGAACCAACAACTAATCCCATTCGCGGACTTGCCTCAAACCACACCACTTACTACATATGACCACTTACGATAACTCCAAATAAGAAATTTCCTAGATACCACAGAATATAAAAAAGCAGGACAAACCTCCCTCACAGCTTCTGAACAAACATGTATCCAAAGCCCTGTACAGAAGAGTCAGATCTCCATTATATACTCCATTTTGGTCAAAGCAACCCAAATCGTGCCATTGTCTTATGTCACGGCTTGGGAGAGGGACTTGGGGCCCCCCTGCAAACCCCACGGTCTGGACAGCCATCTGAGAGGCCATGGCAACAGTTATGAGGTGTTAATCACAAAGAGCAGACCTATAAGACTACTGCGGTGGTATCTCACTCCCCTAAAATTAAAACAGATGGGACTCTCCACATCTGACCAGCGCTGGAAGGGATGTGGACAAAAGGGGACATATGGGACTGACAACTCATAACTCAACTATGGTCAGACACAATGACCTTAACCTTTAAAACGCTACATATTACCATCCCCAGGGACCCCTGGCTGTGGCTGCTTTCCAAACCGTTGACACACCTAGAGCACACAACAAGTTACTGGCCAATCTAGCCTTAGTGACCAGGAGATCCATTGCCACACACTAGGGCGTTGTCACAGTCCAGACCATAGACTACGTTAAAAAACAAAAACAAAGACAAAGCTAGGAAAATGGATGGCATTATGACATTCATTACACAACGACAAGATATGGGACCCTTGGCTCATTGAATTCCCAATTCTTATCGAATACCGATAAGCGTACACCCGCAACGAACCCAAAACCACCTGCCCTACTCTGCCATTCCCCCCCTTCTCTCTCCTAACCCTCCCATTATCCTACCTCCACCGGATACACTTAACTCCACTAGTTTTCCCCCCATGCCACATCTATGAACCACGAGTGGGGATCCTCCTCCCTCAGGCAGTACCCAATGAATTAAATTCTGGACAACACCTCATTCCGTTGCCGGATGTGTGACCCAGCCGCCATGACCAACGCGTCACCAACTCTAACCGTTACCCTTCGGGATAAAAGAATGAGCACCTCAATACAGGACACTATGGGCTCGCCAAGAGTCTTCAGTGAAACCCTAGAGCAGATAACACAAGCACCAGGTGAATTTGCAAAGGCCCAATAAAGACAAGTTTATTTTTAGACCTGTACCTGTTAGTGTCATTAAAAAAAAAAAAAAACATCTTAATCTAAAAATGAAAAACCAGTCCGGACCTGATCAAATCCAAGCAATGCTGTTGAAGCTCAGTGCGCCGGCAATTGCTACACCTGTCTCAACGCTAATTAACGAATCCTTGGTGTCTGGATACATACCAAAACTTTGGAAGACTGCGAGAGTAGTGCCTATCCATAAAAGTGGTGACACTACTTTGGTTTCTAACTATCGCCCAATATCATTGCTCCCGGTATTGTCAAAAATCTTAGAAAAATTTGTCCATATGCAACTATGTGAGTACTACCAACAATTAAACTATCTGACCCCTGATCAATCGGGTTTTCGCCCGAATCACTGCACTACAACTGCCGTCTTGAAAGTTTGCAATGACATCCAAACTGGCATGGAACAAGGAGACCTAACTGGAGCTATTTTGCTTGATTTTGCTAAGGCCTTTGACACAGTAGACCACGACATTCTACTGCACAAACTCAAAAACTCAGGTATTGGTGATTGTTCAGTAACCTTGTTTCGATCGTATGTATCGGATCGCTCGCAATATGTGTCCATTTCTGACAGCGATTCCCTCCCTCTCCCAGTCATGTGTGGTGTCCCCCAGGGTTCCATTCTCGGGCCCCTACTATTTACATTATTTATAAATGATCTGCAAATCCTCAAATGTACGCAGATGACAGTAATCTATGCGAGCAAATCCAATCTACCGCAACTTGAGGCTGTGCTCCAAGACCAGTTTACAGAAGTAGAAAAGTGGATCGCAAAAAACAAACTCTTCCTGAACACTGACAAAACTGTGATCTTTGGAACGGTACCTAAATTACACAATTCCCACCTATCCATCAAAACAAATTCAAATGGCACACTGACCGCAGTCCACTCTTTCAAATACTTGGGTATGATATTAGACCCCAATCTATCTTTTGGCATGCACATAGAAAAGCTTGCATCTAAACTTTATCCAAATCTAGGTGCCCTGTACAGAAACAAATCCTGCCTAAGCCCTACAGTAAAAGATTGTACAGCAAATGCTGATGCCAATCATTGATTATGTGGATGTAGTATATGCATCTGCATCGAAATCCCACATTAATAAACTCAATACATTGTATAACTCATTCTGCCGATTTGTGCTACAATGTAATTACAGGAGCCACCATTGTGACATGCTAAAAGAACTAAACTGGCTGTCGCTGGAATCCAGACGCACCCTTCATCTTTGCAGCCTTGTGTTTAAGAGCATTTCTGGGAAACTCCCACCCTACCTGAACAAAATGCTTTCCCCAGCTGTTCGAACTTCCTTTAAGCTCCGATCCATTACCAACACTTTACTTAGTCTACCTCAATACAAAAAGAAGACGGCCCGATCCTCCTCCTCCTACAGAGCACCGCAATTGTGGAACGACCTCCCGCACAATTTAAAATCTTCCCTAAGCCTGAAGTCCTTTAAGAGATCCCACTCTACATACCTCAAAACAGAATGCACCTGTCATGGTTGATTATATATTTCCTACCTGTTCTATGTTAAATTTTGTATTTATGGTGTATTAATATTGTTTTTGTATTTTATTGTACTCTAATTTAACAATGCAATGATTTGTGGACCCAGGACATACTTGAAAACAAGAGAAATCTCAATGTATCTTTCCTGGTAAAATATTTTATAATAAAATAAGTAAATAAATAATGGAACTCAATATGCCCTAAGCGGAGACAGGAGTTCCTGTGTGTGTCATGCAACCACACTTTTGACAACCTTCACCATACCCTACAATAGTGGGTACCCAAGCCATGCCAACAACTGTTGTAATTTACTAGTCCCGTACTCGCATAATTTAACTATCAGTTTACTGCTTATGGTAATATGTACACATAATGCAACTACCCTGTTATAAGACTAACAGTATCTTCATTCTGTATTACCCCTTTTTTCCCCCCCCTGTACTGAACTATTTTCACAGTGTGTTCCCACCATCTACAAGTAATATGCAAAAAAAAAAAAAAAAAAATTATATATATAGATCTTCTTGTAAAAAATGATCCCAGACATTGCTACCAAATACCGAATAAAATTACTAAAAGAGGATGTTTCAAGTGCAGTGGCTGTGTCACTTGTAGTCACATGGTCAGTGGTACTTCATTTGCTCACCCACATAATGGCCAAAGAATAAACATTTCTCAATATATTACATGTACTACTGACCATGTGATCTATATGATTACATGTCCCTGCGGTCTGTCCTATGTGGGAAAAACCAATCTAACCCTCAGAGACCGGATACGGGGTCATCGATCCACCATCACTACTGCATTCCGAGATAAGACAAGCGATAAACCAGTCGCTAAACATTTCTTGGACTATGGCCACCGACTACCAACTCTACGCTTTACTGCGATTGACCACATACCCACACTTCCGAGAGGAGGAGACCGTTCAAAAATGTTATTACAAAGAGAGGCCCGTTGGATACACCGTCTTGATACCGTAACACCTACGGGACTCAATGAAAACATTGTCTATTCTATATTTTTATGATGTTAAGGTCCCATATTGAAACCAATTTTTTTTAAGAATATCTACTCTAACTTGGATAGTGCCCACTATAATAGATAATGATTTAGTCTATTATATAATATTACCATATCGATATACACATGAGTCTACATATGATTATGGTACATCTGCTCTTTTTTACACTTTTTGTACATACTTTTCTCTATATAGTTACTACTTGTACTATACTATGTTCTCCATGTGATTAACTCCGACCATCTGTGATCATACCTCTATCTGAAACTCCAAAAAAAACTTCTTTGCACTTAATGATACTTTTGGGTGTATAAATCTTTAATAGAACTGCTCTCTTTAATCAATTTCTTCTTGTACTATCTAATATAATAATGCCTAGGAGTAAGAATGATAAAAATTCTTCCATGGCAGCATAACGCTGTTTTTAACATTAGTTTATTCATTTATTTAGGATTTATTGTTATAGGTTTGTTTTTATTTATATAAGTATTGAAAACTAATCTCACTAATACTTATCACATAATTTCCTATTTGATTCTATTCTAAACTTTTGATATTGGAAATTTATATATGAGTCACTTAACACTTAGTATTTTATATATATCATGAAACTCTGATGTTTATCATATGGCACACACACTCATTTACTAGTAATCACGCCATATATACACACACAACTTATATTCGCCGGAGTATTGTATTACCGGCTCTACACTAGTAATTTTATGGCAAGACAGGAGGCTTCATATTTGCTTTACTTCCTTTACTGTTCCTCCCAGCAGCAAAGAAACAGTTAACAGATTGAAAAAAGGAAACAACCAATCAGAACACATCTAGTCATTAATAAGTGGCTGTGAAACTCCTCCCAATTCCTCTTTCTTTGCTGCTTGCCTCCCAGGTGAGTCAATTCTGATTTCAGACCTTATAAGAATTTTTTATACATATTTAAATTTATTTACTTATGTCCATTATTTATATTGTTTTACCCCCTTTCTCCTGGGGCCGACCTTGGTCGGCCCACAGGACCATTTGCCCTTTCTGGGGCACTCAATACCCCTTGTGAGATCCCACCGAGGGTTATTCCCCTTTTTACACCACCCACGGCGTGTTTCTTGCCGACCGCGATTTAGCTGCGGCTTTGTTTACTTTTTCCCCGCTTCTCAGCCCGTGGCTTCCCTCCACCACCCACGGCGTTTTCCTCTCCGCCGACCGCGATCTGATCGCGGCTTTGTTTCTTGCCTGTCAGCTCTCACACAGCAGGGTCTCTCTGTACCTGCTTCCCGCGTTTTTTTCATTAAAGCGCAGGCTCCGCCTCTGCACTAGCCGGCGGCCATTTTCACTGTGCGGCAGTTTACCTCACTAACGGTTCTCTGCCTGTCAATTCTCTCACAAAGTGATCTCATTCCTTTCGAATTTTAAAGGTGTATCTCCACTTCTTTGCATGCCAGTTCCAAGGTAAGTACTTTTTTCTCTATCATATATACACATATTATTTGTTTTATTCTTTTATTTTATTCTAAAAATCCCCTATTTTACTTCACACAGGTTCTGTTCACAAACTTTAAAGTGTTTTTTTCCTGCCATCACCGTCATCAGGCCAAACACTTTCTGCCACAAGGGTGACCCCCTTGCTAATAACAGGTGACCCCTGTTTTTTTGTGGTTACAGCGGTACCTTAAGGGCTCCGTTTGCTAACTAGCTTTCCATTAATTTGTGTCTCAGTGACATTGCAGTGGGTGACTCCACTTTTTTCTTTGCATCTTGGGCAACCCCCATTTGCTTGTTTGGGTGACCCCCAAACTTAACTATAAGGGTGACCCCCTTTTTATTCCTGGGTGACCCCCAGCTATTGTCAGGGTGACCCCCTGCCTTACAATTTTAAGTTTATTATTTTTGTGTTTCAAATTTGTTAATAATGTCTGAACAACAGGACACTGTCTCTGCTGAATTAAAATCCTGGCTTTTTTCAGCAATAGCGGAATCCATGCCCAAAGCTATTGCGGCTTACCACGAACAGGCTAAACCTGCTCCAAAGCCAACTACTGCATTAAATATTTCCGACTCAGAAGAGTCTCACGATTCTGACCATGACGGGGCTCCGCGCAAGCGTCCCTGGAAGGGCAACAGTGTCTCCGCCGGTAAAGGCAAGGCACCTGCAAAAAATGCTAGACTGTCACTTCCCTCCTCAAGCCTTCCATTATTGGATCCCTTAGAGGGTTCCACAGCACACGACCTACAGGTCGTAGACGAGTACTGTGCAAGGTACTCGGACGAAGAAGACCAGGGTAATACTAGGTATGTCAAGGAATCCTACACCAAACCATTCATGGTTAGCCCCATGCCCACTAATCCATCACAAAATAAGGATCCTTTAACTGACATCCTGCTGGATGGTAACGGCCAACCCCTTTTTGATCCTAGAATCATCAAACACCCCCGGTCCGCTGAATGGGCACCACCTAGCCATATTGTTCAATTCTGCAGAATGTGGCTCAGAAAACCGCTAGAGAAGGAGATCAGGAACAAATTACGGGCTGAATGCCCTCGACCTACAATTCCGGATAAGGTCGCCCTAACTCCCGAGTTTGATCCCCTCCTCATTACCTTCCTCAGCAAGTCAGGAAAAGACCCACGCAAAGGCCTGGAACAGGGCCTCAAAACAGTCCAGGACAAATTATTGGATATTGCTGGTCCCATTATCCAGATTTTTATCTTGGCAGATGAAGCCATTGTTGAAGGTACCTTGGACCCACACTTGGTACGTGAATGGGCCCAAAGAGCCCTGTGTCTCTTGGGGAATGCTAACGTGGCCATGTCCACTGAAAGAAGGAAAGCTGCGCTATATAAAATAGACGTAAAATTGGCAGATTTGGGTTCCAAAGAACTCGGCCCAGAGGCCAACGGCCTCCTATTTGGGGACCAGTTCATGCGGGACCTCAACAGACACGTATCTGTATTCACCTCACTGAACAAGGCCCAGACCTCCCTTCGCAGGGTGTTTAGAACCAACCGTTTCTCTGGCAGAGCCGGTCGCCACAGAGGCCGAGCTACCGGCAGGTCTGCCTTCAACGGCTACAGGCCTCGACCAAGTGAACCTTGGAACTCTGGTTATGCCCGTCCCTATCATAGACAACTGTTTACCAACAGAGGATCAATCAGAGGACGTGGCTCTGCTTCTCTCCGGGGTCGATCTGCTCAAGGTAATGCACCTACCTTATTCTCTAGTACCTATTGCAGGCCGTTTAACTTGTTTTTTCCCACAGTGGTCTCTTCTCACTCAGGATCCTTGGATCCTTCAGACTGTTTCAGGTTTTCTTATGGATTTCATCACCGACCCCATACAGGACTCACTGCCCCCTCCCATACGGATGTCCCAGCCGGACACCACCGTCTTACATGCAGAACTCTGCAAACTCAGAGACAAGGGCGCAATCGAACCCTCTTCATCCCCCCTCAGATTTGTCAGCAACATCTTTCTGGTTCGAAAAAAGTCAAACGATTTTCGCCCCATCATCAATCTGAGAGGGCTAAACCAATTCATTGTGTACAGGCACTTCAAGATGGAGGGCATACACTTACTCCGAGACCTCCTTTGCGAGGGAGACTGGTTCTCCCGTTTCGACCTCAGGGATGCCTACCTTACGGTACCGATTGCACCCTGTCACCGCCCTTTCCTCCAGTTCATATGGCTTCAAGAGCTTTGGCAGTTCACCTGCCTCCCTTTTGGTCTCTCATCCGCCCCTTGGTGTTTCACCAAGTTAATGAAGCCAGTTATGGCTCTTCTCCGGTCCCAAGGTGTCCGGTCCATCGTCTACCTAGACGATATATTGATCATGGCACAAGACCCCAATACGCTTCGGAAACATACGAATATGACCAAATGTCTCTTACAAAACCTTGGTTTTGTGATCAATTTGGAAAAATCCTCTCTGATACCATCACAATCCATCCTTTTCCTGGGCTTCCAGATCGACTCCGTTCGATCAATCCTTCAACTCCCGATGGCGAAAATAAAAGCCATCAAGAAGGACATTCGGAAACTATTGTCCTCTCATCAGGTATGCCTTCGCGACCTGGCGCGGATAATAGGACTCCTGTCCGCATCCATTCAGGCCATCTTCCCCGGCCCTTTACACTACAGGGCGATGCAGCGTCTCAAGACGAAGTATCTGTGCAGATCCCATTCCTACGACCAACCTATACTCCTTACAGAAGACGTTCGTGTAGAGTTAGATTGGTGGCTCCAGAATATGGAAGCTTGGAATGGAAAAGCGATCTTCGGTCGCCAACCAGACTTCGTCCTAGAGTCCGATGCCAGCCTCCTAGGTTGGGGAGCCACTTGCTCCGGCCTTTCCACGGGGGGTCTCTGGACTCGGTCAGAACGATCCATGCACATCAATTGCTTGGAACTGATGGCTGGCGCTTTTGCGATTCGCAGTTTCGCCAAAGACGTTTACGACTGCTCTCTAATTCTGAGAATGGACAATGTCTCCGCTGTCCGTTATGTCAATCGTCTTGGAGGCTCCCGCTCCAAGCTCCTATCAGACCTTACCAGGGAACTCTATCAGTTCTGTCTAGGGAGGAATATCTCCCTTCAAGCAGAATACCTTCCCGGGTCAGACAACCTCGTGGCGGACTGGTTCTCCCGTCACTGGAGGGACGCCAGCGATTGGCAGCTGGATCCGAATGTCTTCTACCAGCTACATCTCCTTCGCGGGCCCATTACGTTGGACCTCTTTGCCTCCAGACTGAACCGTCAGACGGACGCATTCTTCAGCTGGCTACCGGATCCGCTGTCCCAAGCCGTAGACGCTTTCCTACAACCCTGGCCATTGACAGGAGCATACGCCTTCCCACCGTTCTCCCTGATCCCTCGCTCTCTACACCGTCTCAGGGTTCTGGGAGTCGGGATCCTGTTAATAACTCCCCTTTGGAGAGCCCAACCCTGGTACCCCAACCTCTTAGAGATGTCCGCAGACTACCCTCTGCTTTTACCCCTCACCCCAGACCTTCTCCGAGACCCATTCGGAGCATATCATCCCCTGGCCATCCGGGGACACCTCCAACTGGTGGCCTGGACCGTTTCAGGGGATCCTGGTTCGTCCCGGGCCTTTCAGGCTCAGCTCGCAACCTCCTCTGGGATTCATGGGCCCCAGGCACCCGAAAGTCATACCTTTCGGCGTGGTCAGCCTGGGCTCGCTGGTGTTTGGAAAGGGATATTGATCCCTTTTCAACGACTCTGGTGAATATTATGAATTTTCTGTCCTCTCTTTTTGACAGTGGCAAATCTTATCGTACTATAAACCTTTTCCGCTCTGCCATCTCGGCTGCTCATAGTCCGATCAATACACTCCCTGTCGGACAACACCCTTCCGTGTGCAGGCTCCTACGGGGCATCCGTCTTGCCAGACCTCCGGCACCCCGTTACACCCATTTTTGGGATGTGGCACAAGTCTTATCCTTTCTGGAGACCTGGCCTCCCAACTCAGAGCTATCCTTACGCCAACTCTCTGCCAAGTTAGCCCTGCTACTTTGCTTGATTTCTCTACGTCGGGTTTCCGACATCAAAGCCTTCGACCTTCATGCAATTACTTTCACTCCCGAGGGAGTACGCTTCTCTGTTGTCCGTCGCACTAAGATTCCAACATCCTCCGTCTTTTATCCATACTTCCCAGACAGACCTTCTCTGTGTGTTGCCCTTTGTTTACAACGGTACGTTACTCTTACATCGCCGCTTCGGCCCCCGTCGGGACCTCTTTTTGTGTCCTACGTTCGTCCTCACCGTCCGGTGTCTTGTCCCACTATTGCTCGGTGGATCAGGTGGCTCCTCCGCCTTGCGGGCGTAGAACCGCCCTTTGGCGCTCATTCAGTACGGGGCGCGGCCGCATCCTCCGCCTTTACCTCTGGGAGTTCCCTTTCGGATATTTTGACCTCGGCAGATTGGTCAAGGGAATCTACCTTTCGTACGTTTTATTTCCGGCCTCAAACTCATCCGGGTTTTCATTTGCTCTCTGGGCGTTAAAACAGCAAATATGAAGCCTCCTGTCTTGCCATAAAATTAGAGATTATTCTAGCGTCAGTGACCTAATAATCTAAATTTTATTAAAGACAGGAGGCGAATATTTTCCCACCCTACGTGCGCTCAGGTTTTGTTTTGTTCTTTTTCTTTTTTTCGCACGTCCCCTCCCCTTTTCTTCAGAATGGGATACACAGGTAGGGTGTGCATACTGCTGTAGTTTTTGGTTTTGGTTCATAAGCTCATTCTTTCATCCACATATATATCACTAGGGATATGTGTAATATTCCAGAAGTTTTCATTAAAACATTTTCAAACTAGGCATTTGTATGTATAGGCACCTTGCCAATCACACCATACTTTCACGAGTTTCTCTTCTTTTTTTCTAGTGTGAAAGAGCCTTCACCCCTCTGCATGACGACATCGTTGAGGATATGTTGTCCCAACTTCCAGTTTCGTTAAGATTATTCGTTCCAGTTTACATGGTTGACATCACTCCGGCTACATCAAGAAAGAGGAATTGGGAGGAGTTTCACAGCCACTTATTAATGACTAGATGTGTTCTGATTGGTTGTTTCCTTTTTTCAATCTGTTAACTGTTTCTTTGCTGCTGGGAGGAACAGTAAAGGAAGTAAAGCAAATATTCGCCTCCTGTCTTTAATAAAATTTAGATTATTAGGTCACTGACGCTAGAATAATCTCTAATTATTTACACTTAGTTCCTTAGCAACTACGTCTTTTACGTATGTTGAACGTGGTTACGTCATCACGCAGCCCACGTGGTGCCCGTCGGACACTTCCGGGTTCCGAGCAGGGGGAGGAGGGTTACAAACACTATTGGTGAGTACTGTATATCTCTTCTTATATAAATCATGTTTTTAAATGTATGTATTGATCTTGAGGAAGACCCGAATGGGTCGAAACGTCGATCAACTTGTCACATTTTAAATAATGAAATAAATAATTTTGGAAAATTTAAAGACCGAAGAGTGCATCCTTCATACCTATCTACTATACTATTTCAGCGTGGGATTGCACCACGGCATTGGACTCCATATTGTAACAGTAAGGGTGAGTGCCAATATATATATATATATATATATATATATATACACACACACACACACACACACACAATTGATGCGCACACAGCTGCTCACAATGCAGCTTGGTGTGACAGATCTTTGTATTGCTTTAGATCATGAAAATGTATGTATGTGTGGATGGCATACAGTGGTACAATCCCCCCTTATGTGAAGTTTTGTAGTAGATTGATCTCTTGTTGGTATAAATACCTTTAATAAAAAACAGCAATTAAAATACCACAATGCATTTCTCCCCATTTTACTCATTTATTTTTACCTGCCACCAGAGTTTTTATTGTTCCAGATAGAATTTACTCCAAAGAATCCTTGGTGGGGATTATACCACTCAAGCTTTATCCATTGAGCAGTCTGCCTGCTCAATAAAATGTGAGTAACCACTTGGTATTGTATTTTTTCACCTCTGGCTTTTATACAATAAGCACTATTATTGTTTCTTTTATATTTCATATAGTCCTTATACCAACAAGATATCCATCTACTACAAAACTTCATGTATCCCATAATTGGGGATTGTACCACTGTATGCCATCCACACTAGAGCTAATCTTATAGCTCTGGAAACCATGAGTAGGACCATATAGACCTCTTAAAAATAGTACTTAGTACCGGTTGGGATATACTGCACCATTATTTGGTGTCTTTATTTTTTCATATGGATTTCATGAATATCCCATGCCTTACTAAGGAATACTTCCCCTAACAAGAGTGTGATTGACGTCTTATGCAAGGTTTTATTTAGGCTGTATTTATCAGGCATAGACTCCTTTGGACTTACTTTTTGGACTCTTGACTATTATTCATATTTCAAACTCTTTTTGTTTTTTAATGTTATATGTATTTTCTCTCGCTCGTGTTTCTTTTTCCCACCTGTGGTGCCGCCTCCCCCTTCACTTTTTTTAGTTTTGTCTACTCTACAGGGCCTGTGAGGGAGCCCTATTTTTCAGGTGTGCTGCCTTATATTTATCTCTGTAAGATCTAGTATATTAGCGCTGATCCTTTGTACATATTTTTCCCAAAGATATACTTGTGTGGGTGATTTGAGAATCAGTTTAAAAAAATAAATAAAAAATAGATAGGCACATATACACATGTTGCAGCGAAACATTCACATACCTTTCCTACACGTTTTTACCATGGTAGATTTTGCTTTCAAAGCTCCACGTTTTCCAGGAGACTTTACTAGTTAAAAAAAAAAAAAAAAAAAAAAAATTCTCAATATGATCCATGATGCACATTTCAAACCGAACAGAAGTAGCAATATAGATATATGCCAAACTGAGTAAAATTAATGGTAGATGGGCTCCAATGGAATTGCAGAGCATGCAGAATTCAACAAGCATCTAATCAAATGGATGAAGGCAGCATTTTGTGCTCAAAAGTTGTTTTCAATACTTCTCTCCCTCAAAATCTCATGTCATATAAAGATATAGATGTATATCAGAATTTATGACTTTACATTACAAGGAACACTACGGCGTACGTCAATTGTATTCATTCCAAGAGTGGCTAATTTTGCCACCATAAAAAATAAAAATAAAAAAAAAAACACACGAACATGTCCACATCACTTCATTGAGGGAATATCTACTAAACTATGATTTTTATTTTATTTATGGTGTTTGGGCAATGGAGTGTTCTTTTAACCGTAGTTATATCAGTCATATACATCTCTGTACATTAACATTAAGTGTTTCCGGTGATATAAAATATATTAATATGGCTCATAATTAGACCATTATGGACTTTGTAATCATTACTGTAAGTGATGGTGAAATATTTAGACAACATTTAGTATTCCAAATAAACTGCCATTTTCCATGGGTATGCAAACAAAAGTTAGGGAGCCAAGGTTGGAGACTTCTGATCAAGATGAAGTCAGAGAAACAAATAAAAGGACAGCCGGGACAGAGGGAATTTATTTTACATGGACCAAGGAAACATGCAAACTACCACAGAGACCAACATTGCTTTCAGAAAGATTAAAGAATATATAGCATATTAAAGAGAGGTCGAATATGGTTTTCTCTACATTTGTACTAGAAGTCTTACCTGCTCTTTTGTGTTGGCTTGGCTTCTCTTTGATGCCTACTTGTGCGACGGTAGTTTTAGAGAGATTAATCTTCTTGGCATGTGGTAACACCTCCGTGAAGTGTTCCTTAGCTGCATTAGTAGTTGTGGTAAAGTCATCACTTTTTCTTTTTTGGCCAAGCACAATAGATGTGGGCGCAGTTATATTATAAGCTTCTCCAGACTCATTTTGATTGGTGGATATAATAGGCAAGCTTTGGCAAACACGAGAATGGAACTTTTTATCAGTTTCCAATTCTATGTTCTCAAGTCTCCTGCGGGACTTCCGTATGGGCTTATTGGAGTTGTCATTGCAATCACTGGCTTTTGTTTTGATAACAGTTGCACAGTCAATTGGGGGCTTTTTAGGTTCATTATGACAGGTTTCTTCCACTGGCATTAGCTCACTTCGCTTCTTTTTAACGCAATAAGTCAATCTGGAAGTTGCTGAATCAACATTACAGGAAGATTTGAAGTCCACATGTTCACTAACCAACTGCCATGTCTTATCTTCTTCATCTGTGAAAGAGGACATTGAGTCTTTGGAAGGAGTTAAGGACTGCAATGACAATTCAAACTGTGATACAGACTGCAAAGTAATACAATTCTCTTTAACAAACTGATCTGGTGAAAGATATGGTGTGTGCTGGACTTCATTACGAAAATAACCATTGCTCGCTAAAGAATCTGGGCTGGAAACGGTTCTTTGAGAAGTCAGAAGCACAGCGGATGGTGAATTTGTTCGAGAGCTGGTAATACTGACACCATCTTGAGAGGACTCCTTATAAGAACTTGTATCTTCTACATGAAGCTCAATATGTGTTGATGCACCAGTCTGAATAGTCTTGGGATTATAAAATTCAGTGGGAGAGAGCCCAGGATATGTAGGAGACAACATAGTTGCAATAGGAGTGCATGTAACATTGAGTGGTCGGTTTATTGCTGGATTTATAGGCGACATAGAACTTTTTCTTGGTATTTGGTCATTAAAAGTCCAATCCTCATCAATATGAAGTTGTCTCAGCGTCCTAGACATAGTTGTCTCCTCTAAAGTCTCACTGCACTCTGTTACGCACAAGACAGAATAGGTTTTTGATCTTCTTAAGGAACTGTCAGTGAAAACATGCTTATCTTCAGCAAGTAGACTTGGATGGACAACGGGTGTTCTGTTTTCAACATCAGGTTGCACACATTGTGGAGAAGCTATTTTTACTGTACGAGTATAGTTTTCACAGGAGAGTAAAGGACTCCGCGCCCTCCCGATTTTTCCATACGTGCTTTCCTGGCTTTTATGATCAGTTTTGCTGATGCCTTTGAGAGCAAGTTCTGTCCTCTTTGTTACAGGAACTTTTGGTCCCAAAAGCACCCCTCTCTTTTTCATGGTGTTCCTTAGTTTTCCATGCACATTCTAAAAGCAACCAAATTTGAACATTAACATAAAATATATACACACACGATAATACGGTTAGAGAACAAATAAATGCAAACTTCTTAAGATCACAACAATATTTTGGAGGACATTTTGCTACAAACAAAGCTCAAGGTCATAACCAGGCTCTCCCGTCTTAGTGCCCCACTAGCATTCCCACGGTGTAAAATGACTTGAAGCACTATAAGATTTGTGACAATTTACTGTTCAAAACAATTAGATAGAAGTACAGCCTAGGTAAACTCAAAACAGGGGGGTAACCCCTAGTAGAAATGCATATCAAAAGAAAATGGAGAGAGTACCCATCAGAAAAAGTAAATGAACGATCACTAAATATAAACTGTACAAATAAAGTACATATAGTGATAAAGCAAATGTAAAATGAAAACAAATAACTTAAATATAGGCTCTCTGCCAGAATTCTTCTTTGCTCCTACTACCATCTAGTTAACGCTACTCTGTATTATACAGTACTCTACCTGTCAGTATCTCTTACTTGATAACTTTGTATCTATCTGGCAATATCTGTGCTCATAATATAGTATCGACTATTTCTACAACGTTAGTTTTGGTGCTGTATACAGAACTGAACGCTGCATTCCAATTCTGCAACAACAGTCTTATACCAGCTCAGCCGTGCATTGTTAGGACTATCACTGTTCTTTTCGATTTCGATACAGATATTAATAGCCCGGTATCGGATATCTTCTAGTTAACATTATCATTGGGTATTCTATCTTTAGTGTTTTTTAACTATTCTGACAGTACTGTATGATGTAGCTATCCAGCTTTTTTCATTTTTGCCGATCTTAATTTTCCCCTCATTTATATATATTATCATTTCTTTTTTAACTAGCTCTTTGCAATAACACCCATATATGTGGATAAGTTCCTTACTATTTTAGTTTCCATTCACTATTTTTGGCGTCCTTTCCTTTAGCCCCCCCCCGCCCCCCCCCCTCTCCTTTTTACTCTGCACAGACGTGTGCAGATTAGTATTTTTGTAACTTGAGACATCAGTCATATTCTCCCATTTTGGGATATCGTTTTGTATGTTTGATTTTATCAGTTTATTAGTGTTCCATTCTTTATTTCTTTTTAATACTTATATTTAATAAAGTTATTTGTTATTTTCATTTGCTTTATCACTATATGTACTTTATTTGTACAGTTTATATTTAGTGATAGTTCATTCACTTTTTCTGATAGGTACTCTCTCCATTTCCTTTTGATATGAATTTACTGTTCAAGTTTAAGTATTAAGCACCTAAATGATTTAACATTAATGTGCCCCCATAAATAGACCAATGGAACGCAGGTGAGTGGGAGCATTAGGGAGTAGATGGTGGAATCAGTGCAAGATACAAAAAAAATAATTGAATTGATACAGAGCACTTGTATGTAAATGAAGATAATTAAAGTAACATTTGCAATGGTTTGAATAAGAATACAAGTAGTGGCACGTCATTTATGATAAAATACGAGCCTATGGATAATATTTTTATAATCTTACAAACTTACTTTTTTCTTGGTGGGTGCCTCGGATCGTCCCAACAGAACAGCTTGATGCTTTACTACATCATTTACAACAAAAGTAATAAGCTCGCGAACGGCCCCTTCCTCTAATGGAGTCCATGTTACGGTCAATGGAATCGTTTCAGAAGCCTGGATTTATAATAAAATAAAACAAAAGAAAAGTTGATTTAGACAGCATCATTGGCATTCAGCAGTATTAAAACTATACAATCACCATAACCACTACAGCATGCTAGTTATTTTGGTTCCAGGAGTGCCCTGTCAAACTCTTTGACAACATATCTGGGCTCTGCCAGACACTGGTCACTTTTCTCCGGAACCTCATGCATAAGAGCTTACATCAGCTACCCTAAGCTTAGCCTTGCAATTGAGGGATATCACATGTTATGCACATTGCCTTGCTGAGGGCAGAAAGCAACCCAGGAGGCGTCCTCTTGCCTTGCACAACTGAAATCAAAAAGGTGCCAAGGAGGCAGCATGTATCCCTGTCCATGAAATTGCTGCAAACCCCAGGAGGTGATGTGCTGGCTTTGCCAGTTGAGCACAGAGAGAGCCACTGAAAAGTGTCACTGTGCCATCCTGATTGCAGCTATATGCCCAACAAGCAGTGTGCACTCTGACCAGTTGAACACCACAAGTCACTTGGTATCCAGTGCAAAAATTATCACCAAGCAAGAGGCACCAGATGGCAGCAGGTCACCAGGAAATTCAGTCACGAGAGACATAGTGTGTCACCCTGCCCAGCTCAATGAGTAGCAGTGTGTCACCTTGCTCAGCTAAGTGCATCAAATCGCTAGAGACACCACTTGTTACCCTGCCCAGCTAAGCACAATTGAGGTAATGTGTCACCCTGCCCAAATAAACATACAGCAAGCCCCCAAGGATGTAGTTTGTTACCCTCCCCAACTGAGCAGAGTAAGCAGCATGTCACTATGCCCTCCTCTATGCTCAGCACAGAAAGTGTCACCATGCCAGACACAGATAATGTCACCATACACAGTACAGAAAATGCCAGAATACCCGGTAGCTATAATGTCACTATGCACGGCTCCATACCCAGAAATTATAATGTCAGTATACCCAGTAGCTATAATGTCAATATACCCAGATGTTATGTCACTGTGCCCGGCTCTATACCCAGATGTTATAGTGTCAGTATACCCAGGTGTTATAGTGTCAGTGTAACGGACCGTTTTGCACACTTGAGGTTAAAAACCGTTTAGGCGATCTCCCGAACCGGAAACACGCGAATTCCCCAACTCCCGAACCGGAAACACACGAATGCTGTTAAACAGCCGAACAGGAAAAACCACACTGTAACAGCATACAATCCAATTCCACCCCAAGAACGAGACGACACTTTGTTTGAGGGTCAAGCAGAACTGATTTACTGGGGCTACCTGCCCGGCTTTTATGCAGGTCTTCCGCCTGGTGGACACTCCCCTAGGGGACCAGATGGAAGACTGGGAAACATATTGGGCATTGACCAATCACAGACAGACACACACCTTTAAACACTCCCACAATGCATCACAATCCCTCCTCTCTATCCTGGAGATAATTGGGAAGTAATCCAATAATCTCCAAGGGCAGAGGCAAAACTCCATTGAGCATATGTTAGTAAAAAGACACAACATTCCCAATGTTGCAAATAATGAATAAAACACATACATTCTACATATCACCAGATAGCTTAGTTCTGAGCGCACATTACCAAATGGTGCTCAGATCACATACATATAGTTCAATTGCCATGGAGCCAAAGTTTTTCCCATAGACTGTCGTTACACGAATAGGCTCCTTGGCATGGCTATCTGGGGTGATGCGATTCATAGGGTTAAATTACCAAATGAATAGGCATTCGGTTATATTACCGAATGCAGAAGTAAGGAGGCTGGCAGCTCAGCAGTGTTCGCGCAAATAAGTGTCCGTTTCCAGTTCCATAGTTTGGGCGCTGAACACCGCTGGCCATTCGGGAAGTAAAAGAAAAAAAAAAAAAAAAAAGTTTTTTTCCTGTTTTTCACTGAAGGCTTTTTGGGTTTTTTCAAAAAATTTGAAAAAAAAATTTAAAAAAAAATTGTGGAATATTTTAACATGATGAATAAAATATTTTAAGACAGGGTGTTCAAATATTTTCCAAATCAGTTCTAAAAAAAAGAAATCAGATTATTCTAATATCTGTGCACTGAGTGAGGACAAGCTAGTCCTAGGTAACAATCTGAACCCTCCAATGCAAGAACAGTATGCATGTCTTCCTTTAGGAGGTGCAGTTATTGTAACAAGAAAAAGGTTTCAGTTTTACCAGTAATCTGGCTCTTCCCCCGGTGACCCCACACACACACAGATTAGTGTCTTCTTGCAAAGTAGTGATTTTTTCTTGTTTTTATTTCCTACTCCCCTCAGAAAAATGGTGAGACCAACATCTAGCATATGGAGGCATTTTCACATTACAAGTTCTTCTGAAAAGAAAAATATGATTTGCAAATTTTGTCAGATGAAATATGCATTTCTAAATGCTACCAGGATGACAAAACACATTGTGTGTAACAAGTGTCCTGTAGATATTAAAAAATCCTTCATGGATCGAAGTGAATAGGACAACAATGATGACAATGCGCATAGTTTTTCTCAACGTTCTCGTTCAAGAAGTTCTCTTTCTACTCCATCTATAACGTCAGCAGCAACACAAAGTGTTATCCCATCATCAGCATCTTCAAGTTAACAGATACTGAAGACAGCTGCATCCAAAAATTATTCACTAACTTCATTTATAGACAAGATGATACGGTGTCGGTATACCCCGGGTGTTACGGTGTCGGTATACCCCGGGTGTTACGGTGTCGGTATACCCCGGGTGTTACGGTGTCGGTATACCCCGGGTGTTACGGTGTCGGTATACCCCGGGTGTTACGGTGTCGGTATACCCCGGGTGTTACGGTTAGTGTCGGTATACCCCGGGTGTTACAGTGTCGGTATACCCCGGGTGTTACAGTGTCGGTATACCCCGGGTGTTACAGTGTCGGTATACCCCGGGTGTTACAGTGTCGGTATACCCCGGGTGTTACAGTGTCGGTATACCCCGGGTGTTACAGTGTCGGTATACCCCGGGTGTTACAGTGTCAGTATACCCCGGGTGTTACAGTGTCGGTATACCCCGGGTGTTACAGTGTCGGTATACCCCGGGTGTTACAGTGGCAGTATACCCCGGGTGTTACAGTGGCAGTATACCCCGGGTGTTACAGTGTCAGTATACCCCGGGTGTTACAGTGTCAGTATCCCCGGGTGTTACAGTGTCAGTATCCCCGGGTGTTACAGTGTCAGTATACCCGGGTGTTACAGTGTCAGTATACCCGGGTGTTACAGTGTCAGTATACCCGGGTGTTACAGTGTCAGTATACCCCGGGTGTTACAGTGTCAGTATACCCCGGGTGTTACAGTGTCAGTATACCCCGGGTGTTACAGTGTCAGTATACCCGGGTGTTACGGTGTCAGTATACCCGGGTGTTACAGTGTCAGTATACCCGGTTGTATACCCATCAGTACAGCCGCCCTCCGCCCAGCTCCCAGGTCTCCCTCCCCGCACTAACCGCTATGAGGATGTCGGTGTGGGACACGGTGAAGCCGCGCTGTTCGGGCAGTCTGTGTACGGTGACCCGGACTGGCTCCGGGTTGGGGTTCTGCAGCAGGAGCCGGGAGCTGCGAGCCGTGCCGGTCCGGACACAGCCGAAACTGACGAAGGGCGGCCGGGAGAAGTGTGTGAGAGAGAGGACCGGGGGGTCCTCCGAAGGACGGCCGCTCGGTGAAGCCGCAGGTCTCGGTGTGGAGACGGTCAGCATGGCCGCTCTATCCCCGCTCTCTGGCCGCTCTGCACTCCGGGCTTGCTCTATTCACACAGCGGGTCCGACCGGCTGATTCAAACTCTGGGAGAGCTGTCGCAGCATCCAACGGCGCCGTTTGATTCGCTGAGCGTATCGCCCTCATACTATAACAGCCAATGAGAGACAGAGAGCGGAGCTAGAGTGCTGCGCGAGCGGCCAATCAAAAGCGGGAGATTTATTTAAAAATGCATCGTACAGCGCGTGGCCTGGGTGACGTCTAGTCTGTCTCGCAACGCCAAGTAAACAGGCTGTGTAACCCCTTCACTGCCGGGTGACAGCCAGCATTCCAAGCCCATTCACTAAACAGGGAACTGACAGCGATCACAAGTTATACACCAAAATAATAGTGAGGGGAAGGATTTCTCCCTCCTCCTCCTCCTCCTAAATTTGGCTATTTTCCTGCTTTGAATTACAATTCCCACTTTTATTGTAGTTGGAGAATGTTTACAAACCAGATATATTTGCCTTTGTTTTGCAATTCAGATTTCAATTTTCTGCAATTTACAGTTTGGTGAATAATCTTGTCAGCTTGACCCCCTATACTGGGGAGCCCTGTCACAATATTATTGGCATTTTATAAAGTTATAGTATATCACAGTGGTACCCAAACATTTTAGGTTTAAGTCACCCTTAAAGGGACACTGTAGGCACCCAGACCACTTCAGCTAATTGAAGTAGTCTGGGTGCTCTGTCCTTATTGCACTTAGTGCTGCAATGCTAAACAAACAGCTTAAAGGACCACTATAGTGCCCTGAGGGTGCCCCCACTCCCGCCCGGCTCTGGAGAGAAAAGGGGTAAAACTTACCTTTTTTCCAGCGCTGGGCGGGGAGCTCTCCTCCTCCGATCCTCCTCCTCTCCTCCCATTCGGCTGAATGCGCACGCGCGGCAAGAGCTGCACGCGCATTCAGCCGGTCTCATAGGAAAGCATTCATAATGCTTTCCTATGGACGCTTGCGTGTTCTCACTGTAATTTTCACAGTGAGAATCACGCAAGCGCCTCTAGCGGCTGTCAATGAGACAGCCACTAGAGGCTGGATTAACCCATTTTTAACCCCTTAGCGACCGAGGACGGTTCAGGACCGTCATCGGCATTTTTGCCTTGAGGACCGATGACGGTCCTGAACCGTCCTAACGGTCTCCGTTACTTACCTGATCGCCGTCGTTCCCCCGGCGGCGATCAGCGTGGCTCCGGTTGTGGGGAGACTGCCTGCAGCCCAGACAGTCTCCCCACACTGGATTAGGACCCCTGTGGCCATGTGATCGCTCAACACAGCGATCACATGGTCACAATAGGTGTCCATATGTCTGCCTGCAGTTGGACTGTCTAGTGTAAAATCAAAAAAAAAAATAAAGTTAGTGTTAATAAAAAATAAAAAAAATTATGTGTATATATGATGTATAGACATATATTATATCTATATAATATATGTCTATATATCATATATATATAATGCCATACTAAGTGTATTTTTATATTAATATGTACTTATATTAATATAAAAATACACTTAGAATTAAATTACACACGTATATATATAATATATATAATAACTATATATATTGTATATATATATTATTATAAAATATAAATAATAAGTAATTTAAATTAAATAAATTTTTTTTAAATAATAATAAAAAAATTAAATATCTATATGAAATTTTATTCTAACTGTATTTTAAAATTAATATATATATATTTATATCAAAATACACTTAGAATGAATTTGTATATATATCTATATATATAAAAAATAAATAAAAATAATAAGAAATATACATATGTCCACATACAAAATTACATAAATAATTATATAAATATACACGTAGACTTCAGATATATAAATATGCATATATATTTAAATTCTACGTGCGTATTTATGTAATAGTTTTACATAATTCAGTAATTTTATTGATTGCAATTTAAGGGACCTGCCTGCCAACCCAGGCCGAAATTCCAGAGAATTGAATTTGCTAGCACTGTATTTTACCCTGTAACGTTCTACGACACCCTAAAACCTGTACATGGGGGGTACTGTTTTACTCGGGAGACTTCGCTGAACACAAATATTAGTGATTCAAAACAGTAAAACATATCACAGCGATGATATTGTCAGTGAAAGTGACTTTTTTGCATTTTTCACACACAAACAGCACTTTTACTGATGATATAATTGTTGTGATACGTTTTCCAGTTTTTAAACACTAATATTTGTGTTCAGCGATGTCTCCCGAGTAAAACAGTACCCCCATGTACAGGTTTTATAGCATTTTTGAAAGTTACAAGGTCAAATATATGGGTCAAATATTTTTACATTGAAAATGGCCAGGTTGGTTACGTTGCCTTTGAGAGCGTATGGTAGCCCAGGAATGAGAATTACCCCATGATGGCATACCATTTGCAAAAGAAGACAACCCAAGGTATTGCAAATGGGGTATGTCCAGTCTTTTTTAGTAACCACTTGGTCACAAACACTGGCCAAAATTAGCGTTCAATTTAGTTTTTTTACTTTTTTCACACACAAACAAATATGAATGCTTACTTTGGCCAGTGTTTTCGACTAAGTGGCTACTAAAAAAGACTGGACATACCCCATATTGAATACCCTGGGTTGTCTACTTTAAAAAAAATATGTACATGTGGGGTGTTATTCAGAGATTTATGACAGATAATAGTGTTACAATGTCACTATTGATAAATTTAAAAAATTTATGTTTTGAAACCGCAATATTCTACTTGTACCTATAGCCCTATAACATGCAAAAAAAAGCAAAAAAGCATGTAAACACGGGGTATTTTTAAACTCAGGACAAAATTTTGAATCTATTTAGCAGTTTTTTTAATTCGCTTTTGTAGATGAGTAAAAGATTTTTCAAGTAAAAGTCAAAAAACATGTATTTTTTTCAATTTTTCATCATATTTTTTATTTTTTTTAAATTAAAATACATGAGATTATATAAATAATGGTATGTAAAGAAAGCCCCTTTTGTCCTGAAAAAAACAATATATAATTTGTATGGGAACAGTAAATGAGAGAGCGGAAAATTCCAGCCAAACACAAACACCACAAAAGTGTAAAAATATGCCTGGTCGCAAATGTACAACATCGCAAAAACAGTCCAGTCCTTAAGGGGATAAACATAGCAGTTCTCTGAAACTGCTATGTTTATACAAAAAAATGGGTTAATCCTAGAGGGACCTGGCACCCAGGCCACTTCAGTAAGCTGAAGTGGTCTGGGTGCCTAGAGTGGTCCTTTAGTGAAGTGGTCTGGGTGCCAGGTCCAGCTAGGTTTAACCCTTTCTGCTGTAAACATAGCAGTTTCAGAGAAACTGCTATGTTTACACTAGGGTTAATCCAGCCTCTAGTGGCTGTCTCATTGACAGCACTAAGTCTGTCCTCTGTGGCTGTTTAACCCGTTAACGCCGTTACGGCGTTCTATGCCGCCCCGCATTAAGGCTTTAAAGCCGTTGCGGCGACATAGAACGCCGTAACGGCTTTGAGCCCCTGGAGGTCCGGCGTATTAACCTCCGCTGCGATCCTCTTCTGGACGGCTGCCCCCCGGCAAATCAGGCCCCCGGGGGCCATGTGATCGCTCTCAAAGAGTGATCACATGGCCCCCTATAGCTGGCTGTGGATCTGCCAGCAGGGGGGCTGTCTGAAATGTCAGACAGTCCCCCTGCTGGTGGGAAAGTAAAAAAAAAAAAAATCATTAAACATGTTATAAAATAAAATAGAAATTTATTTATATATATATGTATATATATATTATATATATATATATATATATATATATAATATATATATGCATATTATATATGTAACATCATACAAAGTGTATTTTAATATTATTACACATATATTATATATATACGTATAATTACAAAAAATAAATAAAATAAATAAATAAAATATTGAAACAAAATTTAATATAAATTATATATTTATATGTAATTTCATTCTAACTGTATTTTGTTATTAATATATATATATATATATATATATATATATATATATATATATATATATATATATATAGGTAACAAAATACACTTAGAATGACATTCTATATATATCTATCTATATATAAAATACAAATAACCGCAAATATATATATATGTAGATAAATACATATAATTACATAAAAGATTACATTAGTATACACGTAGAATTTAAATAGTTATAAATGCATATATATTAAAATCCTACATGTATATTTAAGTAATCTTTTAACATAATTATGTGATTTTATTAATTAAAATTTGATTGACATGCCTGACAACACAGGGAGAAAGTGCAGAGAATTTAATTCGCAAACACTATATTTGACCCTGTAACTCTCCAAGACACCATAAAACCTGTACATAGGGGGTACTGTTTTACTCAGGAGACTTCGTTGAACTCATATATTACTGTTTCAAACTGGTAAATTGCATTACAACACTTTAAGTAAAAGTGACGTTTTTTGCATTTTTTACAAACGAATGGCACTTTTATGGACTATATTATTGTTGTAATATGTTTTACTGTTTTAAAACACTAATATTTGTGTTTAGTGAAGTCTCCCGAGAATAACAGCACCCCCCATGTACAGGTTTTATGGTGTTTTGGAAAGTTAGAGAGTCACATATAAGGCTTGCATTTCATTTTTTTGACATTGAAATTTGCCATATTGGTTATGTTGCCTTTGAGAGCGTATGGTAGCCCAGGAATGAGAATTACCCCCATGATGGCATACCATTTGTAAAAGTAGACAACCCAAGGTATTGCAAGTGGGGTATGTCCAGTCTTTCTTAGTAGCCACTTAGTCACATACACTGGCCAAATATTCGTTTTTTGCTTTTTTCACACAAAAACAAAAATGAACGCTAACTTTGGCCAGTGTTTGTGACTAAGTGGCTACTAAAAAAGACTAAACATACCCCACTTTCAATACCTTGGGTTGTCTACTTTTTCAAATGGTATGCCATTATGGGGGTAATTCTCATTCCTGGGCTACCACACCGTCTCAAAGGTAACATTACTAATCTGGCAAATTTCAATTTGAAAATGGAACATGAATGTCATAATACTGTTAGGTTTTACTGCAAAAAAATGCACATATTTGTTATCAGCGATGTCTCACGAGTAGTGATGTCCCAAACGGTTCGCGAACGGTTCGCCACGGACTCATCATTGAGTAAACTTTGATCAGCAGCAGACCGTCCCTACCAGACCATACCACCTCCTGGACAGCTCACTAAGAATGCAGCTTCAAAATGGATGCTGTCCAGGAGGTGGGATGGTCTGAGAGGGAGGGTCTGCTGACTGTGAGGTACAGGGTCAAAGTTTACTCAATGATGATTCCGCGGCGAACCGTTCAGAAATACAAATTTAAAAAAATAATCTTATTTTCTCAAATTTTTTTCATAATAAATTATGTTCCATATATGAATAGTTAATGATAAATTAAAGCCCTGTTTCTCCTGAACAAAATGATATATAATAAGTGTGGGTGCCCTTAATGTGACAGCAGTGAATTACGGTTGAACAGACATAAAGCACAAATTCCAGTTTTTGTTTGTTTTGTTTTGATCAGAACGTGCACTATTGACTCCGTCCTGAAGGGGTTAACAGACAACCGCTGAGGGCGCTTCCAAAATCCAAACAGACTTTTGGTCCGTTACCTTACGCTGGACGTCCTCACGAACCTCCAGCGTCAGATTATCCCCATAGGAAAGAATTGAATAATTGCATTGTGATTTTATAATGTATAATTAACCCCTGGACGTCCTCACGAACCTCCAGCGTCAGATTATCCCCATAGGAAAGAATTGAATAATTGCATTGTGATTTTATAATGTATAATTAACCCCTTAAGGACACATGACATGTGTGACATGTCATGATTCCCTTTTATTCCAGACGTTTGGTCCTTAAGGTGTTAAATAATACTTTTGCTATGTTATAAATATACTAATTCGCTTCTAAACAAAACGTGGCCTGTGTATGAAGAACAAAACTTAAAATTTGAGCTATATATATCTGTTCAACCATAATTTACCTCTTTTATATTAAGTGTACCCACACTTATTATTTATAAAAAAAAATTCAGAAGAAACAAGGTTTTCATTTCACATCCAATACTAATTTATATATGATATATAAATTTAATTTAAATAAAATCTAAAAAAAAAAAAAGTGTGAAATAGTAAGACATTTGGCTATTTTACAACTTATGCATGGCATTTTAACTGTGAATGTCAAACTACTCTCAGCTTTTACTTAAATAAAACAGACATATTTGTATGCTGTGATGTCCCACGAGAACAACGATGCCACCTATGTACAGGTTTCATTGTGTTTTAAAAAGCTATAGAGTCAAATATAGAGCTTGCCCATTGCAATTTTACACATTGACATTTTCTATATTGGTTTGCTGGGCCTATGTTGCCTTTAAAGGACCACTCTAGGCACCCAGACCACTTCAGCTTAATGAAGTGGTCTGGGTGCCAGGTCCTTCTAGGGTTAACCCATTTTTTCATAAACATAGCAGTTTCAGAGAAACTGCTATGTTTATGAATGGGTTAAGCCTTCCCCCTAATCCTCTAGTGGCTGTCTCATTGACAGCCACTAGAGGCGCTTGCGTGCTTCTCACTGTGAGAGCACGCAAGCGTCCATAGGAAAGCTTTGTAAATGCTTTCCTATGCGACCGGCTGAATGCGCGCGCAGCTCTTGCCGCACGTGCGCATTCAGCCGACGGGGAGGAGAGAAGGAGGAGAGCTCCCCGCCCAGCGCTGGAAAAAGGTAAGTTTAAACCCCTTTCCCCCTTCCAGAGCCGGGCGGGAGGGGGTCCTTGAGGGTGGGGGCACCCTCAGGGCACTATAGTGCCAGGAAAACGAGTATGTTTTCCTGGCACTATAGTGGTCCTTTAAGACCGTATGGTAGCCCGGGAATGAGAATTATGCAGATCTTGGCATACCATTTGCAAAGGTTTTCAACCCAGTGTATTCAGAATAGGATATGTCCAGAGTCTTTGTTAGTAGACACTAAGCCACAAACCCTGGACAAACATAGTGTTCAGATCTGAATTTTGCATTTTCCACATAAAAAAACTTGTCAGGGTTAAAACACTGTCTGTGTTCAGCAATGTTTCATGAGTACAACAGTTCCCCTTATCTGCAGGTTTTATTGGGCTTTGGAAATTTACAGGATTAAAAATAGGGTTTGCAAATCCTATTTTTAGGTAAAATGTAGGTAATAATTCATGCTCATAAATGGGAAAATTACTATATGTGCATATTATTCAATGTTGGCATTTTTCTTGTGGGCATTTTTGAGAGGGTTTTTTTTTTTTTTTCTTTGTGCAATTTTAATGTGGGCTTTTTCCGTAGAACCATACCAAATGTAACACAATCCTCCAATGTATGAAATACCTCATGTGATTCTAAGAATAAGTTACATAAACATCCCAAAAACGACCTGCTACAGTATCAAATGAAATGAAGCAGCATGTAGCAGCGTAAAATGAGAGGTATATTTAAAAAGGGGTATATTGGTTTCCAAACATCATTCACCACTTATGACAGACTGGATCTTCATTCTTCTGTGAACCCACACAAACCCTTAAGCAGGGTTGCCCAAAAGGCAGATCCCTTGAGGTTTTAAAACTACAGCTTCCATATTTAAAAAGGGGTATATTGGTTTCCAAACATCATTCACCACTTATGACAGACTGGATCTTCATTCTTCTGTGAACCCACACAAACCCTTAAGCAGGGTTGCCCAAAAGGCAGATCCCTTGAGGTTTTAAAACTACAGCTTCCATAATGCTTTGTTATACTAAAACCAATGCAAAGCATCATTGAAATTATAGTTCTACAATATCTGGGGATCTACCTTTTGGGCACCCCTGTCTTAAACAGTTACACCTCTTTTGGTTAGAGTAACTATTAGTCACCTCCAAAAAAAACCCAAAAACCTCCATTATAAGTCACAAAATGAAAAGCTTATGTTAGATCCTGTGTCGGTGTCAAGCTCTTCCTACAGCCTGATCCTTCTCCACTGATGTCACCCCCAGAGGCACAGCAAGTATGGGGGCATAGGGGAGCAATCTCCACCGGACACCTGTCTGATGGAGTGCCCAGTGGGCCTAAAGCAGGGCAGGCCTGGCAAATTGGGAAATAAGGAGCTTTCTCAATTGGTCACTCTATTGTGGTCCTGGCCATAGCTGCCAGAGAACGTTTTACAGAGAAATTACACGTGGCTATCAAGTGGAGGGGTGGGACTAGGTGGCTATCGAGTGGAGGGGTTGGAAGCTATAGTCCTGAAAATAATGTTATTCTATGGATTATAGTGACCATTGTCGACCCTCTTTTCTGTGTTAAAATGTGAAGGAGCTCTCCACACCCTATGTGTGTCCTTTCCCCCCTCCCCTTTATTTTACAAAAAGTGCAGATTTAATTAGAAATTGACACTTTTATAAATTATCCTTGTTTTTTTTGAAAATATACACATCAATATAGATATAGGCCTAACCTCCAATGCACAGTGTGGGCCAAAATTCAGAGTAGGGTTTAACCCCTTAAGGACCAAACTTCAGGAATAAAAGGGAATCATGACATGTCACACATGTCATGTGTCCTTAACGAGTCAATAACTTTTTTTTTTTTTATTATGAACTACATACAATTGCTTAGCATATGGAGATTTGTTTGACTGGGTACTGACTTTCTCTGACCCAAGGTAGAGTTTAAGTCCGCTCCACTCCCTGTGTCAAGGAGAATGGTGAGAATAGTACTTTTTCTGACACCGGAAATGTAGTGGACTTAAAGCTCCTCCTTTGATCAAAGAAAGTCAATTGTAGAAAAAATACATATGACAAAGTAGTCCCTTTTTTGTCTTATGTTTTAAAGAAAACTAGATCAGATAAGAATAAAAGAAGAACAGATTCTGCGAGAGGAACGTAAGGGGAAACAATAGGAGAAAGGCAAGTTCAACGTGACCGTGCCGCTTTAATGTTTGAGGCACTAGCGCTCACATTTCTGCAGGGTATTCTCCTCAAGCTGCTTTATATCCACACCTTTGGACATCCCCACTGGAAGTAATTGGGAACTGAAAGGTTGGGCGAACCTAGTGGCCAATTAATCTGTGAATTTCTTGAAATTATCCGCTCGCCGAACCGTTGACTTAGTTTTGAAAATAAAATTCCACAATTTTTACTCTTTGTTCCTTTGTGAAATGACCCATGATGAATCTCCCAAGACTCCATTATAAGAAGTTCCCATAATTTACTAACAAATAAGCTATTTACCTGTAAAATCCTATTCTGGAAATTGTCCCAAGCTGTAGAACATCAAAGGGAAAGGGCTGAAAAAGTTTTAACTTTAAACTCATAGTTCCACGTGAGAGTCTGTATTGCCATGAATAGTTTCATTCATAAAAACTCACTTGCTGAGGTGTGTAAATCCTCGAATAAGCCAGCACTCACAGCCTATCATTTCTGTCTAAAGATTTACAGTTATAGCCAAAGTTCATTTCTGCATTTCCTGAACCATAGCAGTAACTATGGAGACATGCAGACAAAACCTTTTCTTTATCCCCTTACATAAAAACAGACATATATGTCTGCTGTATAAACAGTGAACTGTAATTCGGCAATTCTACCCAATCATTACATTGCAATTACCATCATTTTAAATTTAAGTTGGAATTTAATACAAGTCTTAAAACTATTTAAATGCCTACTTGCAGGGTTATAATAAAACATTCCTAAAAAGTGGATTACATCTTTACACAACGCATCAAATTGATAGTCTGAATTAAACATATTTAATTTTACAAAAATCTAATGAGAGACAAATAATTAAAATTTCCATCTACCAAGGCAACAAAACAAAAAAAAAAAAAAGCAAACAAAAATCACATTGGACTAAACAAAAGGCAAAACAAGTTTTTTAAAAACACAAACAAAAAACCCCAATAAGTTTTCCCATGAGAAATGACAAATACAGATGTAGTTTTGCTAGGCAGTTATGCAGATCTGTGCCTATCAGTTGGTGAGCTTTCAAATGTGATACAAACTCACAAGGCAGCAGCAGAGGACTGTTTAAGAAACACATATTTTAAAGAATTGTTTCAGACATCATTAACAGTAGATTAAATGTTGCTGCAGAATAAAGGCATTCCTAAAACATACCTATATTGGCCATTCACCAAAGCCACAACTTGTATTAACCAAATAGACAGTTAAGCTTGGGGTGATAACGGATTAGCCCAGTGATGGCGAACCTTTTTGTGCCTGAGTGCCCAAACCGCAATACATGCCAACTTTTTTTTCCTTAAAGTGCCAACATGGCAATTAAACCTGAATACTGAGGTTTAAGTTTAGAAAAAAAAACTACTCGTACAGTTGTCCGAACTAATTAACAATTTTTGTTTTAAAAGAAGAACACAACAGAGAGTTCAATGATACGAATTTTAAATTATGATATAAATAGATAAAATTAAGCTTATATTTATTAGTATCTCCAACAAATGAAATACATACACACAGACTGCTGAACACATTCACACACCGTCCGCTAAATACATACACACACCGTCCGCTAAATACACACACACACCGTCCGCTAAATACACACACAGACAGACTGCTGAATACACACAGACTGATAAATACACACACAGACTGCTGAATACACACACACACACACACAGACTGCTGAATACACACAGTCTGTTGAATACATACAATACACTGCTGAGTACACACACACACACAGTCTGCTGAATACATACACTGCTGAGCACACACACACACACAGACTGCTGAGCACACACACACACAGACTGCTGAGCACACAGACTGCTGAGCACACAGACTGCTGAGCACACAGACTGCTGAGCACACAGACTGCTGAGCACACAGACTGCAGAGCACACAGACTGCTGAGCACACACACACACAGACTGCTGAGCGCACACACACAGACTGCTGAGCACACACACACAGACTGCTGAGCACACACACACAGACTGCTGAGCACACACACACACAGACTGCTGAGCACACACACACACAGACTGCTGAGCACACACACACACAGACTGCTGAGCACACACACACAGACTGCTGAGCACACACACACACAGACTGCTGAATACATACACTGCTGAATACACACACAGTCTGCTGAATACATACACTGCTGAATACACACAGTCTGCTGAATACATACACTGCTTAGTACTCACACACACAGACTGCTGAGTACACACACACACACAGACTGCTGAGTACACACAGTCTGCTGAATACATACACACACACAGACTGCTGAATACACACATACATACTGCATTGAGGGGTGCAGTGTATGTGTATGTAAGGGTGTGGAGTGCTGTGTGTGTGTGTGGGGGGGGGGTGCTGTGTGTGTGGGGGGTAGGGGTAAAGATACATAAAAAAAAAAGTTATATTAATTCTGTATCCCCCCTCCCTTCCTCTTACCTTTGGTGAAGGAGGGGGGACACAGCCATCCCTGGAGGTCCGGTGGTGGTAAGTATTGTAGGAAGCAGCTCTCATATCCTCCCGTGTGATGCTGTGTGGAGCATTGCCATCGTAACGCACGGCAACGCTCCACACAGCTTGCTCGCAGGAGGATAGGAGACCTGCTTCCTAGAGCCCTCCCCCTGTCTCCCGACCCGGAAGCAGAGTAGGCCCCCCTCTCCCGGCGACCTTTGGCCGCATGTCCACAGAGAGGGCCAGGCGTGCCACCTGTGGCACGCGTGCCATAGGTTCGCCATCACTGGATTAGCCTCACTGCATTATTCACTAAAGTGATAATGAAAAAAGTGAACAACAAGTTTAAAGGGACACTATAGTCACCAAAACTATTTTAGCTTAATGAAGCAGTTTTGTTGTATATATCATGCTCCTGCAGTCTCGCTGCTCAAATCTAAATCTAATCTTAAAGCCATTTAGGAGTTAAATCACTTTGTTTATGCAGCTCTATTGACAGTTCCCTGCATGTGACCTACCCAGCCTTTCTAAAAACTATGAAGAATCATCTAATGTTTATACTTCCTTTATTGCAAATTATGTTTAATTTAGAATTTCTTATCTCCTGCTCTGTTAATAACTTGCTAGACCCTGCAGGAGTCTAATGTGTCTGATTAAAGTTACATTTACAGAGGAGGAGATAAACAATTTTAAGTAAGTTATATCTGTTTAAAAGTGAAATAATTTTTTTCATGCAGGCTGTGTTTGTCACAGTCAGGGGAGCTGTGGCTAGAGATTTATGGCCGGGGAAAAAAAAAGTGATTTAACTCCTAATTGGCAGAGAATTGAGCAGCGAAACTTCAGAGGCATAATCTAAACACCAAAACTGCTTTAGTAAGTTGAAGTTTATTTGGTGACTATAGTGTCCCTTTAAAGGGACATTACACTGCCCCCAAAAAAATAAAAAAAATTTAACTTAAAAAAACCCCCAAACAAACAACCACAATCACTATTCAGTAGCTATATCCCCAATGAATACTTGCATGCATTTAATTATGCATTTTTTTCATTGGGATATATGATATATGATACAGCTTCTTTTGTCTCCTGCCTTTACAAGCCCTCCTCTTTTAACCCCGCCCAGACTGAGACTATCCAATCACAGACTTCCCAATGCAGCTCTCTAATAAGTCTTTGCTTGGCAGGTGCTCTGGGCAATTGCTGCCTCGAGTTCAGTGCAAATAGACCAACCAAAGCAGGAAGTAATAAGACTCGTTGTCTGCTTGAAAAGACAGGGGATGTAACCAGTATAATTTATAAAAAAAGTGTCAATTTCTATTGAAATCTGCAATATTTCCAAAATGAAAAAAAGAGGACACACTTCACACAAAGCTTTTCAGCAAGGTAAAGTGCTTGAAGGGTCTGGAGTGTCTTTTTAATGCTAACATAGTCGAAACGGAGATCATACTAATATTAAAGTTCAGCTATTCTGTCCTTAAAGGACTACTCCACACCCCAAAAGCACTTCAGCTTTTGTAATATCTTTTTGACTATACTCCCAATGAAAACATACATGAAAATATGCATGCATGTATTCATTGGGGGTATATCTACTAAACAGTTTGGGGGGGGGGGTTTGGGCAGGGGTTGGGAGGAGGAGGGTGTTGGTCATGTGGAATGCTCCTTTAAAATTAAAACTTACACTCCACATTAAAGCATTTGATATTTCTTGATAATGAACAATATAAAATCAAATACTTGGCTGTATCGTCCTGCAGTAGCCGATGATGTGAAAAGCTGAACTACGTAATAAGTACAACAAATATTTGGGTTGGAGCAGAAGGGGGGAAAAAAGGAAATACATGTAGTTTATTTTATGATACACTTCAAAAGAACGAAGTTCCTATTAGAAGATCTGTTCTGATATCCTATATGGAAATACCACTAGGGGTAGTGGTATGCTTCTCTACCCAAATAATTATACTATAATGCATTGAAAGAGTCTCTAGGGGCAGCAGTCCTATGTGTAGGATAAGGCCTTAAAGGGAAACTATAGTACCAGGAAAACAAACTTATTTCCCTTCCCCCTCCATCAAGCCCCCACCCCGGTGTGTCACTTATCGGGATCCAGCGCCGATGTCCCTCTGCTTTGGCTCAGGAACGCCTTCACTACTCCCCTGACGACAGCCAATGGGGGAGACCGAATGTGCACGTGCGGCAGTGGACGCACCTGCGTTAGGATATCCCCATAGGAAAGCATTATTTAATGCTTTCCTATGGGGATTCCGGTGACTCTGGAAGTACTCAAGTCACCTAAAGAATCAGAAGTCCATCTAATGGATGTCTGGTAGACAGCCACTAGAGGAGGAGTTAACCCTAGCAGGTAATTATTGCAGTTTATATAAAAAATAAATAAATTACATGCTCAGGGTTAAGGGTGATGGGACACTGCCCGCAGACCAGTTCAGTGAGCTGAAGTAGTCTTGGTGCCTATAGGCTCGCTTTAAACCTACTCAGTATACATGGATAAAGGAAAAAAAAAATATAAGGAGCATAACCTTAGATTATATTCATTTAACAATGTAAAAGATTATCCCTTTTGGACACTTTATGTCAAACTAATGTTATCTCACTCTTTATTTGAGAAGAGCTCTCTGCAAGAAGAAAATCTGAGGATGTTAACGGTATACTTTTGAATATGTTTTAATATCTTTTTAATGTATATATTTTTACTTACTTTCGTAATGCATAAAATAAAAAGGGGTCAGCTCCAGTTTGGAGTGTTACTTTAACATTTCATTTACCAAAAAAAAAATTACAAATTCAGTGACAGCTTAAAGAGCAATGATTCCCTAAATAACAAAAGGAGAGTTAATATCATTAAAATGTGCCTTTCTCACCATCATTTTTCTGTATGCAGTTGTAATCTCCCTGAAAATGTTCCTTAAGCACTGACATAGGAGGCCATTTTGCTTTTATAGCAGAACTAGTCAAAGGACAATTTCTTGTAATAGTGCCAGAAAACTACTTGTAAAGTAGAAGATTATGAACAAATTGATTATTTTAACATTATTGCCTATATATACACATTGCAAAGATAAATATCAGCCTGTCATCCTACCAAAGTCAAAAAATTTGTACCATTGGTTGGTAATAATGTAAACTTCCCAGGACATATCTCAAAGGATTCTTTCTGTTCCGATAATTACATCTGAATACTGCCACCACGTACATAACAAGAATCATCAGTCTTTTAAAAAGGTAGTTTCCGTTCATTTATCTTTAGAAATTAGCGTTTACTTTATAGCTGCTTGAAGAGAGACCCAACAATCATAAATAAAGCAATCTAGAGAAATCTGGTCCTTTACATGTCTAAAAAGGGGGTACCTGCCCTTAAGCCTTCTACAATAAGGTTTGCAGATTGATCCCTCAGATTAGTGATGTTCACCGGTCACAATACTTGGCACAGGATGCTGGGAATCCAGCCCAAGCAAAGACCCCAGATAAGAGTGTTCTCTACTCTCCAGAATCTGTTCTGGTCTCACTGGGTGCAAAAGTGTGGCTGGTTGAGGGGTTAGTGTGTATTTTTCAAGGAAGGCCAAGTCAGGTGTCCGTTGGTAAGCTGCTTGTGAGGCTAGCACAGAAGATTCTGTATGCCGTTCTAGTTCTCCTTCTGACTCTGCTAGATCAACAGTCACCAGGGTAAGTGGCACACAGATATCTGCATCAGTGCTTTCTGGGACGACTGGGAAGTTTTTTGGTTCTTCGCATGTTTCCTCCTCCACTTTAGACCCATGGACATGGTCAATGTGATACTTTAGTTTGTCCTTGCGTTTAAATGTGGCATTGCAATGTTGACAGTTAAAGGGACGGGCATCCGAGTGTATGACAAGATGCTTTGTCAAAGTTTTCTTGATGCGGAAGGATTGGTTGCAAATCTGGCATTTATACGGCTTTTCACCTGAAGACAAAATTTAAAGTTATATATACGGCTTCCTTCAAAGCTTTAAGTCACACAAATGTTTTTATTTTTACATCTGAATTTAGTTTGTACCCCCAAAAATAATAATTTTTTTTTTTTTTTAAAGAGCGACTGCCACTAGAGGGTTCTCTAGGCAGAAATATAAACACTGTCCTTGTTCTTTGAAAAGACAGCATTTACAGTGCTCAGCCTGCAGGGACAGTCTATAGACAGCAGAACCACTACAATAAGCTGTAGTGGTTCTGGTGATTAAAGTGTCCCTTAAATGAAGCATTTGACATTTTACTGAGGGAATTAATGTGTGTTATTCATCCTTGTGACTTAAAAGGGGTACTATAGGCACCTTTATTTTATAGATCATGTTCCTACGGTCGCACTGGTCAATTCTCTGCCATTTAGCACTTAAATCACTTTGTGTATACAGTCCTAGTCACACCCCCGTGCATGTGACTCACACAGCCTTCCTACGCACTTCCTGTAAAGAGAAATCTAAATTTTAACTTCTTTTATTGCTGTTTAATTTATAATTTCTTATTTCCTGCTCTGTTAATAGCCTGTTAGAGCATGTATGTGATTAAAGTGTAATTTACAAAATACAAAAAATATAAAATAAGCAACTTCTAAAGTAAGCGAGATCTGATATTTTTTTAAATGCAGGCTGTGTCAGTCACAGACAGTGGATGTGTGGCTATGGCAGCATAAACAGAAACAAAAAGGTATTTAACTCCAAAAAGGAAGAGAATTAAGCAGTGAGACTGCAGCGGAATGATATATATGCCTAAACTGCAGTTGTTTTGATGCATTTATGATCCCTTTAAGAGGACAAAGCACATTCACAATGGAGTCTCCTGTTACTATGCTGGCATTATCATACAGCAATATTCCTGGCTCTATGTCAATCCCTCAAGGATGTTTTAAAGGGTGACTGCCACTTATTAAGATTACTAATAGGTTTATCTATTATCTATATTTACCAAATATATATCTGCAAGGTTTGAAATATAAAATATATTGTAGAAAACTACACCTCCATCTTAGCTCCCTGCTAATCACTGTCATATGTAGCCCCTTTTCTGTTCTCCTTGTTTGCATTGTGTGAACTGAACTGTAATGTGATGTGATGTCATTTACTAATCTTTCATGTATATTTTAAAAGAAAACAGCATGACATGAAAAAGAAAAAAGAAATAAATAGGTTAATACACGTTATAGGTCATTTTGAATAAAAAGTTTTATTCACATGTGTGATTTCACGAGAAGTGAAAGTTCCATTAAAGGCAACACATTTACCTCAGTGTTTTAATTAAAAACATCTATCTCAATATATTTTTTTTTTTTTTACCAAACACAAAATGGAAAAGATGTGCATAGAAATTATAGCTGAAAGAGATGATGCCTCATGACATATCTCTACGTGTAAGTGAAGGTTTGGGGGTACATAGAAAGTGAAGCTGGCCCAGACTCCGCAGCAGAGACGGAGGCAAACCCACATTCACAAAATAAAAGCCCAAGGCCAAAAGGAAATGAGAGTACCAGCAGAGATCCTACAGGCATTCAGGGAATATTACACTAGCCTATATAACCTGGCCGATCCGCCCAGCGCACTCACCCCATCACAACATAGACGTGAGCTAACAGACTTCCTCACCAAACATGTAGCCCGGAAACTTACCCCCGACCAAGCCGCAAATCTGGAACAACCCCTGTCCCTGGAGTAACTAACCGCGGCGCTTAAGCTAACCAAAGCAAATAAGGCACCAGGCCCAGATGGACTCTCAGCGAGCTACCTCCGCATGTATAGAGACCTCTTGCTGCCACACCTGTTGACAGGCCTGAACTCGCTGCTAGAGGGCGGACAACTCCCGGTGGACACACTCCGGGCCATGGTAACAGTCCTGCCTAAAGAGGGAAAAGATTCAGCCTGCTGCGCAAGTTACCGCCCCATTTCCCTCTTGAACGCAGACGTAAAGTTGTTCGCGAAGGCCATGACCCTCCGCCTCGCCGGGGTGCTGCCCTCACTGGTCCACCCAGACCAGGTGGGCTTCATCCCGGGCAGAGAATCCCAGGATAACACCATACGGGCCCTCAACATCATCCACTCGGCTCAAAGGCAAGGAAGGGGTCTTGTCCTCCTCTCCACAGACGCTGAAAAGGCCTTCGACCGAGTGGACTGGTCCTACCTAGTGGCTACTCTACAACACATGGGAATCGGACCCAATATCCGAGCCTGGATAGCGGCGCTCTACACAACACCCACGGCACGAATATGAGTCCACGGTGCCCTTTCAGAGCCATTTCCCATACGAAATTGAACACGACAGGTGTGCCCCCTGTCCCCTTGCTGTTCGCCCTCTCTTTGGAACCGTTCCTGGAGGCAGTCAGGACAGATGGGGGAATTGTAGGGCACACAATAGGGAACATGGAGCACCGGGTGGCGGCATATGCTGATGACCTGCTCTTCTTCCTGGAACGACCCCTGATCTCCATTCCAAACACACTAGGCCTATTCCAACAATTCGGGAGGATCTCGAACCTAAAACTTAACACCGACAAGTCGGAGGCCATGAACATCTCGGTCCCCAGATAATGCCAGATAGTGCCCTAAAGATGCTCGACCTGTTCCGATACCACCAGGTCAAATCCTTCTACAACTCTGCAACGGCCAAACAATTCCATCGAGACCCCACGTATTTTGAAAAAATATGCATCAGTAGGCGACATATCGAGAGAGGGATCTCGACGCTATACGCACTGCTTCTGGAGGGTGAGAATAGACCACAACCGAAATACATCGCCAGATGGGAGAGAGAGACAGGGGAGGTACTCAAAGCCCATGAATGGGATAAAATATTCCTACTCACACACAAAAGTTCTATTAGCTCAAAATTTCAGGAGATGAGCTACAAGCTACTAACTACCTGGTACATAACCCCTGATACACTACATCGCATGAACCCAGACAATGATGAGAAATGCTGGCGATGCGGACTAGAGAGAGGCACTATGATCCACATATAGTGGACTTGCCCAGTCATCACCCCCTTCTGGGTGATGGTAAACACCAAAATACAGGAAATATCGGACCCGGAGCTCCTGCTCCAACCCCTCCCCATGCTACTACATCACACCAGCATATCATTGAAAACCTATAAAAAATCCCTCACAAGACACTTATTGACAGCAGCTAAATCACTGATACCCACCCTGTGGAAAAGGTCGTCCGCCCCCACCTTCCAACAATGGGTGGATAGAGTGGTAGAAATACATGCCATGGATACTATGACAGCAGCCCTCCAGTGCCGCTCGGAAAAATGTCATCTAACCTGGACCCCCTGGATCCTCTAAATCGCGGCAGAAGGCTTTTTTTCTTTTTTCCAGCTAGACTGCTCCCACCCTCCTACCCCCTCCACCATCTTGACCAGTCCCCGACTAGACCACCCCACACCATGTACTAGACTAAGACACTCAATCCAAGAGTACATGTAAGAGAACACTAAACCAAGCAGGGAACCATAGAGGGTCAGTAGATAGAGCCCACAAAAACGATACAAAGGGACAGATACACACAAGGTGCCCCAAAAGCCTAAAAAGTACATGATCCAAAAGCAAGGTTAACCGCACACTAGACCCCACCACTTTAAGCACCAGAAGCAACCCAACAACACACAGGCAACACCCCCACATGGCACACGCACCCAAGGGACATATTTTACACTCAAGCTCCTCCAACCACAGAAAGGGACATAACTTACAAAGTACGTGCACCTGGACGCAGGTGGGGTGGGTCCGGTTGCCCCATCCACAGCATCCGAAAAACCCAAAACGGAACTCTGCCAGGAGGTTCCACTACAAACGGACTCACCCACACATACAGCCCGCTGACTAACCGACTCAGGCAGGGTCTCACACCCTTCTTGCGTATATAATGCCCTGGGGCTGCATGAAGACCCAAATAGTTAGGGGTATGAGACTATGAAAGCCATAAGACACTCACATATACCGACTGGTGTGAATAGCAATAGACACCAGGCATACCCTCCAGGTCTCAACTAACGTGTGATCTGTAAACATGAAAATAAGTAATGCTATGTAATTATGGATGTTTACTACTGCATTTGTACACCCCAAATAACTGTTCGACATCCCACCCTCCTTTCCTTCTGTAAACCCCACCTTTTACTTGTCAAAATTGAAAAACTGAATAAATAAAGATTGTCAAAAAAAAAAAAAGAAAGTGAAGACTTGCTTACCAGAATGTGTACGAAAATGCATATCTAAACTGGATTTCCCTTTGAAAACCTTTTTGCAGACTTCACACTGATGAAATGTGGCTTTGTACCTGGGCAATAAAACAGGAAATTAGATTATATAATACAATGGTGGTGGGAGGTATGCTGTGTGTATATTAGAACATATATATGTTCTAATCCTGCTGGATTAAAGTCAAGAAATACACACAGCTTGTGTGTAATTATTTCCATTCTGACAATTATTAGCTAGTAGTGCAGCTTGAAATGATGTACACACAGCAGAAGTTGTTTCACCAGAAATATTAATGTTTTGACAATGCACTCCACAGGTCCAAACCCCCTCCCCCCCCCAAATCCAAACACCAGTATAAAATATACAAAAACAAGTCCTGCACTCAAACTCCCACTACTCCTGGGCAGCAGCAACGACCATAGTACACATCAGCCCCAACACAAAGTAAAAACCAAAGAGAAAAGCTACCTGTGCAGCGGCAGCAACGACCATAGAAAACAGCGCAGATAATGTTTTTTACCATATGTATTGGGGCTAATGTGTGCTGTGGTCATTACTTCCGCCCAGGAGTTTGAGCGCAGAACACTTCTTTTGTGTATTTGTATTCACTTTTGTATCACACAGCTATGTTACAATGCTGCCACCCACCCCATGTGTTCCCTATTAAGGGTTAATAAGTATGTAGGGGTTTAGAAAAATACCCCTCTCGGCCTCAGAGATTTCTTTGCCTGAAGCTCAAGGAAGCAAGGTGAATAGTCAGTGTAGGACACACCTAAGAGGTTTGCTTTGACGTGGCAGATGGGCTTGCATCTAATGGCCATTGGAGTTACTAAATAACCTCCATTTATTTAAATATGCATAGGGATTTGGAAAGAGCGCAGGCAGCTTTTTTTCCTTTGATTTCTACCAGTATAAAATATATTAAACAGAACTTTGTTATTTCTATTTACATTGTCAGAATCAACGAGTTAATCCAGCCCTCTTTAGTGGTTAATGGCACCATTCCGTTTTTACGATGGTTTGCACTCGTACCTGGTGCTGCTGGGCACCGGGTCTCCTCTGTAAGCCGATTTACAACATCCAGCTTCTGTAGAGCTGCAGGAGCCGTATGTTGATCCTGACGCTTCTTCATTGGCGGAGAACGTCAATTGGCTACTCTTAGCCAATGTGCATCAAGATTTGCACACAACTAGCCAGCCCGGAACCCTTGTTCGCTGACGTCCCATAATGCTGCCAGAGGTGGAGTTACATCTCTGGCAGCAAACAGGTTAAAACTTGGTATGTGTGGCAATTCACAGCTGAACATCACTAAAGTGGCCATGGTGCTTGGAGTAAATATTTAACATATGTCTTGAGAGCAACAAAAACAGAGAATATGAGAACTCTGAGAACGGACAAACGCTTAGGGAAACCCAGTAGCTTGCCCTTCGGGTAATCCACACTCAGGTCTCAAAAATGTTTTTGCTCACTTGTACCATTACAAAGAGAACCTATAACATTGTATATCATACTGATCCCACACATAATGGCAGTACAGAACCGAAATGCTATCCAGTTGCCTTTGTTAGCAACAACCCATTTTGGATGATCAATGCCGGAGCCAACGTTCAGCAGCAAATAATTTGCCCTAATAATTTGCCAAACATGTACAGATCTGCTAAGCAACCCGATGCAGCCCAAAGGGGGATGCACTAAAGTGCAAGAAATTTAAGAAAGATCGGCTGCACAATGTGTGGTTAAAATGGATTTAAATTAATCTGTAATTTAAGTGTAATACAGTATTCAAAACATTTAGAGTGCACTTACTTCTGCCAAACCTTTTCTCCCAGATGAACACTCTTATAATGAACAGTCAGATGGTCTCGACGCCCAAAACATTTTCCACATTCTTCGCACTGATGCGCTTTCTCACCTTAGAAATAGTAATGCATCATTAGGTCCCAAACATAAGCCATGACTTAATATTTTTGGATATGTTTTTTAAATGATTTAAGGGAACACTATAGTGTCAGGAATACAAACATATATTCCTGACAGTATAGGTCTAAATAGCTATTTAATCCCACTTTGTCCCTAGTGAAAAAGGTCATTTACTCACATTTATCTAGCACCAATGGGGTCGGTTGCAGCTGGCCCCACTCCCTTAGCCAAAATAAAACTTTTTGATCGCATCCAATCCTTTCTATATGAAAGCGTAGGGAGGCTCATAGAGATACATTGATTCAATGGGGAAAGTTCAGTGCCTCTATGCAGAACATCAGTGCTACACAACACAGGACGCATCTTTAGTGGCTGTCTGAGGAGTGGCCACTGGAGATGTTCCTAGGTAGTAATGTTATCTGGAAAAAGCCTTCATGGACTGACTATACTTACCAGAACAGTTATTCTGGTGACTATAGTGTCCCTTTAATATTGTTGGATGCATTATGAGAATCATTTAATATTATTTTGATGTATTTATATTTCGAAGGAAAAAAAATCCCCAAAATAATATTATTCAAAGCAAAAATTGTAATGAATGTCATCCTAAAATGAATTCTATTTCAAATTCATGTTATGTATAATAAGGAGCTAAGCCTGGAGCAATAGCCATGAAAACCTTACTCTTGACTTTAGAGACTCTACCATCAAAATTGTTCTTTATAACCCCTTAAGGACACATGACATAGGGTGTGACATGTCATGATTCCCTTTTATTCAAGAAGTTTGGTCCTTAAGGGGTTAAATAGCCTCCCTCTGTGGGTTTTAATTTTTTAATACAGCAGATCTAGACATTGGCTAAGCACTTTAAATGCTGCTGTGCAGGGTTCCTACAACAACAAAAATTTTAGCAGAAATACAGAGGTACGGCATTGGATATTTTGCTTACGGAGGCCAATGAATTATGGGAGTTATCGACCAACATCCTTTTAAAGGACATCCATGTTGTAGAGATTCTTAAAGTAACTAACTAGTCATCATACCAGAATGTATCTTTTTATGTTTTGTGAGATGGTCATGGCGTATGAAGGTCTTCCCACACTCATCACATTCGTAACGCTTGTCATCGTGATGCACACGAAGGTGAAGCCTGAAAAGTAAAGATATAAAGAAGAATGCTAAGTGAAGAGTGGACAGTCAGATCAACACAAGTGAATGAAACCATTTATCCCGGGACCAAAAGTGTCCCATGTGTAGGAGCTGCCATGTGGGCAACGCCACACAGCTTGCAAAAACCAGTAGAATGTTATTTGCTGTATATTGCAGGACAGATTATTGTGGCAGCATAACAAGCACAAAAAATATTGTAATAATAGAGACATGTACTATATATTATTACAGTTAAATGGACACTATAGTCACCAGAACAACTACAGCTTATTGTATTTGTTCTGGTGAATAGAATAATTCCCTTCAAGTCTTTTGCAGTAAACATGTTTTTTTTCCACAGAAAATGCAGTGTTTACATTACAGCCTAGGGATACCTCCACTGACCACTCCTCAGATGGCTACAAAAGTCTCTCTTACCTGTAAGAACTTCCATGGCGAAAACTCTGTCCACAAATACTGCAAAGGTGTGGCTTCTCCCCACTGTGAATTCTCAAGTGTTCCTTCAAGGTTGTTCTGGAAGACAAAGAGAAATCAATGAGTCTGACAATTACTTAAATTGTATTAGAAAGTCTAATAGTCCATGCACATGTGTGGAAACTAGAATCTGCCCTCATCAATGTTATATAAACACAGTTCCCACCAGACGTCCTTACCTTTCCCTTACCGATTTTCCACATATGAAGCATGTCCACTTCCTCTTCCCTCCATGAGTGTAATCAATGTGACGCTTTAGATTTCCAGAGTCATTAAATTGACGACCACAGATGTCACAAGGAAAAGGCCCTAGTGTGTTAAAATTAGGAAGCGGTTTAGAATAGTTTTGTCATGGTTCAAATGTTAGGACCAACACCTTAAGTATCTTCAGAGATTTATTGAATTCTCTTGTCGAACTTAGAACCTAGAACTTTTCATGGACTTACTGTAAACTGCCTGATGCTTTCAATCAACCATCAAAGGTTCAGTTTTTGTGTCATATTAAGAGATATATATATATATATATATATATATATATATATTATATATTATATAAAAAAAAAAAAAAAAACTTCCTTGTCAGTACAGATACCAGTCGTGCATCATGTTTTATTCAACCAATTTGATTTGGCAGGAATTTAACACAGAATATTGAAATAAATAGTCATGATCAAAATCCCAAGGTTTTCAGAGAAAATTGTTTACATTGCTGCCTAGGGACACCTACAGTGGCAGTCACACAGACGGTCACTGGAGGGACTTCCTGGGTCAGTGCTGCACAGTGTGCAGCACAGATGTTCAGAGTCTCCAAATATTGGGCAAAGAGGGACTGTGAGTGGAGCATCCAAGTAGCAGGCAGGATTGATGGGTCAGTCATCCGATGGCTAGTGATGGAGAGTTCCAGCCTTTGTCTCTACCCAACAACCCCTATGGAGTTCTTCCACCTTGCCCAAGGGCACAGACAAACAGGCAAGAGCTTCATCAAGATGATGGCACGAATATCAGCTGGAACTCGTGTCAGCTGACCGCAAATCTTGTTCCGCCAGCTACATGGGTAATAGGCCTTCGGGAAAGGTAGGCTGTGTCGCTTCTTTCGCTGCCTCCTCTGAACACGTAGGGAACACGGGTTCAGGCAATGCCGGTCCATAATAGGGATTCGTGGGGCCGTGACTCAGCCTACAGCAATGGAGACAGGCCCCTGTGCACATATCTTTGCCCAGAAGGCTGCACAAATACAAACAAAGTTCAGGAGAAGCGAATCCACCACTATGGGTGTTTGTGGGACAGTGAGCCCCAGTGGGGACCAGGTTAACCCCCACCGGTCCAGAGGGGGAGGGGCGGGTAAATGGGTCAGTTAGTTTCGGCATCGAGTAGCAGTCCCAGCGACGGGAGATCAGCAGTATCTCCACTTCACCGGCATAGCAGGCTCGATAGACAGGATCGCTGCTCAGCAAGAAGCCCCAGATTGGTCCTAAGAAGATGCACTAGACGGTGAGCTCTGTCTTTCCACAGCTTAGAATCCTCTGGCTGATGGATTAGTAGCTTTAAACGTGTCAATTTGGCTCGAGTAAGCAGGCGCTACAGATGGACACGTCCAGTGATCTTGGATGTCAGGCCCCGCCCCCAGTTTTATAACTTTTTAAAGGGGGGCAAAATAATGTGTTTTTAACACTAGTCAAATATATACTTGTGCTCCTTACAGTGTTCCTTTAAAGAATAATAAAAAAATTTAAAAAAAAAGACACTTTCTTTGAAGAGATTATTCAATATTAGATGTGTGATTAAGCCATTTTTAATTTTCAAAATTGTTCGTAAATCAAATACTAATGGAAAACTCCAAAATTAGATCTAAAATATTTTTTCCCCCCAATGCTGGAGTGTTGCATAGAGGATTTAAATTTGGGGACCCACAGTGTCCTCAAACATACATTACGGCTAATCCCTTACTGACCAATGACTAATCAATTCGTTCATAACAAACCAGCTTTTGTAAATCAAATGATTTAAATGGAATCCCCCACTCAGGTAATTGTGCAAATGCTAACTAACCAGGACATTCTAGATTAGCTACAAGTTCATCGGATTTAAAAGTTTAATCTAAAATACAACACTTTTACATAATATGCAGATAAATACAGTTTAAAGAAATAGTAAATACCTAGATGAAACTTTTCGTGATGCTTCAACCTTTTGAAGCGGGATTTGAACTTTTCATCGCAGTAGGTGCATTTGAAGGGCTTGTCTTGAGTGTGGAGAATCATATGTTCTTTAAGATGAGGCCTTCGGGTGAAGGATTTATTGCAGATCTAAAACAAGTACCACAATCTTAATATACAGAAACAGGTATACAGCATTAACATTTATTGCCAATTAGCATCTGGTTTTATAAAAGGTTTACAAGGTTCACAAACCTTTATACAAACAGAATAATTGCTTCATTTTTAAAACTTCCCATCTGAATGATTGCATGTTTTGACCAGGTTATCTTGCAAGAGAAATTTCAACTCAACTTCTACAACATGTTTGACAGTTTAGTAACTGGCCAAAAGAAATAAGCAAATACTTACAACTTATTGAGAACTACATGAATGAGTAGTGCCAAGATTGGCTATTAGACATGTGCATTAAATGAATTCATTCATCTGATAAAGAATCTTTTCAACGTGATCAGTTTAAAGCGGTTCTGTCACCATCTGAGACATTTGCATAATTTGTAAAGACCCCTGGGGGTCAAGTAGGTAGGTTTTTATATACTGGCCTGGTCCTTATGTGCTAAGTCATAGATTTTGTTAGCCAGCATAAGATATCAGGTATTAGATAGCCAGAACACGGGTTATTAGAAAAGGTCTTACATCACATTTCCACCCTTCACTCTTGAGTCTTTTAATGGCTAGAAATTCTTGTGCATTCTCTGGATGGAACCTGGAAGGAAAGAAAAAAAAAAATATAAAAAATTAGTACATTGACAGTTTTGATCAACTTGCTTTGTAGAGGCGAGCAGCATCCAGCTAACGTATTTGCTACTGCATGCCAGATGAGAGAAAGGATAACCTAATAAGGAGCATGAGTTCAAAATAAACTACGCTAACACTTTAAACACAACCCTACACCACAAAAATTATTTTTTTTAAAAACACAATCCACAAAACAAGCATTATGCTAACTGAAACATAAATATAATATAGTGTAGAGGTCAGTCTTGGCATGACACACAAGCCTGTATGTCAGACCCAGAAGCGACAGCTGGGGAGATCACAGTATTTCTCCAGTCAACCAGGAGCACCCCGCTGTGAGTGCAAGGGAGTCTGTGTCAGCGTCTCCATACTCAATACCTGTTGCAGTTACAAAACAGCTGAAGCCACATTCAAATACATTGGAAACTATGTTAGAAATGGAGCAAAATGCGGTGAACGTAAAAAACGCAAATGAGGTTTGTGGCATAACTAATTGCTGTCTGATTGTGAGAGAGGTTGGATCTCACATGATCACTTCTTAATTTTGAAAGTTCCATTAATAGCGAGCTATAAACTGTGAAGATCTAAAAACCTAGGAATTTACTCAACAGCTCACCAGGTTTTATTTATCCGCACAAAACAGGATTAATGTGAAATGCAATGTGACCTTTCAAACGTGAATGTTTCAGTTTATAGTTAAAATATGTGGTACCTACACATTAGCAGTGACAGTAACACCAACAGTCACACTTGCCTTCTGACATGCTTAACAAGGGTCTTCCTGCTTGCATGCAGTTTGCTGCAAAATGGACACTTGTGCTCTTTGCTGTGAATTACTGTATCACTACTGTGCCTCTTCCTGTGCACTGTAAGGTTGGATTTGGTAGAATATCGTTGTTGGCAAATATCACACTCAAAAAGCTTCTCTCCTGTATGTACACGAGTGTGACTCTCATACTTCCCTGGAGAAAAAAGAAAGAAAAACATATTAAGCTTAATTTAACAGCCATTTGTAAGCACTTCCTTAATATATGTCTGTGTCCAAGTAAACATTTAAGCAAAACAAATGCTACAAGATTATAATTCTTACCCACTCTGTCAAAGACCTTGCCACACTTTGGACATTTTAACTCTTTTTTGCTACTCTTCTGTAACACAATGGGGGCAAGTCCTTCTGGGTAATTACCCAAGGTATCCGAATTGACATTTCCATCTTCATTTTCACCAAGCTCCCCACCACTTTGCCCCCCATCTCCTCCAGATGTTTCTTCTCCATCCTCTTGATTCCCAGTTTCGTCTTTCACCTGCAGTCCACTTCCCTCCTCATTCATTTCACTTTCAGACTCTTCAGAGTCAGTCCTTTCGTGGCCATTATTGACTGAACCACCACTTGATGCGCTTTCATTATCCTGCACTTTACCATTTTCAAATTTTGCTGGGCATTTCCTTTTCCGTGTTGACTTTCTGGTTGAGGGATCAGTGTGAAGAGCATCAATTGCTTTGGCAGAACCGTGGGCTTTGTCTATATGGTTTTCCAAAGTCTTTTTGTAGCAAAAACCTCTCCCACAGAATGGACACTTATGAGTGGATTCTAACTTACTAATAGATTTGTCTATGGTTGGAGGTGATTGTATTACAGATGCAGAATTACCATCATTCTCTGCAGCCAACAGCTTCACAGCATCTATTATGTCAAGAAACCTAGCTGCCTCCAGAACCAAACTTATTTCATAGTCCCACACCGACAACTCAGAAGTGTAGAGAAAATTAAGCAAGTGTTGGAAAACAGAGCTGCTGACATGGTCTAAGGTCACAACTTCTGTCGTAGGGTTTTTACTCAAGCAAGCATAAAAGTAACTGCTCCCCACAGCCACTACCACTTTGTGCACCTTGAACTCTTGTCCTTCAACTATTATAAGGAGATCGCAAAAGGATGTTGAGCGCTGGCGGTCATCATTCAAATACTTTAGCAAGTTCTTATTGTAATGCAAAGAGCTTAAAAGCTTTCTCTGATCTGGACTTTGAGAAACAACAGTGCTGTCAACAAATGATTTTTTTTTGTCACTCGGTACAAAGGCAGAGTCTGTGGGAGTCTTTTTACCGTTCATATTTGTTGATCGGTGTTGGACTTTTGGAACAATTTTTCTTCTTTTCTTCATGATGTAAAACAATAAATAAAATAAATTCTTAAAATCAAAGTTCAATTATTGACTTTGTCAAAAGGAGTGTACTCCATAAAATCAGACATTGGTAACTCGGCATACATTGATGCACCACCTGTTGGAAAAGCAAAAGGAACTTGTTATATACTACACCAAATAAGCAGAACATTTATTAGTGGGTTTTATGCGAGTCTATTAAAGAACCACTATAGTGCCAGGAATACAAACTCGTCCCACTCCCGCTGGGCTGAAGGGGTTAGAACCCCTTCAGCCACTTACCTTTCTCCAGCGCTGGGCGCATTCAAACCGCCCATGGTAAAGCACTTCTCAATGCTTTCCGATGGAAGTCCAACATCTTCTCACTGTGATTTTCACACTGAGAAGCGTGGAAGCACCTCTAGCAGCTGTCAGTGAGACAGGATTATCCCTCAGTGAAACATAGTTTCTCTAAAATTGCTTTGTTTTCAGCTGCAGGGTTAACACTAGAGGGACCTGGCACCCAGACCACTTCATTGAGCTGAAGTGGTCTGGGTGCCTATAGTGGTCCTTTAACCCCTTACGGACCAAATGTCTGGAATAAAAGGGAATCAGGACATGTCACGTGTCCTTAAGGGGTTAAACAATTTCGCTCATCCAAAGTAATGATTGAAAGTATTCCTGAGGAGAAACTACTTATCCCATAACCTCCCGCTGTGCATCACAAACATGAATAAAACTCCAAGGCTAGATAATAAAAAAGTCACACAACTAACTTTCCAATAACCTCTTCTTCCTAAATGTAGCACCCTGTAGCCATGAATGAACAACAGAAACTACAAATGTACTTTCAAAAAGCGTATGAGTGAATCTGTACAAGTAGGTTTTGAGCCTCTGCATGCAAACACCATATAAGATATTGTATGGATCCTGAGAAAGAATATAATGTTGCATTTTTTTCACTCATATTTAGTGGGAAAAATAGTAAAGTTCATGATCTCATAAAGTGAAGGATCCTTGAGGGATGTCTGCTGGCTGATTGCTGCTCTTATCACTATGCTCAAGGTATTCTCAAGCTTTTACAGTAGGTCACTGCTGTTGAGCTCCCTTATTCTTAAAAACAAATATTTTGAACCTTTGGAGACCGTCCAGAGAAGGAAAGTAGGAGCAAGTAAAAACGTTCATGTCAAACAGAAGAAATATACATATTATTGGTGGTAGTTATTCATTATTATTTTTTTTATAGCCTCACCATGCTGTGTACCATAGGCATGAATTCTAGTGAAAAATCAAAAATAGCTTTTTCTTGGCAGATTTGTATAGAGAACATCGGAGACATCTATACTAATAGTGATGGAAAAAACAAGGAAGTCTATTAAATGGCCCCTGTTAATTGCTTAAAAGGACCACTATAGGCACCCAGACCACTTCAGCTCAATGAAGTGGTCTGGGTGCCAGGTCCCTCTAGTGTTAACCCTGCAACTGAAACTATGTTTCACTGAGGGTTAATCCAGCCTCTTACTGACAGCCGCTAGAGGCGCTTCACACTGTGAAAAATCACAGTTAGAAGACGCTGGACGTCCATAGGAAAGCATTGAGAAATGGTTTCCTATGGGCGGTTTGAATGCGCGCGTGCGGCTCTTGCCGCGCATGCGATGCTGATGTCGGCAGAAGGAGGAGAGTTCACCAGCGCCAAGGGAGCCTAGCGCTGGAGAAAGGTAAGTGGCTTAAAGGGACACTGCAAGCACCCAGACCACTTCTGCCTATTGGAGTGGTCTGGGTGCCAACTCCCACTACCCTTAACCCTGCAAGTGTAATTATTGCAGTTTTTTATAAACTGCAATAATTACCTTGCAGGGTTAACTCCTCCTCTAGTGACTGTCTACTAGACAGCCACTAGAAGGCACTTCCGTGTCTATAGCACAGGTGTGCTAGAGCGTCGCTGGACGTCCTCACGCTGTGTGAGGACCTCCAGCGTCGCTCAATTCCCCATAGGAAAGCACTGAAAAGCATTTTCAATGCTTTCCTATGGAGAGCTCTAATGCGCGTGCGCGGCATTGCCGCGCAAACGCATTAGGTCTCCTCAGCCGGTGGGCGGGATCAGTCTTGCCCACCGGCTGACTTATGGAAGGAGAGGAGCGGCGGTGACCCGAAACCACTGCTGACGGACATCAGCGGGGGTCTCAGGTAAGTGACTGAAGGGGTTTTTACCCCTTCAGCAACCGGGGATGGGAGGGGGAGGGGACCTGCAGTGCCAGGAAAACAGATTGTTTTCCTGGCACTGGAGTGTCCCTTGAAGGAGTTTTAACTCCTTCAACCCAGCTGGAGGGGGGCCCTGAGGGTGGGGGGAGGGGGGACCTTAAGACCCTATAGTGCCAGGAAAACGAGTTTTAACTTTAAAATGAATATATAATAAAACACTATGTAAATAACAGCCCCCACTCCCCCTGGCTACAACCCAGCAGCAGTTCCTTAGGTCAAGCAGGCAGGTCAGAAGGTAAATATCCTGACCTGCAGCTGGCAAAGCATCATGGGAGTTGTAGTTCTACAGGAGCTAGACATCAATCACCCATACCCCGCCAGTGACAGGAATCTAACAAGCTCTGTAAAACCACAGATCCCCCAACTTTATCCCATCGGCTTCAAAATGCCGAATCCTCACCTAGAACTGGTATTATTGCTCTCCAGGCCATCCATTGCCTCTTGTGACTCTGCCTTTCCAAAGAGATGTCCCCCCACCCCTCTGCAGCCCTAGTCCTGCAACAGCATACATCCGGGTGACGTCACTTCCACCCCTTAGACAAGCGCCTATTGGTTACGGAGTTCGCCCACAGTGCGGCAGGTGAGCTGCCAGTATGTACAGGCCGGGCTCTGATTGGCTGGAGCGTCTGTCACTCGAAGTGACTGCGTGACGTCATGTATCCAGGGTTACTTATTAACCTCTTACTGCCCAGAAAGTTAAGCAGTGTAAATGCTTGACAGGGAGTTATACAAAGAAACCTTATTTTAGTGGAATTTATTATTTCTGGTGTTAAATAAATTGTTTAGTATGGTCTTCATGCTAAAAAAAAATTTTTTTATTATTCTAAACTAAAACACCAAGTTTAAATTATTTATAAAGTGCCATCATAATCACTAGTATCACATATTATTTGGTGACTAATAAGGATTTATTCACAAAAACTCCACCTTGTAGTTAATTGTGGCTAAAAAAGAAAACAAGCTTTGGCTATAGATTAGCTGGAGAATTTTCTAATTCTGTTCATTTTGCTTCATGTTTGAAGATAGAATATAAAGTGACATTCTAAGTACCAGAACCTCTACATCTTAAAGGCAAACTATAGTCACCAAAACAACTTGAGATTTAAGGGATACTATAGTGCTAGGAATGCAAAGCTGTATTCCTAGAACCATAGATCCCTCGCCCCCCCTTTCGCCCACCCTTGATATAGTGAGGGTTAAAATACCCTTACGGTTCTTAACTAATCCAAGCGACGATGTCACTTAGCGCTGGGTCGGAGCTCCGCCTCCTCTGACATCATCTAATGGGGAGAAGGTACTAATGTGTGGCGAACACTGTGAGGCCCTCCCCATAGGAAGCATTGTTACAGAGCACAGCGCAAGGATGTCCAACGTCATGTAGGTGACTGAAAGTCGCCTAACCATGAGGAAGTGCCTCTAGTGGTTGTCTGATTGACGGCCACTAGAGGCAGTCTTAACCCTGCAATGTAATTATTGCAGCTTCTCAGAAACTTCATAATTACAATTACAGGATTAAGGGGACAGAGATATTGCACCCAGACCTCTTCAATGAGCTAAAGTGGTCTGGGTGCCTATAGTGTACCCTTTGTACCCTTTAATGAAGCAGTTTTGGTGTATAGATTGTGCCCCGTCGTCTCGCTGCTCAATTCTTTACCATTTATGAGTTAAATCACTTTGTTTATACAGCAATCCCTACATGTGACTTACATAGCCTTTATAAACACTTCCTATAAAGAGTCATCTAATATTTACACTTCCTTTCTTTAAACTTCTGTTTAATTTAGAATTCATTTTTATTAGCGAATAACCATTTGAGTTTCAAGTGCCTTTTTTGGCCACCTCTAGTGACTGTCACTCAGAGAGTCACAAGAGGGGCCTCCTGGTGCATGTTTGCACTCTCTAGATGCATGGAAACACAGAACACTTCAGAAAATGCATCTCTATAATGAGATGCTGATTGGTGATTGACATACACGGACACTAGCCTCCAATGCTTCCTTATAGGGATGCATTAGATTGACTGAGATCATAGGTAATGATGATCTCAGCCAGGGCAGGAGTGAGGCTGTGACTGTACTGGTCTGGAAAGGTGCAGAACAGATTTGAAAATTTTAGGCCATCACACTAACAACTTCACAGCATTTATTATGTCAAGAAAACTAGCTGCCTCTAGAACCAAACATATTTCATACTCCCACACCGACAACTCAGGAGTGTAGAGAAAAGTAAGCAAGTGTTGGAAAACAGAGTTGCTGACATAGTCTAAGGTCACAACTTCTGTTGTAGGGTTTTTACTCAAGCAAGCTTTAAAGTAACTGCTCCCCACAGCCACTATCACTTTGTGCACCTTGAACTCTTGTCCTTCAACTATTATAAGGAGATCCCAAAAGGATGTTGAAAGCTGGCGGTCATCATTCAAATACTTTATACAGATGTTGATGGCCTTAAACTCCCAGAACTCTTTGAATGTAATAAATGGCCATAGAATCATGGTAGTTGTAGTTCAGTAACTGCAGGGTAGAAGAGTTTGATGTCTTTTTGTGGCCAAAATAGTAGATCTAAAAAATAATCGAAATTTTACAATTCCCCAATGGATTGTCCACAATTCCGGTTTAGTGGATAAATATCAAAGGATCTTTACGTTCTGTTTACTGCTGCATTTTAAAAGAATATAGTAACCGGGTAATATGTGTAATGGTGGAGCAACAATATCACGCGCTTTTCAGATCCATGTTCAAGTGGAAGAGTCAGGGCAAAAATCTTATTCACACTACTGCCATACACAACACTGAGATCAGATCACGTCAGAACAATGTTTCAACACTTTCAACCAGTTAGAACTGACAAGAACACATTTTAATTATATATATATTTTAATAAGGGTAGGAAATGCAACAAATAGACAAAGTATTAATTATTATCTTTTTCATATTGTTCTAATTTTTAGGTTTCTCATATCTCAAATGCTTGATTGCCTGTGAACACCAGTGTTTGCAACCTATTGTTGTACAAATTAAACTTCTAGTTCTGACTGCTAGTTGAGGAGATGCTCTATGAGTACTGGGAGAGCCTTTACGCATGCCTGGGTGAGCATATGACATACCTCTCAACATTTCAAACGGACAAAGAAAGACACTGTCCATTTAGGGCTGTGAATAGGAGTGTGGTCAAGGGCTGGACTGTTGTGAGAATTTTTAGGTGACTTAATAGCAACTTAATTTAATGTAATTTAGAACAAGATCTATAGTATCCAAGGGGGATGTACTCACGTAAGTCACCTCTTTGATGGTAACACTATGTTACAATTTCCGGAAATACAAGTTAAAGGAACACTATAGGGTCAGGAGCACATACATGTATTCCTGATCCTATAGTGTTAAAACCTCCATCTAGCCCTCCTGGTCCCCATTGCCTCCCCAAATATAGTGTCAGGGATCCGCGGGCGGCTAGGAGGGGAGGCTGCAGGCCACTTGCAGCACTCACCCTCAGTCCATCGCCGCCCGCGGTCTCCCCTCTGCTTACCTGTCGGCGAGCGGCGTCTCCTCTGTGCCGCTCGCCGCCCGCGTCCTCCACGCCCCCCAGCGGCAGCATGTATAACGCTGCACGCTGGGAGGTCAATGAATTAAGTAAACGCCGGGGTCACGTGAGTGACCCGGCGTTAAAGAAACAGTACCACAATCACAGTGGGAGGTATAGATATCCCCCACGTGTGATTGTTAATTCTGATTGGAAGTTATCCAATCAGAATTAAACCAAGGGTATTTATACTTACCTTTCCTGTCCCTCAGTGCCCTGTTGTGGTCTTGTGATACCTGTAGCGTAGTGTTCTCGTCTTGCTCTCTGGTTACTGATTATTTGGCTCGTTATTCCGATTATCCTGTCTTCTCCACTCCTTTGACCTCGGCTTGTTTCTCGTTCTCCCGTTTTCTGGCTCACTTTACTTGGCTTGTCTCCTGACTATTCTTAGCGTGCTTAGCCCGGCCACTCTAAGGTCCGGTACGGCACCTTTTCTGTGTGTGTGTGCCAGCTTGTTGGGTTCCCTGAATCGTGACATATAGTAAATCTTACTTGTATTTTGGTCTGGTGCTGCTGCCTTTGAACTGCATCTGACCTCTGACATCATCAGAAGTGGTGGTCTGAGCCCATCGCAATTCTTCTCCATAGGATTGGCTGAGATTGTCAAGGAGGCAGATCAGGGGCAGAGCCAGCACAGCCCAAACACAGCCCTGGCCAACCAGCATCTCCTCGTAGAGATGAATTGAATCAATGCATCTCTATGAGGAAGGTTCAGTGTCTGCATGCAGAGGGTGGATACACTGAATGTTGTAATGCATACTAGGCAGGACTGCCCCCAGAAGCACCTCTAGCAGCCATCCGAGTAGTGTCCAGTGGAGTTATCACTAGGCTGTAATGTGAACATTACATTATCTCTGAAAATACAGTGTTTACAGCTAAAAGCCTGAAAGGAATGATTCTACTCACTAGACCAATTACAATAAGCTGTAGTTGTTCTGGTGGCTATAGTGTCCCTTTAAATACAACTTGCCCTCGAATGCGATATTTCAATACCCACAACTTAAATCCCTCTTATCACGTGCTACTAATTACAACATGACACAGGCGACAACCTATTCTGCCACCAGCCACCGCCAAAAAACTACTCTCCTCTATTTACCATGTAATCAATTCACTGGCCACCGAGTACTCCTCTTTGTCCTCAAGGCATAAAGACATAGGTAACACCTTCTCGAACGATCAGTGGAGAAAGGCCTTTTTGGCTCACAGGGGGAGAACAAGTTGTGCTTTATGGAACTTATGAGGAAGTTACAATATAGGGGGTACATGGTGCCAGACAGGTTAGCATGCGTTTATCCAACAACTGATACGTGTTGGAGATGCTTGGCAGAGAGGACCATGTACCATACTTGGTGGACATGCATCAAGATAAAGCAATTTTGCCAAATGGTTGAACAGAAAGTATCCCTGGTACCAAAGTCAGACATGATACTTACACCAGAACTTAGCCTACTATTTATAAACATAGATGGACTCTCCAGAGCCGACTCTTGCTTGCTGTACCATATATTGATTGCAGCTTATTTTCTCATAGCCAGAGCATGGAAATCCACAGAAATCCCATCCAAACATTAGAAGTACGCCAAATATCCCTAAATTTAGATTATGAAGCAATGGCACATAGACAGCTGCCTCCTAGGAAGCATGTTGTAGACGCTCAGGCCAAGTGGGACTAATATATAGACTGACTGGAACGCTTGACTGCTCAGCTGGGGCCAGCAGATAATACCTCATAGGAGACTGAAACATAGACACTTCATTGTAGGGGCAAAAATAAACAGTGGTACGCTGAGCAAAATACCACACTGGTAAAAGCAATGGGAATAAATGAGGGAAGGAAAAAGATAACAAATGC